GACAATGTCTTGGTAATGAGAAATAGGTCCCTCTCATACATTCATACATCACATGTAATAGAGGTGCACAATCACTCAGTCGAGTCAACGCACAGCGAGCTGTAACTGCCATCCTTAACAGACACCTCAAATAATGCTGAATTAATATTTTGAAATGGCTCATATATCCTAACATAATACAATTTGAATGATTTCAGATTCAGCGCTCTCATGGCTAACATTGATTTGAGTACAAGCTTCTCGGGGTGAGTCAATACGTCGCTGACTGAAGGTTGTAGATTTAGTGCAACACATTTGCTCCTCTGTCTTTCGTGTCCTCAATCTATCATCACTTTTTACCCCCACACACACCGACATGTGTTTGAGCAATGGGTGGGGTGGGAATACAATGATTCTGAGGAAATCCGAAAAGTAAACCACCTCTTTTTATCTCCTCCGGCAACACAAACACTCTCAATGAGCTCTTAAGAATCAGGCCACACACCTCATTTTAAAAGAAAATCGAGGGTTTCAATAAGCGGTGACATGTTCAAATTAGGGACAGATATGAGCGCCGACTTGAGGTGTTTGTGTTAGACAAGTGACACCTATTCAAACAAAATTATTCACGCCAAGTGTTGGAAGGAAAAAGTAAAAATATACCCAGCAAATGTTGAGCTTTCTGCATGATTCTTCTTCTCATGAGGAGTCAAAAACATGCCCTTCAACCATCACACTTTCCTTTCCTAAAAGAAAGACAAACAGAGCCTGAAAGACAGGCGTGGGTGCTTCACTATTTGCCCCTCTCAGTTTCTGCCTATCTTGAGAATGCAGTGTGGTGTGTGTGTGTGTTTGCAAGACAGGATACACACACTCAAACACACACACACACACCCTTCATGCCCTGAGGATCCTCCTGACTCTCTCTCCTGGTTCTATCAGATCAGAGAGACCCGCTGTCCCTCCCCACACCGCAATGCAAATGAAAAGGAATGCGCTGATAAAAGGCCAGATCCTACAGATGAGAGGGCAGAAGGAGGACAGAGGCAGTGAATGCTAAAGAAGGAGGGGTGGGGGGCTCTTGGGGAGATGAGAGGTGGCGGAGGAGTCAGTGTTGGTAGTAGCGGGAGATCATAGCCTTGCTCCCCCTCAGCGGCGTTTGATACAGGGCTTTTGTCGCTCTTTCAGCGGTGCATTGTTGGGTGGTGTAATCCCCGTCGGATTACAAAGAGCTTCCCTTTTCATATGGGGCTGACCCAGCAGGCAGGTGGCTGGGGCTCTGTGGAGCTGTCAAGGGGAGGGAACCTCTTTTCCAGGGGAGGGGACCCCAGTTCCTCTTACCTTCACAGGGGCTTTTTGCTGGGAGGCCAGTCAGGCGCAGGTCAACGTGGGGACAATCCTGACATGGGATTCAACTCACCCTGACCCCGTGGCTTCCTGTAGAGAAGACATAAAATAATGAAAACAGCTGAATAATATTAAAATACTTGCATGTGTTAGAAATGAAGTAGCATAAATGCATTAGAGAGGTACATGCCATGAAGAATTGCACAATTTTAGATAGAAAAAGTTCTTATAAAGCACTCTTTTGTAACCTAAAAGTACTTAAAAAGGGTCCAAATTTATCCGAAAACATGAAATAAATGCACAATTATTCCTGCAAACAGATTGTAACTTAAATAATATTCTCCAAAGACCAGTTTCTGTCAATACACTCAGCAACTTATGTTTCACTGACCATACTTAAAAGTGTTATGTATTTTTTTAATAAATTGAACTTGCAGTGATTTATTCTCTTTTAGTTCTCTTTTAATTTGATTTCTTTTGCCTGGTATTTTTTCTTTTTTTAGGCTGTACTACACAATTAAATAAAAACAAACAGAAAAAGACATGTGTATGTCTGTATGATGTTACTCAGAATGAGAAGTAATCATCTTATGAGCTTAAATACACATGATGTATTTGAAAAGGTAAGACAAATCCAGCATTAATTCAGCATGGTTTTACCGATATCCAGCCTGATCTGTCGATTTGAGCAGGGTCTGATTAAGCTTTGGCTTCTCAATGACTCCCCTTGTAGTGTTTCAGCAATACAGGATCAATAAGGTGACAGTCAAGCCCAGCACTATTTCTATTACACTAAAACCAATATCTCCTCTACAACTCTGTGTATGTAAAAGCACGGCCCAGTCCATCCAATTGCTGTTACCCCTTAACTGATAATGTGAACCATTCATCCATGCCCTGTCAGATTTAGTAGCAAGGATCCCATTTAGCAATGCTGCATTTAAGTGTTGTCAGAAACAATCTAATTGCTTTTCAAATGTGAGTCAAGGGTCTATCAAAGTGGTGAATGTTTTACATTTAACAATGAAAGTGAGAATTACAGACACATACAGTTTAAATCAGATTTACGCCTAACAGTGAATTAAAACACCAGGTTTATCTGTGTTTAGGCTACAATTTGGGCACCTATGCAACACTGAATTTCTTCTGCGAGATAGCATCTCAGGCATACACTGTGTTATGATTTTCATCTAAAAAATCCCATGCCTTTTAATGCACCACGAATTCAGTGAACGATTTCACCTCAGTTTAACCTGTCCCTGAATGCAGCATCAGCTAAAGTCCCGAACACAATGTACACGGTTTTTTACGATAAACATTGAATATAAAATGCTTAATTTTTTTTCAACAACGAACTGGGACTGCCATAAGTGTACAATACAGTAAACATGGACTTTGCAACGGCAATTTGTAATGTTTATAACTTCTGAATGTATCGTTACTCTGATTTCCAATTTTCTTCCTTGTTAACCGCAAAGGAGAGTGAAGTACGTTAACGCAGCACAATTCCAACAGTTGTGGAAAATACATTCAGTGTAATCAGGAGAAGAAAACACCTTTGCGAATCGATTTTCACGTTTAATGGACACACCAGCAAGTATTATATATAGTCTATAACATAAACTTACTTTAGAGTACCGGTGTCTGAAGGAAACGTCGACGGCCTTCATCGCCCTTCACTGCCAACGTTAAATAAGCTAACACCAGCTCGTGAGCGTCCTCCATGTTTAAGGAGCTAGTTTAGGCCGTTAAATTTTTCGTACTTTACAACAACATGGTGGCCTGTCGTTAATGTAAAACCTTTCAGGCCACATTCACTCCATAATGAATTCAACAAGTTGGCAGGTGAGTACAGGAAAATGAACTGCGACTGAATGGCGCCAACTTATCATTTCCGGGCTAACGGCCATTTTTAGCATGTTAGCACAGGAGGTTAGCATCAGGTGACATACCCTCCAGTTCGCCTCTAACACCCACCACAACTTCAACAATTATTTTGGAGGATAATTTGGACCTGTCTGACTCTGTCAACAAAAACTGATGAAACTGATGAAACTTTGTAGAACAAGTGCTGTGGCAGGTGAGTGTTATATCAGCAACAATTATAGCCTCTTGCTCAATATTGTGGAAATCCCCCCATTAGCCAAAAGAGCCCAGACCCTAGCACCCAACCAGACCTCTTAAAATGGTGCAAAGAGGTGTAGACTTGTTAGACTTGGTTGTTCAACACATCCAACATATGCTCCATTGGATTGAGAGGAACATTTAGGGACCCAGTGAACAAACTGAACCTTTTGTTGTGTTCCTCTGACCTCTCTTCTAATATTGTTTTGAGGTCCAGATCCCATGCTAACATGTTAAAATTGTATAATTAAATTCATTTCCTGTTATGTCGCCTTCTGAAAGGTACATGTTGCAGGGTGCTTGTTTATCTCTTCTTTTAAAGCTATGTTTGAGTTTATATACAGTAAGTTGATTGGTGGTATTACCTCTGGTCTCTGAAACTTTTTTCTTGTGTGTCATCTTCATGAAGGCCTAAAGCAGGAAGGGAAGAAGTTTTATGAACAGTCAATAGTTTTACACACTGTAACAAACTTCATAAATACAAACACAGGCTTTCAACTTGTTTCAAGATCCTTTACAGAACAAACAAGACCTGCAAAGTGAGGCAGAGAAGCTGCTCCAAATGACTGAACCTCTGCACCCTAATTGAAACCGTCCAAGACTGCTTCTGAAGCACTGACTCGACAGATTCAGTGAGATTACAGTAGATCTGAGAACAAGGTACAAAAGATGTTTAAGTAAATTGGAAGTAAATTAGTATGTGGGTGAAATTCATATATGCCTGTGATTTATTGGTGTTCAGACCTAATGAATCTCCATCATTCTGAGGATGAAATCGGCACAGGCCAAATCCATCTGCCCAGGCTTACGCTATGATAAACACCCCTAAATCTCTGTAATAGGACCTTGAATGTGTTTGTAGTGTAGACAGAAAGGCCAGGTGACTCTTGGGTAAGTAAATGTAAATAAATTCTGTGAAATTTCTTCAGGCATGACTTTTTCAGGTGTTTCAGGACTCCTCACACAGTCCTGACCTTTTTAATGTAGAAACAAAAACTCTTTGAGGGAATCTTGTTTCGCTATTAAGTGTTCTGTCTAACACTTTTGGATCTATTGATCTCTGCAGGGAGGTCAACCCGTGTAAGAGCATCAGATCAGCACATCTAGAGTTGGCAGGACTTCTTATTGGACTCCTCAGCAGTCTGGATTGTTGCCCAGATTATTCATCTTACTGTTTGAAGGTATGTTTGCAGCATTTCTGAGGTTGAATTTACAACAGTGATTGTCCATAGAGAATGATTGGTTTATATACAGACTAAAACCTTTTCTCTATTTTGTATTGTATTTTTATTTATTTTCATTTTTGTTTTACCACAAACGTCTACAATATGACATCATTACTTACCTTAGTTTACACCTTTACCACATGCAATTTTATCAAGCTTCATTGCTGCTGAATGTACAGGATCGCTGTCCTCCCTCAGGCTTGTGTGAGGTCTGAATAAGAAGGGGTTTTCTGTGTCAGTTAGTCATGAGCAACAAGAGGAAGTTGTCATCTGTGCACCTGCTCCACCTTTTTTTGTGTGTGCAGATCTCAACGCATGCACGGAAGTAGAGTTTCAGAGCAAGAGGACACAGGTGGTTAGATGCAGTGTCAGTTAGTCAGTGTGGGTCCTGTCTTGTTCCTGTTATAGAGTTGTAAAAGTATGACCATTGTTTTTACCCTCATAGGCTGCCTTGTGGAGTAAAGAAAAAGACTGATAACCAAATAATTTGGTGTTGGAACAGGTGAAAACTAGGGATGGGGACGATCCCGAAAGACATTAGGAGGCTTTTGGACGGTAATAGTTAAATTTTTTATGATAAGTAACGCTTGTTTTGAACAGCTAAGGTTTGTTTTTGAATCTTGTCATAAAAAAAGTGGAACAATGGGAATTTTTACAAGCTAGTATGCTCATGACCTAAAAAAGAGGTACAAGTAACATGATTGAAGTGATAGTAAATGCTTAGGGTTGAAAATATATATATTTCCCTTTTGTTTTTAAAAGATACACTGAAACGTGGAGAAACTATCCGCCTTTGAGATGTACAGTAACAAGAGCAGTGTTTTAATACATTTGCATGTTGTGCCAGGCCTGCGAACAACATTTGCATGTGTTCACTCTGGAGTGTAACAGGACAGGGAGCACATAAAGAAATTAAGCCCATACATCAGATAAGTGGCCTGTTCTCACAAGTGCAGGCATCGTTGTGTCTGGTGTTATTACCACAAGTTTGCTCCCTGTTACTTATTTTCCAGAGACATTAGAGTGTTTGCTGTCCTTCCTTTGTGTCCTTGGATATAATTTCCACATGTCAGGTTGATGAAGAGTGAAACCAGAAGACTTTTTAACATTATTCTCAAAAACATAAATCATAGCAGGGGTTTAATAGTCTTGGTTTTATTGAAAAGATGTGTCCTCAATTTCTATGCTTACTTTTTACTTACAAATACCTTGATATGATACTAAAGCAAACAGCAAAACAGAAAGTTGTGTACCTAACATTCGCTCAGTTAGAGATGTCCTGATCAGCTGTTTACCTTGTGGATCTAAAAGCTGCAAAAACCAGAGATGGGCTGGTGGTCCACTGACATGAATTCAACTCTCTCTCTCTTAAATCGTTTTGCCCTCAAGAATATTTCACTCTCCTTTTAAAGTCGGGAGTTTGTTGCTTCCGTGCTGCAGTCTCATCCTCTGTTGCTTTAGAGGACACATCTCATTCCGTGGCATGTTTACTTTTTTGACTTTGCATCAAATTGGTAGTGTTGAACGCAGCTCCGCTACTACCACCTGATTGTACTGCATATAATGCAAATGACTGTTTTGCTTTCTAGTTGAAAATATTTACATACTGCTGACATTTTAATGACGAGGACACTCATGCTATCTCACACAACTGCAATCTAGTGCAACTTCTGCTCACTTTACAACACTAACGTAAATGATCGATCCAATTCGCCAATCCCAGATCAGTTAAAAATGCTATAGTTGAGAATTGGAATTTAGACACACCAGATTTGGGTAAGTGCACAAGCTTTGCAGAAAGAGGGTGAGATGACTTAATCGTTACCACAGCTCCTGACAGTGTGACTCACATCCTGCTGTTGTAGCTAACATCACTGTAGTGTTATTCAGTCTGTTTTATTTATTTTCCTCCTAAAAGGACAGTGTTCATTAATCAACATTTAAACAAATGTAAATGTATCCAAGCTAGCCAGAAGGCTAATTTCCCTCAGCAGTCCCTTTGCCAGATGTTGTCAGGCAATACTAAAAAAAAGAAAACAGCACAGACAAAATATCAGATAACAAACAAACAAAAATTTAACTAGAAATAAATGTTTGTTTTAAACTTATAAAGTCCGCTGAATTACTTTATCGTACACATGATAAATAGGTGGCTGACTATAAGGAGATATCAACTGAGTCTAAAAATGTGAGTCTGACACTGTGTGTGAGTTGGTGTAAAACAAACTTTTGTACACAAAGGAAGTGTTTACCTGAGGTCTAAAAGTGATACGTTTAAGAGGTGGATTTGATATTTTTATGCAGACAAGAACAAACCGTCATGATTGCTTTGTGATAATATCAGACATTATGATGTTTTTCATGTTTTTATTGTTGCATCAGGCTGCCTCAACTTTTATGTTGAATTTTCTATTCGTACTTATGATGTTTAGTAACACTCCAACTTTGCAGCACATGATTCACACAGTTTTGTTTTCACTCTGAGCTGCTTTAACCAAACTTTACAGGAAGAAATGGAATTTGTGAGTTCAGTTTGAGTCCTCCAGAAATGAAATGTTGTCATGAATGTTTTCTGTCATCTTCAGACTGTGAGCTGTTTATAGCCGAGCACCTGCAGGATGAGGACCTGAGTGAAAATGCCCAAGAGACCCGTGAAGTCTTACTGAATAACTTCCGGGTCGTCCGTTTAAGGTAGGAGTTAACCTTTGAAAGCGGTGTTAAATCAGTGCTCGGCAAAAGGCACAGAAAGATGCTTCACTAGCTAAATATTTTGATTTACTTTGAATATATCATGATTTTTGTTTTGCTTTTAGTACCACAGAAGAGCTTTGAAAGTCACTGTAATTGCATAATTAGTTCACCATTTAGTCTAATGTTGTCCCCTTTTAAGACTTAATTCTTGCCTCTAACTATCTGAAGTTTTAAAGGTTTTATACAATTGTTTGTTAATCAGAAAGATTTAATCTTTAGAAAGCTTTATTTTTGAAGCCTGACATAAGAAGCCAAGACTCCCCAAGAAACAAGAACTCTCAAACAAAGTGTGCACCTCGACACAGGAAACACCTCTTCTTCCGTTGCTTGCTCGGGGTGATAGGATTTGCTCCTCGCTGAAGATGTGGTTTTGAGGTCTTCTGTGCAGGAAACAATTACTGAAATTGAGAGGCAGCGCTAGAGCCGAGTTAAAAATGAAAGCAGAGAAAAAATTTCAGCCTGGTACAAAAAGATTTTGATAAATGCTTTTTTGATTTTACAGAAACCCACAAGAATTTCCCCTCAGATGTAAGTAACTCACTGCAATGATTTATTTCCTTTGCTTATTTTTCTTATTCGTACACACACTCATGTTTTCCCTCATCTCTCACTGCAAGAATAAAAGCCCAGAATGTGCATTTGTGTGTTTAAAGTGCTCCTGTGCTTAAAATAACATCATAGTTACAAAAAAAAAGTCTTCGTGGGACTCATAATGTATGCTTCTTTCCCTCCTTCTCCACATTTTCACCTCCACGTACACACACTCAGTGGACCCAAGAGACGAAGAAGGTTCTGATGACAACCGCAGTTCCAGTCTGGGTCGCTCTGCCCCATCAGACGACGCCTCAGTAGCTTCTGACTGCCAGGACGATGGTCCCCCAGAGTGTAAGTTAACAACAGTCTGGAGACTGATTCCCTTTTGTGTGCATGTGTCATCTCGTACTGTTTCCGCAGTGCAGAGATCTGAGCTGAAAAAAACCCAAATTCTTTATGTGGGTGTCTGTGCGACAAATCGAAGCACCGGTTTTTAGATTCGAGTTGGAGTAATCGGATCAAAACTATATGTAGCTGTTACCTCGAACATCAGGGAGAAATTTAACCCTCGCAGAGAAACTACACCCCTATACTATCAGTGTGTTTCTGCTGAAAGACTCGAGTGTGCAAAGAACTGAGCACCAACAAAGGAAAATGTAAAGAGGAGGACTCTTTGTCACTGGAGACAATACAAGAGTCCTCTGAGAAAACCAAACAAATACACTTTTGACAAACAACCCTTGCCATCCTCACTGGCACACCTACACCTCACCACAGGAAGCGCAGTCAGACCCTTTCGCTGGATATTGCTCCTCGCCTTCTTAATTTGAAAAAACAGACCACATCTGTGAAGTCTCTCCCCCCCGTTCGCCGGCCTCCTACCTTGCTCGCCTTCACCGGTGACATCATTGACTCCTCCTACCTTTCCTCCTTCAGCGTTCAGGTAGTAGGTATCTCATGCTGGAGGAAAAAAAAGTGGCTGGCTGGGGGGTTCGCTGAGGACTGAATGGGGACCTAGAGCTCCCTCCAGTGGCAGATCCACAGACCTGGATCTTCCCTTGAGTTGTGGGGCTGTGGGAGGCATGGAGGCGGCCCACACAGAGAGGTGGCTTTGTAGCTGCAGGCTAATGCAGTGATTGATTGACCTCGAGCCCCTCTATTCTTTCACAACCGGGGTTTGAAATACAACACTGTACCTGAGGGGCCATGTGTGTTACATCCCTCTCTCCCTGTATCAATCTTTCTCTCTATCTTCCTTTCTCGGACTTGCCCTCCCTCCCGTTCAGAGTTTTTGTATTTCTGACTTTATGCTCCAGTTAATAGCCCTTGACGTGACATGCCGCAGGTGGGCATTATTGACTTGGCTGCCTTAGGTGCCCATCTATACCCTGTTGTTGTTTTTTTTTTTTTCTTCATGTGGTGAAGCTGGAATCATGTGGAATTTCCCAATAAGAAAGAAGAACCTGTCGTCAGAGCGCCAGTGCCAGCTGGATTTAGTCAGAACCGATCTCCTTATTTGGAAAAGGCGTAATGAACTCCTCCATCCTCTGACCAGAGAAGACTCACTGTCGCTTTTTTTTCTATCCTTTAAAAAAGAACAAACGATGGCAGATGGTCGAGAAGATACACCACGAGACAATGATGATTCTTTTCTCTCTGAGTTGTTCATTACAGAATAAACAAAGAAAGATTTTCTTGTGCAAACGGACAAAATCAAGCAATAAAATGCGGAGAAAAATTTCCCTTTGGGTTATTGTGGTAACACGCCCAACTACAAACAATGCCGTCTGTTACTGAATGGGATAATAGTTAAAGCTTTCATATAGTCAATTTTAAATGTGAGAAATCGCCAATTATGCAGCACAACCAGAACCTCCTCTTTTCCTTTTATTTGCATTTAGCTTTGATTATCGACAATCAAACGCTTAACAAAGCTCACAGTCTGCCTCGGGGTCAATAATCATAACATTTTGATTCTGTAAGAAAAATTCCCACCTAACAGCCGTGTGTCGTCTTTTTTTTTATTGCCGGGCGACAGAGACCATGTTAGCGGAGTGAATGGCCTGTGTCCTCGCTGAAAGGGCATGTGGAGTTCAGAGTTCATTCTCTGTTCACCGCCAGCTGAAAGAAACAGCTCGCACTTTTCTGCCGGGCGGTCTGCTTCAATGGGAGAGGGAGTGTTTGTGGGAAATAATGGCACGACCACTTAATGAAATCAGCGACAATTTCGGAGGAACAATCCTCAATGGATGACGATTTGGGTTTATTTAAATTTCCTTTCGCTGCTTTAATTTAAAAATCAGCACAATACCTTTGTTGCAGAGATGAGGATAATTGAGCGAATTAGAGAGTCGCGTTTTCGCTGCAAGGAGAAGGTAGAAAATGGAGTTTTCTTCCTTGGGTTTAATTGTATCATTTTATTTGAGCCTACTGTACACAAAAGGGACTTTGTGACTTGGAGGATGTATTATCCGTGGTAATCGACTGCCTGCCTTTGCTGCTCTCTGTTCCCTAACCAGAGAGTGAGTGAGTGTGAAGTCGATGGCTGCTTTTACACGCAGGAGGAGCCTGTGCCGTTTGATTAGATGCGGTGGCCTGTTGTCTTCAGCGGACTGGGTGACACCAGATTTGTAATGGCTGACAGGAACAGATGGAGCCTCCATTGTTAGCCTGGCTGTCTGCATGGTAATGTGAACTGAGTTTCACCCGCCGACCGCACCGGTGACCTGACCGCGCCTGCAGCCTCACCCCAGCCTCGTCTGCCCCCTTTTAGCACCCTCTGCCTCTCCTCTCCCTCTGACTGTCCTGAGCTATTTGAGGCTCACACACATTTTTAGGTTTTTCTTTCACTCCTTTTTATCACACACACTCTTGCCATTCCAGTCCATTTTGCATACGTAAACAAACAAACACATCCAGATTCTCCCTCTGGTGAATAGAATCTCTTTAAAACACACACACACATGAACACACACACACCAACAGACCCCAGGAGACAGCTGGAGATGTGGGTCTTTTAGCCCTGTCATGCTGTTTGCAGGTCAAGTTTACGAACTTACGAAGTTGAAATGGCCTGTTTGTTTTCCTTTGATTGGGGAGCGCCGCTGGGCACTCGGGGATGTTTGCTGGGAAACTGCAGCGATGACAGAGCGCTGCAGGAAGAGCTCTGTTTCAGGAGAGACGACGCTTTCGATACGACTCCTCTTCCTCTCTGTGATAGTAATGTTTCTGTTATGGTCGACCATAAAGTCTGTGTTTACCCGGGTGTGGATCTACAGAGGGAATCTCACGCCTGTTTTTATTTTGTGCTCTGTCATATCAGGTTGTTTGTGATTGCTTTATCATTTAAAATTATTGGAATCATCTCAATTTATTAAAATTAACACAAATTTAATTCAACCCTTTTTTATTTAAAACAAAGTCGTTCTTAGAGATTATTTGGTTTGATATATGGAAAGATTTTTTTTATCATACTGACTCATTTTACTACTAATCAGTTAGTTTTTCTGCAAGTAAGATGTGTAAATAAAACCATAAAAATCACATTTTACCGTTAAGTTAATCAGAGATGTTTACAATATGAATTAGTTCTTTCAATTATTTTCTTAATAATATGATTAGTTAATTAGATTGTCAGATAAAAGAGTTGAAAAATGTTGCCCATCGTTCCACACGAAGCCTTTAAATTATTTAATATCCACAACCTGAAGGTCTAAAGTGAGAATGAAAACAGAAAATAGTGAGGAGCAGTAACCTGGGAGCTTAAAAAAATACTTTAAACTGATCGATGAATTATGAAAGCATTTATCATTAATTAAAAAAAATGATTACTATTTTTACAGTATTGTGCCTCAAATATCGGCCCGCACAATTAACAGATATTAAAAAATGAGCATTTGAAAAAAAGCACATGTGAATAAGGACGTTATATAACATATACAATCAATGTTACATGTATAGTTGACTTATTGGATAGAGGCTGGGTCAAATGAAGCTTTACTCACCTTGTCAGGTAACCTCAGATTAATTGGTTATAATTACCTGATGAAAAAAATGTCTGTTGGATTCTGGTAAAACCTGTTGCAAGCACATGTAGCTAATATGCTCTTTTTAATAAAAACGAATCCACACCTATTGATCACAATAATGAACCACGTGTAGCACACTGCATTTGTATCATAACCTGCAGGTCAGAATAAGAGAATAAAAAAAGAGATGATAGTTTTTTTTTATTTGAACATTAAAAACACACCGTATTCAAATGGTTAAACTTCTGCATATTGTCACTCTGCAGTAAGAATCACAGGAGAGAAACGCTGCAGTGTCAGTTTTCTTCCAGTATCCTAAAATGTGTTTTGCGTCCCAAAATTTTCAATTAACCACGGCGTGAGACCGAGCGAAGCTGCATTTGTTTACAATCGAGGAGCCGAAACTCGTAAATGTTTGGCAATTTTGACTTGCACGTATGTTCTGTTGTGTCGGCCTATTTTATAACACAGGACTCATGTCGGTGATTACCGCGCCGGTCCAATTTCCTCAACCAATTACTTTCAATAGAATGCTGTGGGATAACCAATTTAAGTTATGTCTCGCCGTTGCCTGTTCCTCATTTGAATAACAGGACCCAATGCACAGTGTAACATTATTACACGCTGCTGGAAAATAGAATATTAAATCTTAAATTTTGTCATTTTGGCTGAAGCTTGAAAAAGCGATATAGAGCGAAGTGCTTTTGGGGTTGTGTGCCCGGGTGTCTTGGCTGGTGAAATTGGGAAAAACGATGCCAGCTGACGGATTTATGCTTCATTAGGGGGTTAATCAGCAATATTTAAAGCGCCAACTGGCCCTTGTGTGTGTTTGAAGTCAAATTAAGTCGTGGAGCGAGAGGGAGTCCGTGGATCCTTCACAGGGGGAAAAATTAAATTAAAAGAAGAGAGAGACGCAGAAAAATCCTTGAAAACTGCTGCAGGAGTTCAGCGGTGTCTTAAATGGAAGTTTTTAAGCATCACCTGGACAATGTCGCTGTTTGCATTGATGACCTCTCTGCAGGTTTGTTGGCCCTGAAGCTGTGCTGTCTGCCTGCATACTGAACTTTCGACCTTCGACCTCATGCTTGGCCAACCTGCGACCTGTCTGCACTCAGCCCAGGGTTGTGTGAATGATCGGCCTTCCTGTCACGCCCATCCGTCACAAACTTTCTTTGGACTTTGCGATAGCTATCTACAGTATCTCTCTGTCGGAGCGTCTGCCCGGGAATTCATTTCTCACCACGTTCATCGGTGTATGGATTTCATGACATTTGGATTGCGGCTGCTAGTTTGCAAGGAAGCGAGGGATATGTTAATGACCTCCTTGCTTCCTCATTCTCCTGCACTCTCTTCTCCTCCCCTCTCTTAGTGTGCTTTTCTAGAAACACACACACACACACACTCACACACACATTACGAGGCAGGAGCAGGCTCTGTGCATTGCTGCGACTGCTTGCCACCAGGGTTCAAAAGTTCACTCTATTCCCCTTGGGCTACTGTGCTGCTGCAGATGCTGATAGTCTTCTCTCTCTCTCTCTCTCTTTCTCTCTCTCTCTCCCTCTCTCTCTCTCTCTCTTTGCCGGCTGCCTTTCTCTCCCTCTCTCCCTCGCTGTTTACACTATTAATCTTGTACACTCTCCCTCACACACTCACTCACACAGCCTGGCAAGAAGAGAGCGGCTTGAAGGGGGGATTTGGACGTATTTAACCGAAGGGCATCCATCACTCTCATCTCCGGCTTCACCCCCACCAAAAGCCACACCGCGTAGTGTTTTCTGCATCCTCCCGGTTTGTAAGCCCTCTGATGCAGCTCTCCGCTCATTTGCTTTGTTTTATTGTTGCACTGCATATAATTACATCCCTCCGTTGCCTCTGGTGTGGCGCCGTGTTGAAACCCAGGGAAAACAGGCGAAGGTAAATGTGCAGCAGTCCATCTGTAAAGAGGCACATAGGCAGAATGCAAAGTGGGAAGCTGGGGCAGGGTGGCTCCTAATCTCCCCCAGAGCTGTCAATGTCACAGACAAATAGCAAAACTATCAGATGCGGCGGGTTCACCCAGAGGTTAGCGTTCCCAGGTACCTCCTGCTTTCACTCCCTCTCTTTCTCCCCCTGCCTTGCAAATGAGAATTTGATTTTGCCCTCCACTGGAATCCATTTCTGGAGATGAATGAAGTTTCAATGCCAAGCCCAGGTGGCCCCGCTGATTTCTTAGGGAAATAAATGGAGATGGGAGAGATGTGTTGGCCTGTACACAGACAGTGACATGGCGGCTCCCAATGCCTCTGGGATCCCTCTGTTTAATTGTTGCTTTAATGCAGCACTTTAAGGTCATTAACATGCCCTTGTGGAGTTATTCCAGGATGTTGGGGATGCATCCCTCTCTGCACGGCTGGAAAAAGTCTGCCGCACCGTGTCTGTGCATGTGTGTGTGTCTGTGTGTGTGTGTGTGTGTGTGCCAAGTGGGACAGAGCTGCAGTGGGGTTACGTGCCGGTGTAAGGATCCTTACCTTCAGTAGATTTGTTTTTCTGCATTGATTAAACGCGGCTCATGCTCTTAGCGAGCGAATCTCTTCTTTGAGTCAGGAGCCGGTCAGCTGGGAAAATGTTCAGTAGTAAAGGAGTTTTTATTACACAGCTGTGTTTAAAAACGAACGCTGATGCATTTAGATAATTAAATTCATATCATAGCTGATCACAGCTACAGTGACAAGCGTGTATTAAACACAGGGCTGAAATAAACACGGTGGAATCGTAGATTTTTGACTCCGCTCCGGCTGTTCGGTGCTTAAATTTAGGTTGCCCAGAAACAATTAAAATGAGTGCAAAATAAAAATAATGATCATACTCGCTGTTTTATATCGCTTTCAAATTTTTTATGGCTTCATTTTTATGTTTTCATAATATCTGTTTGAAATGACTTTAGCGGCAGTTACTGTCATCTCGGTTGATTTACCGTTTTCCTCTGAATGACGAAATGCAAATTCAGTCCCTTTTTTTCTTCTGCCTCATTTAGTTATTTATTTTTGAACAAAGGAACAAAGGCGACCATAATGTTAAGTTTGAATAGTACATAAAAATCTATTATTGATCCTTAAAAAATCACAGTATTTGAACCTTAATTTACTCGTCCATTATTATGAAGCAGGATCATGTGTTTTAAAAAGTTCTGTTAGATTAATGCAGCTATTTCAAAATTAATAAAAAAAGTAAAATTGTATTTTTTTACGTCTCTTAAAAGTCAAATTAACTTTTTATGCACATGCAGAATTTCAGCTCCTGAATTATGTGTCAGGTCTCAAAGATCTACGATTGCAGACTTGGTTCCTGTGGCTTTTGAGGTTCGTCAGTTTAAAAAAAAAAATCCAGATGAAAACAGGTTTTGTGATTCAGATGGAAAAGAAGCCGAGTTTCATTTCCTTTATTAGCGGCCGAATGAGGTCACGAGTTCATGAAATCACTCGTCAAAAGCCTGTAATACTGTGGTGTCCAGATGTGCAGAAAAGAGGACGACTGAATAAGTTTGATGTGTTTAAGTTCACTTAATTAAGTCTGTAAAAGAAAAAGAGAAAGTCTGATTAGTTTATGTTTTCTTTCAATTTTTATAATTTGTAATTAATTGTAATAAATAGATTGACCTCTTACGGACTCTGACTCAAAATAATATAAATTTGTGGTGTCGTGTGAGCCCATGCAGGTGGGGCAAATAATATATGTCACAATAATGAATCTCCAAACTCATAAAAAATTCAATAATAATAATGATAATAATAATAATAATAATAATTATAATAGACGGCTGTATTTAATTTTCAAAACGAGGTTTCCAAAGGGCTTTGACAGACAAATAAAGGATACATAAGAATAAAGAGCAGCGAGAAAATTCAACAACAATTTAACCAGGTCATCAAGAACCAACACAAAAGACCCCAAACAACATAATTAACCCAAAACATCTTAAGAAACCAGAAGGACCTTTAAGAGCCCAGGAGAGCCCAGAAACCCGGTATGAACTGAGACCTGAAAGACCGAGGAGGTTTGATGATCGAGCATTTAGAAATGAAGATGTAAAAACTATAAAAAGGACTCAGCAGTAAAATATGATTAAAGCAATGAAAAGACCGAGAAACTTTAAAAATTAGTAAAGAAAATTTAAAATTAGAGTGATAAAACACATTTAAATAAAATAAATAATAGAGCTGAAGACCATAAACTGTGAAGTCTCAGAAATAATCTTTATTTTATCACAAAACCTGAAGAATAACAATCATGTTAACAAAGTTTTGTCATTGTTGTTTAATTTATAAACTAAATTATAAATAGAAAAAAAATCCTTGACTAAAAACACTTAAAAATTTTGGGTGTTTTTTATTTTCAGAATTTTCTGTAGCAGATTTGAAAGTTGAAGAGTATTTAAAATTTCCTTAATTTTAATAATGTTAAAAAAAAACAACACACATGTCCTGCAGCACCTGTTGCCCCCAATGTTGCAGCAGATTTATAGAAGGAGTCAAAGACTGATGGCGTCTTATCACTGTTTATCGGCGTATCCTGTAACAGCAGTGGCTATAAAATAAGAGCAATTATATTAAAAATGTAATAGATGTGAGAGATTTCTCAGAGAGCACAGTGCAATAACACGGCCCTTGGAAACATATTTATTTACTTTTATTGCAGAAATTGCATTTAAAGCATTTTAGTGGAGATAAGAGAAGCATTTTAAAGTTGCAATAACTGTACATTCAGAGGGTGATAGTGTTGATTTTCTCTGAGTGTTTCTCCCTCCAGGCTCTGTCGTTGACTCGGTTTTATCCGGTTTTATCACAGATATGCAGGCTCTCCTGTGGGCCCGAACTCCTCCATTGTTGGTATTTATATTCCTACTCCTTTTTTTTCCCCTGTCTGTGTCAGTGAAGCAGCTGAAAACCATCCCCAGCGATTAGAGGATCATTGTATCTGCAGTTAAGCATTTGAATAGTGGTAGTAAATCTAGAAAAGGGAAATTCAGGGTCGCTGTATATGCTACTGATGGCTGCCCAGGGGGAAGCCGGTGTCACATAGTAAATTTAGCCCCTTAGTGTCTTTACAGTGGCCGGCCTGAGATGTTTGAGTGTAGAAATAGAGCAAAAAGGAGTCCAGGATGACTTCACATCTATTCTTTAAAGAGGCACAGAAGTGTTTATTATTTTTTCATCTAAACTGCATCGAGTTGAACAGACTTTTAAGAGAGAAACAACAGAAATCTCTGCTCTGAAGAGTATTTATGAGAAAAGAAAAACTTTGGAATCAAAGATTTACCTGATCATCTGAAGACTTTATCTTTTTTTTATTTTTATTTCTACTCAAATTTCCAAAACCAAAATCAAAGAAATCCTGAAATCACTTTTGCATTAATCCTCAGACCCATTACACATTATTAGACGGCTCCACAGGCATCATGCAGCAGCCGGATATAATGCACTGCATGTTGTCTTTGGTTCAAACACATGCATTAGGAGGTCCTAAACACGGTTTATGTATCGATGACTGAAGTCCTAATCAAATCAGGGGGAGGATGGGAGGGCACGGGAGACACTCTGCCCTTAACCTCAGAGCCTCTCAGTCTCTCTCCTCCCTTTTGACGGCCGCCTTGCTGGAGGGACGCGCAGCAGAGGCCTTCTACTGTAATGAGGAAAAATGTATCAATTTAGCCTGGCCCGTGTGCAGATTGAGCGCAGGGTGGGTGAAGGTGCACCGAGTGAATCCTTTTTCCTAATCAAGGACAGTATCGAAGGGGATTGCGGTCTCGCTCGCTTCGTCTGTAGAGTCAGCAGCATTCCTCCCCTGCAGCCCCCTCAGGGCCAGGGAGCCTCTCTCTGCCTTCTGTTTCACCTCATCAGCAGAGTTCACGCGGGGGTCAGGTCCTGCCCCCTGATGCTGCATTCAATGCAATACCTCTTGCATCGAAAGGCGCTGTGAGAGCCCCCCCGTGCTCAAGGACTTAGCAAAAGAGAAAGAAAACATATGAGCGCTCTCTGATTTTGATTTCTACCTGTGCCGTGAGGGCGGTCACCTCTTCTACTCACTTCTAAATACAGCCGTTTATCTCGTAAAGTGGCCAGTGGAAGCTGATGCATTTCCCTGCAGATTATCCCGGCAGTATGTTGTTGCTTTCTCTCTGCCTTTGGATAAGAAAAGCAAATTTATTTTCCAGCTCTTTGGTTACTTTATGAATTTATTTACCTGTGAGAGGGCACACACACTCCAAAAGACGTGTGACAAAGATTTTCCGGATGTTAATAACTGGATCAATTCTTTTCACGTCCATTGTCTGCTTTGTGTTCACATCTAAAAGAGACAAATGAAAACAACAACTTGAAATTAATCTGCAACATTTGGATAATTTTTAAAATACAGATGCTAAAGTTTCAGGACCAACAGTTTGTGAGTTTTGTAGTTTCATTTGCAGAGTGATGAGAAGATTCACGACAAGCTGATGATCATTATGACAGATTTTCATGCAGATCACTATTCAACCCGTATTTTAAAATTCCCCAGATGAATATTAAGAAATTTGCAGTTTCGTTAATATCTGTATTTCATAGGTCGCCTCGAATGATTACAGTAGAGCTAGAGAAGGAAAACACTTCTCTTCCTTTCCTGAACAAACACAAGTTCTTTCACTGCGGGCGTTTGTTTTTTTTCTTTATCCAAATCTAAAGGAGACCACAAAAACAGACCGCTGCTGTTCATGCCGGCTCCTTGGCAGTTTGTCCTCAGCTTGGAGGAGAAAACAACTCTTTTTTTCTTTCTCTCATGATTTCCATGCACGCTGCACCAGCCTCGAGCGGCAAGCCGAGGGGGGAGAGTCACCAGGAGGCAAAGTATTCTGAAAGTGGAGTAGAGTAGAAAACTAAAATTTCCAGACTTGTAGTTTTTTTTACTCTGTAAGTTGTCGTGTAAAAAGAAAGACAGAAAATGAACATTGTTAGCTGCAAGCAAGCGTGCAATTAAAAGATAATAGACTCTCATCTTGAGTGGTGAAAAGATAAAGTAAAGAAACTGTTTAATAAAAAAGTCATCTGTCCAGTTATTCTGTCATAAAATATAAAAAATTTATGTTAAAGAAAATAAACTTTAGCTTAGTCACCAGCCAATACAGACCAAATAACTCTACATATGAACTGATGATGAAAATAACCCGCAGTTGCAGCCCCATGCGTCAGTATTACATTATACAGTATACTGAATAAACTCTGGGGCCGATTTAAAGAGATGAACACGTGTAAATATTATTGAGGCTGACACATCAAATTTATTATCATATATTTAACATTTTAGGACAAATAAGAGGCAGGACATGTGCAACTAAAACAAACCCAAACAAAACAGAAGAGAAGGAAAAGAAGAAAGAAAAAACATTACACATGATGAAGAGAAATATATTGACGGCCAACTTGCTGCCTAATAAGTTGTAATATGTTTCATTGACTGGATAGTTAAGCCGTGTAATATGTTTTTAAGTGTGTGGGGTGCTGAATATGTCACTTATTTTGCAAAGATCAATCAAAACAGGTCTGGAGAGTCTGCACACGTTTACTAAAAATGATCACAGACCACTGTGAGTGTGCAGTGAGAACACACACAGTGATTACACAAAACAACAGGCTCAGTTTGTGTAGCTGCCTGTATGGCTAACGTTCACAAAATGAGTGAACACACAGAACCAGAATCAGCATCTTTAGGTTTAACTGATGGATGTGGATCGTTCTCACTCGCATGAAGATGGTTTTCCTTTAAGGACAGGTGTTTCCTATCGAGACGCAGATCTGCAGACTGCGTTAGGAAGCAGTCGCCATAAGAGATTCCTCGACAATTAACTCGTTTCACCACCTGCAGATTAACCACTGCACAGAATAGGAGAAGAGCTGGTCCACACTGATCGGTAGAGTTACTAGCAAAACAAAAACATACCAAGTAACACACTCAGTTTGAAGTGAATAAATTAGACTGTTTTTCTTTTTAGTGTCCTAACAGCATTTAACATCCTTAGGAAAAGAGTGAGCTAGTAAACCAGACTTTACCAACACAGGTTTGTGTTTTTTGTTCACGATTTTAAAGGAATGCAAAATAGTATCATTTATTGTTATCGGCAAAACCTCCAGGAATTTAGACGCCTTTTTTTCATCCTAATCATTTAGTTGATTTGTTGTTTGTCCCAAGAGGGACAGACTCACATTTTAGTGCCAGAGACATGGCAATGAAAGGAGCATATGTTCAGAGAGTATCCCAAATTATAACAACAGAGACACACACAAAACAAAGCTGACTCATAAAGTCACCTGTATCGAAACGTTGATTCTTCTATTACAGGCTAGTTTTTATTTCAATGACCTCCTGACCCTGTGTTTGTTTATGTGCGCTGCATTCTGAAGAAACTCTGCAGTGTAATCCACTACAGTCCAATCCACTGTATTTGTATAACAGATTTATCCAAACTGGAATGTTTACCTGGGCAGTAAAATGAAAGCAGAACAAAAACAAAGTTGAATTAACACTGTGTACACTTAATAAAAGCATAGGAACAAATAAAAACGAAAAATAAACACAAGGATATTCAGTAAAAAGAATCAAACTAAGAATCAACATAAATCACAGCTCTTATGCGGTGTTAAAACCAAAGGAGTAAAATTAAGTTTGGAGATGAGATTTAAGGATATGCAAGGTCACAGATGTTTTAACAGAGAGGAGAGGGGAGCTGCACGGTCACCTCTTGTTTTCAGCCTGGTTAGAGTAAGGGTTAAGGTTAGGACCGTAAGAAACAGCTGATCTCTGTGACTTTGAGGATGTGGACACACACAGGAGAATTGTAGTGATTGTACCCGACTCACCCTAAAATATGATGTGTGTGTTTTTTAACAAGATTTCAAATATGAAAAAAAGGAAACAGAGATACACCTTCTTTCATTCTCCTCTCGCTCTCTTTGGACGTGCACCTGGTTAATTTGGAGATGTCAATAGCTGAGCACGAGTGGTCCCTGCCTGTTGAAGTACACGTCCCCCTGCTGAGAGTAAACCCTCTATTGATGCCGTTGCAGAAGAGCTACTTAAGCAGCTGCTCTCTCTCCTTCAGCATCTCCATCTTCTACAGAACCATCAACATGCTCTTCGGTGCATTTTTCTGTTTTTCCAACATCTTTGTTGCATTATGACCACCGTTAGATCTAATGTAACGTATTAGCCCTTCCACCCAACCATTTCCCTTCATTTTGATTCACTCTCTTTCCAGCCTTTGATTGACTTTCAGCCTAAGTAAAGTGGATTTTAATGAGAGAATACATTAACTCCCTCTGGTCATGCTAACATAAATCAGCCTTTTCTTGCGGGATCAACTGCTGAGCTCATAACACCATGCTGGGAGAGTGTGAATAACCAAATGAGGGAGTGCGGCTGTGGCAGACCGCTGGCAGCTCAGATGCATTGTTGTGTGTGTGTCCCTCCCCCCCCTCGAGTTTCAAACAAGTTCACGAAGGCAGCCGAACGCAGCACTTATCAGCATACAGGTCAGCTTGCTCATGGAAACGTTCATACATCAGGATCAATTAAAGACATATCTTTGCTCGATTTCTATTGATTATCTCCCTCCATTTGGAAATGAGGGCGACTCCCATCTTTCCTCTGTGATGACCACCGAGCACAGTTAGATTCAGTTAGCGGCGCCTCGCAACTCCTCACCTTGATTTACAAAAGCGGCTCCAGCATCACATCTGTCTGCTTCTCTTTGTTGGTAATTGCACTCAGCTAAATAGGTTATGCTGAAATATCAATAAATTGCCATCAAATTAATGTCAATACCAAAGCTGTGGATGGCGCTAATTAAAACGCAAAAGGGATGAAAATGAAGTCAAGGCATTGCCCTGAATAATTGATAACGCAATTTATGATTTTTATGAAAGAGTGCCGTCTGTCTGCGATTTTGATGAGGGCTTAATTAGATGCATTAATGTGTCTCTCTGTGCCTGTAGTCAAACTCAAAGCTCAAACACCATGATGGTTGTTGGGGTATTTTAACTCACTAAATTGCTTATTTTCAAATAACATTACCTCTGAATATCCTCTTAAAATTGCATGGGTCCCTAAGAGGTGTTAGTGTGCAATTTTCATTAAAGGAGGCATTCGTTAGTGTTGGACCAATCAGGAGGCTGCGTTTGTCACACAAGGGGGGAAAAAAAGAGACGTTACCATGTGCTCACATTAGTGTCATGACAAACTTGGTAAAAGCCAGGTGCTGCTGAAGTTTGACGCATCTCTGTCAGAGGGGGTCTGAGGTTGACTTTGACCTTCACAGGGTCTTCATCAGGGCGTGGTCGAAAAACACAAACAGGTGAGGGTCCATTTATAACATCATGTCGGTTTATTGAAAAAGTAGAGGAACAGAAATAGACGACATGACAATAAAAGGAATATAAAACGGCACAGTCAGTGAGAACAGTATTTACTCGGCTTTCTAACAACCCCTCTGCTGTTTTAAATACTTGACTCTGATTGGTCAAAAACCCTGTGACGACCTCTTGACAAAGATCACAGTGATAATATCAAATAAGTTGAGTTGTAAGAGTTTTAACATAGACAGCAAACATAAGCTTTGATGGAAATGGTTATTATAAACTTCACTGCTGATTGAAATTTCCAATTTGATTAGATGAATTAGATTAGATGTTTGATATTCACTATGCTAAGGTTACCTAGATCTTTGATACTCTGATTCTTTTCACTGTTATATGCTTTAAAGTGATTCAATATTCACTGTTTATATGTTTGGTAAGGTTGAAAAATATCAGAGCCTTTAAAACAGAAAAAACAGATTCACACTCATATTCAACTAGAACAGTGAGAGGGTGAGCAGCAGCAGCGGAGGTCCATTAATGTAGAGAGAAAGATGATCAAGTCGTCAATATGGCGAACTTAAATATGAAGTTATCCCCTGATTTGATTGATTGATTGATCGACACAATGATTACACCCTAAAGGACGTATAAACCCGTTCAAATCTCCATATGAACCTGCTGGAAGGTGCTGAAGCTGAAGTCGCTCTCTGCTCAGCCCACCGTCACAGCCATTACTGCTAACTCCTTGTTCATAGATTGTTTTTTTAAGTCTTTTTACATCTACTAAAAATACAGATGTTACGTTATTGCAGTTGTACGTCCATAAAATGACCATACTAGTAAGAAGATTAGAAAATACAGACGGAGATCATACTCTCTGCGGATACACACACCTCCTCTGGACTATACCTCCTAACCCCTAACCCTTAACACTAACCCCAACAGTAAATCATGTTATTCAGCTTTTTCGTGCAGGTTAAAAATAAAAAAATAGCAAAAATATAACCGTTTTGGATGCCTAGTAGTTCAGTTTTGTTACAGGAACAGGTATTTTTCTGGTATTATATTAAATAAAAATTCTGTTAGCATGACGACCCTACACTGTGACCCGTCCCCAACATTATCATAATATTTTAGATATCACAAACAGTCAATTAAGGGGACAATAATCACCATGGCAACTCTGTTAAAGCAATAAAAGGGAATGGATAGACTCAGAGCATATATCTCCTCAGACGTGACTCAGAAGTCGTTGATTTTATGATTTTTATGAGTGAAAACATGTTTTTTTTACTCATCCTTGACTCCAGTGAGAGTTCCTTAAGACACCCCCTCCGGTTCTCCCTGTTGACCGGTTCTGCTTTTGTCCATGGCGGGTCAAAGCGGCATCAAGCAGTGCGATGCTTTCAGGTCGCGCAGAAGAAACCGTCACGCTCACGTTTCGACCACGTCTGTGTTTGGTTGTTGAAGTGAGGTCAGGTCGTCGGGCGTCAAAGTGTTAAGCACGCATGAATGTGTAATGTTTATTGACTCTAGCAGATCAGAGTGATCCTGTGTTGATTCTGCACCTCCTCATCTATTAGCCGGGCTTGACCTTTGGAGATAAATGAAGAGTGAGGTGAGCAGACAGATGAGGGGATTAGAAGTGGGCCGCGAAAGGGAAGCAGGCCTGGGAATAATAAAAAATGGAGGGACTGCCGGCGGATGGATGAGGTGGAGGAGCATAATGATCGCTGTTTGTTATGATGTACTGAATCAGGTTCTCTTTGACGAAACAGTCCTTAGCACCTGTGTATTTATAGTGTCACTGCTCAGTCCATCCACAAAGGCAGGCTGATGATATGTGAGTGTTTTAGTGCACAGAGGTGTCTGGGGCTCTGCTCTGGTATGACCTGCTCATCCGTCAGGACCGCGAGCTGAAGCGGGGCAGGGTTATGGGATCACAGGCTGGACGGTTGTGAACTTGAATCTCTGGATGGTTAGCCAAGCAAAAATCCAATATCCTCTGAGTTTAAGTTATTTAAGGGCAGAGATTTGACTGCACACCAAAACTTTTAAAGATAAGAGCCCCCTATACTTGAGACTCTTCATGCTCTTAATTTTTATGAATGAGGATGAGGTCCCTGTTTGTCTAATTTCTGGGTATGCCATTTATCGAAGCCAGTTGTGGGATGACATGTTGGGTTTTTCCCAGCATGCCTGAGGACTGGAGGGGATGTACTCTGGAAATTCCCCCAGTCATCATCAGCAGACTGACTGTGGTGTCTCACTGACTGGTGTAAATGGTCTTTAAATTGTTCCTGCGTTTCAGACTAACAAGGCGGTTCCTGCCCTCCCTTCGCTAATGCCCGTTGACGAATGAATTCGGAGGAAGTCCAGCTTTTGTTTTTGACACATGAGAAAGCCAGGTACTCCTGAGGAAGCAGAGGGCAGATCCTGAGGTTGAGGTTGATCTGGGGTCAGCTTTACATGTTACCCTCTGATGACAGAAAGGCTCGGTGATCGTTCAAATAAGTAGATTTGTTGTTTGAACTTTAAAACGATATGTTGAAACGTCCTAACAGAGTAATAACTACACCCTGAAATTCTCTGTGAGTGTTTGTGCATATCTGCATATTATTCTCTATTATACCACAGAATAATTAAATGATAATTAAAATGAAAAAGTTTATATAAGTAAACATCGTACACAGAACCTTCATGGAGCGAAACATAACACCATGAAGTCGGGTTCCTCTTTAAAGCGGCCTCACCAGGCTTACAAACTACATGAGCTGCATTGTCTATTTACTGCACTAATTAACTTAAGCCTTTAAGCGCTGCCATTGACCTCTCATCTTTAACATCTAACTTTGCAAATTGAAGAGAGTTGTTTGAATTTCCACAGGATGGTCACTCCCATTAAAAGTGCAGCGTTGGCTGATGGATGGACTGCAGCGCTCAGCAGCACTGTAAATGTATTGATCCTCTGTTTCCCAAAGCCTGGCAGGGATGTATTTGACCCGCAGGGATGGAGACTGTGTGTTCACGGTGTGTGCTTGTGTGTGTGTGTGCGAGGGTTGCCTTGGAAATTAAGTAGGTGTTCATCATTAGGAACACGCGGCGAAACAATCAGTCCAGGATTTAATTGGTAGAAACTACTTCAAGACTCCAAATGCAAAGACAAGCTGCTTTTTCCTCTTTTCTGTTATGAATTCAACATATGTGCATGTTGGTCTTAAAAAACACTTTTTATTTTGGACTTTTTAAAGACAAATTATCACTTCTAATTCACAGACTTTGGTGACATCCCCCTTGTTGCAGTCCAGGACCTCACCAACATCTTGAAGCAAGGCTACTTGGAGAAGAAGCGCAGAGGTACATAAACACCAGCTCATGATAAAAACAAATCATATCTGTTGGTTTTTTAATTGATCATTGTGTACACCTTCTGTAAGATCACAGCTTCTTTGGCTCAGAATGGCAGAAGAGATGGTGCGTCCTGAACAATTCAATATTCTACTACTTTGGGAGTGAGAAAGGTCCGTATGAAAGGAAGATGTACTCCAACAGTTCAGCTTTAAAGATTAAATAACGTCCTACCAGCTCCTCTTCTTTTACAGATAAGCAGCAGAAAGGTTCCTTTTATATTAATGAATACAGTGTGCAGCTGGTGACTAACCTGAGAAAGGACTCCAAAAAGACTTGCTGTTTTGAGCTCTTTGCTCCGGGGCGGCGGGCTTTCCAGGTCTGTATCACCACACTAAGTCTAAAAAGTGTGTCATGAAACTCTGGTAAATTTTCACTGTGGGAATATTCAGAATAGTTGTGTTATTTACTGAAAACTATAAAGTAAAACAAACACAATCACTCATCTTATAGAAAAGCTACACAAGAGTTTTATCAGTAACTTTTTCAATGACCACGTTTGTCTATTTTTAAAGCTCCTGTGAGGAACTTTCCATCTGTGTTGACTTTGGCGCCCCCTGTGGACAAAGTGTAAATGTTTAAGATAAGAGATAAGATAAGATGTTCCATTAATAGTCCCACAGGGGGGCAATTCCCAAATTACAGCAGCACAGTATAGATACCAAAAGACCAAAATTAAAAGATAAAGAAACTTTGAGTTAAAACAGGATATGTGCATGTGTTATATTTACAAGTTTTTATTACAGTTTGTTGTTGTACCTGCTTTTTCTTGGCAGTTACAGGAATAAAAAATTACATAATAAAAATAGCCAGTCTTATTTGCATCAGTATATCATAAAAAGGTGTTAATGTTCATCTGGCTGTTTCATAACGAATCAAAAGCTTCCCACCAGAGCAGCTTATGTTCAAAGTTATAAAGTTAAGAAGCTTTTTAAGTAAGTTTCTTTAGATGCGGCTTTTTAACTCCACATTATTACTGTCATATGTTCAGCTTTTTTTATTTCTCATACTGTAAAAACATGCTTTTATTTTGAAATGGAGTATATGACACTTTCTCGCACACACTCCTGCATGTGAGCATCCATGATGGTCACCCTGGAATATAAATATGAATTAAAGCATTAAAGAAGATTGCCTTAAAATGGTTGATTAACTAACAAATAATTCTATTGCAAACTGATTAAATGAGTCCCTGGAAAAATAAATAAATAAACAAATATAATTTTGTGGAGAAATACATGAAAATTTAAGTTTCTCATTTAGTAACTACACGACAAAAATCCCTGACATTTTTTAATCCTCTATAATAGAAATAATATCAATAGTTTTTATAATGAAAATCAATGATAAGAACAGCTGTAGGTGAATTTAGATAGTTTGGAATTACAGCATTAAAGAGCAGTAATAAATAAAAACCATCAGAGTAAATGATCATTGAAATGATGATGGTTAGTTGTAGCTCTATATAGGACTGTAATGGTGACATAAATATGTTGGTTGACTTTAATCCTCCTGTGTCACTCGCTCTTTAACCCATCCAAAGAACATGCATGTGTGTGTGTGCTGCAAAAACACTCTTTTCTGACTCATTAGGAATTTATTCCTGTTAATTAAATATCCCAGAAGCAGATCTAAAGGAAGTGTTTTTTTTTCTTCCAAAAGAGGGATTTTATTTGCTTCTTTTTCTCCTCTTTATTTGACAGCCAGGAAGAGAGTTTGTTTTATGCCTCATGGATTAAAAAATTACTTTGATGTCCGTGCACCGTTAGACGAGATGATAATTGCAAGTTTATTGCCTCTCTTTCCACCAGTTCACTGCCAGCAGTCCTCAAGAGGCCAGAGAATGGGTGGACCAAATCAATTTTGTTCTTCGAGGTAAGAAAGCTTTCTCCCTCTGGCTCCTATTGTCTTTGCACTTTTTCATCCGAGTGTTTTTTTTCTCCTTCTGTTGCCTCTAAGAGAGAGTTCCTGCTTTTTCTGTTTCTCCTTTGGATTTCTTATTCTAATAAATGGTTCAAAGATAAAACCTCTCTGATACACGCTCATACTAAAATAAATCACATCGACTTTAGGTGACTTTTGAAAAAGCTCCGTCTATTTTTATCTGTGTTGTTCTTAAGCGTGCTTGTGTTTGAGGGGCAGAGAGGTCAGAAATGAAAGGAAACCCTTTCTTCATCACTGACTGAGATAAAAACCACCTGATCCATCAGGAACCTGACAGCCAAAAACCGGGGTCCTGAATCTCCTCCTGTCACCCACCATGTCCTGCAGCCCTCTTAACCCCCTCCTCCCCTGACCCTCCTACAGAATTCCAGCTTACAGGAAATTGATTGGTAGCTGTTCTGGTTATCCTCCAGTGACATTGATTTCTGCTCGGCCGCTGCTGTACGGCCGAGGACCTGATACCCTGTGTTGCAGCGGCCAGTCGCCTGCAATGAGACGGCTCCTCCATCTGAGCGAGCCGGTCTTCTCTAAAATGGGCTCGGCCCGGGACACTGATTTGCGGGAAGTAACAGACACTCAGCAGTTTGTCTTACTTCCTCCAAGCCCAGTTATCGAAGTCCCAAACACAGATGGACACAGATGATTTTTTTTTACCTCTTTATTCTTTAAGTAAACCTGAAAAATCCTGACTTTTCTTTTCCTTGTGTTTTTATTTTTTAATGCTTCTGCCTGATTGATTATTTTAATGATCAAAAACACAAATAAGAGCGAAAGAGGAGGAGAGAGATGCTTATAGATTTATGGCTGAAACTATGAGATAATCTGCACATTACTTAGTAGATTCACTGATTTATTGTTTGTCTCAGTCTTCAATTGTCTGATCTAGACTGTCGACATGGAAGCATCCTCTGCCCTGTCGTTTCTTCGTTTCAAACACTTGCTGATTTTTTATGTTAATCAGCTGATAGATAAGATCATTCATCTTTGCAGACTTAATTACAATCTGTAATATGAGTTATAAGTCTGCAATGAATCAAAAACACTTTTAATAATATTTTTTTTGATAATCTAAACAGAGGATGTAAAACAAAGATATGGATTAGTTGATTTATTGATCCACAGCACATCTGATAGTAACATCATTATTGAGAAAAAGCCAAACTTCTGTCGATCAGGACTTCTTGTGTGATCGATTTGCTGCTTTATCTGTGATGTAGACTTAAAAAGAAGAGTATAGACTATTAAAATAGTAAATACTCAAACAGTATAAGAAATGGTAAAAGTGCATGTTGTATTGTTTTTTTTTACAAGACATGAAAACGCTCCAATCTTTATCCCCTCTGCAGATGGGTCGTGATTTTTGCATATTCTTTTATCAAATAGTTGGTGTGACTATTTTCATAACTCCTTTTCACTTTAGAAAAATGAAAAAGCTCTGAGGCCTTCTCTCTTTAAGCCTTTATTTTCATGGCATGATCACACAGCCCTAAAAAAAACAAACTTTGACATGTTTCAGCATCAAACCTCCAATTGGAAGTCAAACGTCCTGACGGAGGAGAATACTTTAGACCTTTTTCTTCTTTTTCTACAACTGTATGAACCCCTAAACTTAAGCGCTCCTTTCTCCAGTTTTAAGAAATCTTTTCAACTATTTCGACCCGCACCTGATGGTCGTAGCACATCTTAAAGCTGTTAAACAACGAAACAAAAAGAGAGTGTGTAAGTGCCAGCATACGGTTACACAAACATGACACTGTAAGATTCAGAAATGGAGAAAGTTGTGGACTCTTCGGCTGCCGTGAAACTTTTTTTCTTCTCTGTAAAACTCGCTGATCTGGATCTGATCTGCTTTCATGGGTCTCTCTCTCTCCTTTTACCTCCATGTGAGCTTGTCGAGGTGGGACGAGGAGTCGACTGTTTCAAAACAGAAACAGAACAAACATCCAAAGTCATTTAATCTTGATCAGGTTGACCAAAAATTGAAGTGAGGGTGAGATTTAGGAAGCATCTGTGAAACCGGAGGCCCAACCTTTTCTCCGTATTTGTGACTCACTAACGAATGACTCCTCTGGAATAAACTTTAGCTTGAATAGATAATCAAAACAATTGTTGTTTACAGCCTGAATTAAAGCCTGCAGTGCTCCGACTCCTGCGATAAGTCACATGCTGTTGTCTGTTGTGTGGTCTGGGTCCATTTCTCTCACTTTCCTCTTTAATGTGTGTGTGTGTGTCTGTGTGTGTGTCTTTGTGCTGCGCTCTGCTCCATCTTAACGCTAACACCGCCCATCACTTTGTCTCTCCTTCCCCGCCATAGATCTCAGCTCTAGCTCCATCCCCGTCGATGAGGATGAGGATGAGGAGGAAGAAGAGCCCTATGATGACATTGAGGGGATGACGGGCCCTCCCCCACCTCGGCCTCGTGCCGCCCCAGCCTTCAGAGGAGGAGGTTACGAGGCGGAGGAGGCCGAGGAGGAGGACGAGGATATCTACGAGGTGGTGCCAGGTATGAGGATGTGGACTCTTCAGCACCTACACACACTAACACACACTAACACACACAAACTCATGATACTCAGTCAGACAAATAGACACGCACACACGCACACTGGAGCCCTGGGGATTTTTGCAGGAAGAAGAAATATCAGTGCCGGTCTCCCCTGGCTCTGAAATTGGTGTTGCCAGGTGCCTCCCTAACACCACGGCAACCAGACGGATCCCTCATTTTAAATCAAGCAACACTAATAAGCTTGTCAGGACCGAGGTGGCAGCTGCAGAAACACACCAGGCAGAAAGAGAAGACTCTCCTCCTCACATCAGTTTCCTCCTCTCCGATCTGTTTAGAAACAGTTTTGTTGTTGAAATCAGCGAGAGCCGCGTCGGTTCTGAACGCTCTGTCACAGAACATCCAATTAGCTAATGTTGCCAGGCAACAAATAGCCCACAATTCAATCCAATAAGCGGAGTTTTGGGTAAAATCGCCTAGCAACAGCAATTTAGCTGAAAGGAAGTAAAAAACGGCATCACTCAGGGCTTAAAATAGTTCTGCAGCTCTTAATGTCACTCCTTTAATAGAAATTAGAGTTTGATGGAGACTCCCGAATCAGTGCGTGTGAGCACCAGCCCCATGTGTCAGCGTGGCTACAAGATCCCAAGAAGGACAAAAGAGGTGATCTGATCTTCTCCAGGCCGTCGTCCATCACTCTTTCTATTAAATAAGATACATCAAGATTCTGTTTCACTCACTGAGTACATTACCTTCGCCAAAATCAGCGGTGAGAGGGAGATCAGTCTTCAGTCTGTCACGCCGGCGTTCAAAGCCATCTGGGAGGAGGTACAGACCCTGACCACAGATGGCGTATCGAATGACGAGCTCTTTCGTTCACTTTCTCACCCCTTCACTTATCAATCACTCCGCACCTCTCTTTGCGCACTTACTGCTCGTACACAGTATTTATACGGAGGTGAATTTTTTATTGTTTTGTGAACAAAGTGTGACTTTGAAGGGACGAGGCGTTTAATCTTAATTTAATGTAAAATCTAGAACCGAAGCAAAAGACCGGAACATGAGACCCGGTCTGTTTCTCAGGGGGTAAAGATTCAAACTACATCCCTGCGTGAAGACTTTCAACGCCTCCATGAAACATCAGATGAGTTTGGACAAAATCAAGGATGGAAAAATACTTTTTTGGTCTCTGAGAAAGACGCTGGTAAAACATAAAGAACTGCAGATAGACTGAGAAACTATGAGGTGAAGCTGATGTCCCCTCTTTAATTTTTTTACTCTAAAAAGTCTCACCGCCTCACCTTTTTGTGAATATTCGCAGAGGAAAATGCAAAAGTAGGCTGTAAATGATCTTATACTGACCCCAGACCAGCAGTTAAAGTTGTTAAAATGATTGTAAAGAAAAGGTCAAAGGGATCTGTAATCATTTAAATCAGTTAAAAACTCCTCACAGATGCTTTAAGGTCTCTCTGAGGTTATTCGATCAAATACCAGAAACGTCAAACTCGTAGTCACCAAACAAGTGAAGAAATGTGGAGCAGGAGTGAAGCGTCGTTTTCCCTCCCACAGTTTCGTCACAGCAAAACTCCAAACGCGGCTCGGTCGCGGGCAGATTGCAGAGCGATGGTGGTATTGGCTCCGGTGCTGATGACTGATTTTATTGACTGGAAAATTAAATCACTTTGATATAGAAACTGTTGGCCCGTAGCGATGGCCCTCTCAACTGAAAGACGCTCGTCTGTACCGCAGCAGAAGAGTGACAAACAAATCTAGAATCTCTTTTCAGTCACTCTGTTTTTACTGTGTGATTAATGTAAATAAGAAAAATGAGATTTTAGTTGTTAATTCATGAAAATAAGAGACTTCTGAGCGTGTATTTAAAATGGAAAAAGCTGAAAAGACATCAAACTTATGAACATTTTCTGCCCTCAAACACACAATGATAGCAGATATGCGAGTGGGTATACAGTGTGTGTGTGTGTGTGTGTGTGTGTGTGTGTGTGTGTGTGTGTCCCCTGTCCGTCCCACTCTTCCTGGAAGCAGAGGCGCAGGTTGTGCTGGGAGGTGGATAGTGTTGCGGGGTTGTGGCGGGGCTGTCAGCCCGCTCCTGTAAAGGATGGATGTGGGAGACAGAGGGCAGGCATATCACTGTGTCACCCCTCAGACCACCGGGTGCCACGCCCCGCAGTCGATGACACGTCCGCCTCCCCTGCTGGCTTTAAAGACAGCCTCCTTTCTCTTAAACTTCTCCTGCCTCTCCTGCCCGCTGATGAATTTGTTCTAATTGACCATGATGGAAGAGTTCAGGGAAATAGATGTGCTGTGTCATGTGGAGATTCATCAGAGATTGACTGATGATCCTTTTGATACTTGTTTTTAAATGTTTGCTTAGGGATGCAAATTCTAAGTATTTTCTTTAATCAATCTTTGGAAATGTTTCTGATCGATCACTCGTTTAAAAAAAAAAGATTTTCCTAAATCATCGGGTCTTAGTATTTTTAATAGCAAATAACTGACAGGACTGCGCAGCTACAGATGTTCAGATTGTTCAAAATGCTGATTACCAACATGCAGAGCAGACTCATTATGATAATAATTATAATCTCTGCAGACATGTAGTCAAATAGAGCGAGGCTCCGATATCAAACGTGGAATCACTGCAGAAAGAGATCCGAACAGAAACACATTTCAGACTCTTCAGTTTTCTGGAAAATATAAGTGCGTCCAAATCGATTCTGATTTCGGCCCCTCAAGATGAGACTGAAGGAGGTTGTGCTGCCTGCTGCTGCGTTACCCCGTTACGTCCTCCCTCTCTTCCTGAACAGCAGAGCCTGGGTGCAGCTATCACCCCTCCCCTCAAACACTCTCACTTCATCATAAGCAGCTCGGATCGATGTGAAACAAAGTTTGGGAGCATGAGGAAGTTATGGCTCTTTCTAAGATTAATGGTGGCCACAGGTGGAGAGAGAGGAGAGAAGGGAGAGGAGCAAGAGGAGGAGGAGGAGGAGGAATAGGAGGAGGAGGCAGGGGTGTGAATGTGTGTGACTGAAAAGCCAAGGGACAGAATGAAGAAAGTCCTTTCAGTAGTCACACGAGAGATGAATGTTGCCGACCGCTTGCTTCTCTAGTTATACCAACTTTAGTAACGACTGCTTGATAGCAATACAGAGCGGTCTGAGGAGCCATAAACAAACCTCAAATAAACGCCACTCTATAGGCACAAATAATGCTCAGGACAGCACCTAACTTCATCAACAGGACATATAGGGTCACAGCCATAGAACTAGACACCAAACATCTTATTAACTTTGCCTAATTTCTTTAGCAAAGAGACTAAACACAACTCACCTACTCTCTTCCAGTCAAATACGGACTGCTGCGGGGTGACGCAGCTCAAAGAAGAACATTTATGATAATTTCTTTATCATTTCCTTTAAGTAATAATCATCATATTAATAATTTTGCTCTGCAGACGCAATAGTTCTTCTGTCTCAGCGTCTTGGTCTGATTGTATTTCCATGAAGAAATTATCATAAATGTTCTTCCTTGAGCTGCGACACCCCGCTGTAGTCCATAATGGACTGGCCTGGAATATCCCTTTAAAATAGTTGATATCATGATTTTTGTCAGAATCCAGCTGCTCCAAGTGCAACCAAGTCAAGAGCAGAAAACGCCCACTCAGAGGGCGCTGATGTTACTGTGTTTGCAAAGATACTGGTAGGTCAGCTTTGCCAATCTGACTTTCTACCAGTCTGACAGCTTTGTATCCAGAGGGGGGGTCATGCCCTGCAAATAGTTCTTGACCTCTGTGGCTGAGGATCTCCGCCCAGGTGTGACATTTAAAGCAAGTTAGAAACTCAAAACAACCTCCTAAAAACTGAATATGATCCGAATCCGTGTTATTTATCTCTGCCTGATATAAAACAGAAAAAAGCATTTTTAAAGCACGGTCTTTTCTTGTTACAGCAGGTCTGACTTTCCTGGTTTATCTTGAGTAAAAATCCCCCCTGCTGCTGATCATTAACGGATGCATGGACTAATTTTAATTCTCAAAAGTGGTTTTCTTGTCTTTTGTTAGTTTCAGAAGAGGATTTCCAAGATCCAACAGAAGAGATCAGCGAGAAGAGCAACAAATCAGGTCTGACCTCATTACAGTCTCCTCCGTATAATGAGAACATCCACGACTTGATAGTTTTTTTCTTTGATCGTCTTTGCCTAGAACTTGGAAAACGGAAACTTTTCTCATCCTTTTGTTTAAACGTGCGCTCTTTGTTTTCTCTTAGCGTGGTCATCAGATTACGCTAACTACTACCAGGGTTTATGGGACTGCCAGGCGGACGAGCCGGACGAGCTGGCCTTCCAGAGGGGAGACCTCATCTATATCATCAGCAAGGTCAGCATCTCAATCAGGACAATTTAAAAAAAACAGGATCTTCTTTTCGGACAGAAGCAGATTAAAAAGGGAGAGAGCTGCTCTGTCATTCATCTCTAATGGGAGTCATCTCTGATTGCACCCTGGACTCATCCACACAATTACAGGAGCAATTTTAGTTGTTTAAAATGAGTCTAATGTGATGTAAATGTGTACGATGCGCAATTATTTAAGGGTTAAACAACATCAACTCCAGTAATCACTTGGTCCTCATTTACTTCCCGAACATGCTGATATCCCCAACATCTAAACCCTTCTGTTAGCGAGCGCCTGTGTGTCGATGCAGCAGCGAAGCACCAACAGTGGCATTGTCTTTTTCGCGGGGCCACTAGGGTGAAGTGCCATTCGGGCGCTGCGTAATGGTGCTGTTGTTCATTATGGAGCCTCTATCACAGGGGTTAATTGAGTAGGCAGCCATGCGAAGCTCTTCTTTTCTGTTTGACATAAACTGCAGGTGAAGCCATCCTGCATCTCAGCTCTTTTCCCTCAATCTATTTCCTCGTGTTTTATTGCCGCCGTGTAGTTACATGCAGAGTATCTACCAGTGAAAAGCCACCCTACTGGAAATCAATGGCTTGTAATTTGGGCACTTTTCCTCTGCAGCGTTCAGGGACTTGTTCGCCGACTGTTGCTATTGGATGGTTTGAAATTGAATCATCATGTTCTGTATTTAGGCGAAATTATCTGAAGAGCAGAGAGAGGGAGGAATTGCCGTATATTCAGCTGTTTTGTAAGTAATTATGTGGTTGAGATTGAGAAATGATGTGTTCAACATCATGATTTCTTGCATCTTTAATCAGCAGCTGGAGTCTCTGAATTTTAATTATTTGTAATACGCCGCTAAAGCGCGGAGACGTTAACGCCCTCTCTGTTCTGGTGAAGTTTTCAGGTTTGGACAAACAAAGGGTGAGAAAAAAAGGAGCTTTTGTTTATAAGAGCAGACACGGCACAGGTGAAATATGCTCCTCACATAAGATGGACTTTTAATTGAGCTTCTCTTGGCAGAGGCAGATTAATGAGATGCCAGCCTCCTCTGTCTGTGTGTGCTGCTTGATAGGGGAAAATGTCAAAACAGCCATGTTCATTTTTCACGCCAGGATGACAAAGGCGGCGTACTTGAGGAAACAAAGGGGACCTGGCTCTGCGCTGCAGATCCGCCTCAGCCCTGCCTCCTGTATCACTCCTCACTGTACGGATCAGATTACGGACTCGCTGGAGACCTAAAAAGCAAACTCAGTCCAGGTTTGAGGAAGACTTGGTTGTAGTTTTTCGCCGTCTTAATAACACAGATTACTCTTGTATTGTCAAGCTGTGTGCTAAAGCTGAAACATCATCACAGACAGAGTTCCTGCAGAAAGTTTTACTAAGTCTTTGACCAGAATTAAAAATTTTGAAGTTGTAAAAAGCCTAAAAAAGTCGTATTTTTCCTCACATTTTAGATCGGACATTTCTGGCTCATGCCCGAATACTAAATCAAATCCAGGCCGTCCTGATAGCATGATATGAGATGTTATCATTTTTCTTTGGAGTGGATTTGCTCGCTCACTAGACAAATTTGGCGTTCACTGCAGCTTATTCCTCATGCATTCAGAAAACTGAGAAGGAGAAGAAAAGGAGATCATGCAAGCTCAAAGAAAATTGTCCTCAGGATGAAAAATACAGGAAGGAGAAGTTAACAGAGGCGAACTTGGTGAGGGGACTTGCAAGATAAGCGAAAGCTTCGTATTAAAGAGGCGAATCTATCAAGGGTGTCACACCTGTGTGTTATTTGTTTGGGTCTGAAAAAGGTCTGAAGAAGTCTTTTATGTGGTTCTAAGTGTGCAGCGCCCCTGAGATGGTGTCCTAACTATCCTCTGGTGGGTTCAAAGCTGTAAATTATTGAGAGGTGATCTCTGGGCGGCTCCCAGTGTTCGGTTTAGTGTGACGACGCGTCTCCACCCGTGTCCCATTCTGCGTCCTAAAAGCGTCACTGAAAAGCATTATTTGGATGACGGCCTGTAATCGGCTGTTTGTTTTAATGAGCCCCTCGGGGAGGGAGGGCTTCCCCGCGTCTTGTGCGCGTAAACTCCGGCGTTCGGTTTTTACGGGGGGGATTCCTGAGAACCCTGACCTCGATGAGTGAAATACGGGCCCTTGGCTAGAACTCAAGTCTGTCGCTTAACTGGGGACCCAGACACATGAAATGGCCGTAATAAAACCAGGGCCCATAAATTCTCTCACAGGGTGGGAGGCCTGGTTGTCTGTGCTGTTATGTCAACACTGACCATAATTACAAGGTAATAAGGACACGCTCTAAGTGCTAAATCAATGGTGCTAACAAACTGTTATTTTTAAAGCTGGGATGTGATTGACTGCTGAAGTGCAGAATGGGATAGCCACAGGCGTGGTGTCATATGGCTGTGAACTGAGGAGAACATGCCGATTGTATAAAAGGCCCTCATCCATCATTATTGATCTCTCACTTACTGTAAAGTGGGGGCATTTTTACTGTATTTGTGTGTTATTTTTCTGCGTGTGTGTGTGTGAGAGAGTATCTGTGTATCGCTGACAAAGTAAATAAATTAAGAACCTCACCACTCATATGAATCCCATTAGTTCGAGGGAATTAATCTCATAGTGCGCCTCTGCCACCCGTTTCAGCGGTGCCTAACTTGCTTTCCGCAGAGCTCCACGGCGATGCTCAGCGCGCTGATACATGAGGTACAAACACGCCGTGAAATCCATCTCCAGAGTTTTGCTCTGGCATTTCATTTCTGAGAGCTTGCATTTTTCTAATGTGCATTATGGCTCCGCTCTGACATTTCAGTGCGTGGAGACAAATACCGGAGAGCCGCGTGTTTTTTTGGAGAATCACACTCTCTGATTTTGAACTCGATCTGAGTTGTTGAGATGTTTCACACACGTTTCCAGTCCATCATATCCCGGATCACGCGAGGAGGTATTTGTCACAGGATTTACAGCGTGTTGTTGCAGTATCGGGTTAATTCATCACAGCAGCTTATAGTGATTGTTTCACTTCCCCCTGACACGTGTAATGCCTGTGCACTTTGTCGGCCATATCCCACACCACGCCATAAGGTTGTCCTGCATTCTTGCCCTCTAATTTATGTATCCAGAATCAAAAGACATGGGCTCTACAGGTCAGCTGTCACATTCCTGTATTCCCACAGGCACTCATGGAGAACGGCGAGATGGAGTGGGAAGAGATTTATGGCACAAACCCGTCCAGGGTCCTTAAAACTCTGGCAAGCGCCGCCGCTGCCACCGCTTCCTCTTTCTTTCCATCACCCTGCTCACCTCTCCTCCTCCGTCCGCCAACCAACCAAAATCCAGAGAGAGGGAGACGCGCCGACCAATCCCGTGCTCCCCCCTAAAGCAGAGCGTCATATCACATTTGGCCAAAGTGCTCAGCTGCAGCTGCTCGTTAAAGTCACAGCGGCGAGAACATGGACACCACTGACACCTGGTGGTTGTTTTCATATGAGGACAGATTTACAACCTGAATAAAATAAGAGTTAGACGCTGTGTAAATGTTGATAAAACAGATCTGGATGGTTTGCAAACTTGAAAATAGAGCAAAGATGACACATCAGATAAAACTTAACGGTTTATTTATTGTTTGATTCATAATTTAAGATCATTTTAAACTTGATTTAGGGACGGGGATGTTATTTTTCTGTTTATTCATGTTTGTATATGTTTCCTCTTTGCATGGTACAGTTCTCATCTGCATTCATGGATGTAACAGTGAACTGTGATTTTTTCGAGCCCATGCGGTGATTCCCACTACAGAGTCAAGTCTGGTTTTAATCGCCTGAGGGCCGGATCACAGCCATCCATCCAGCTGTGTCCATTTTTGTGCAGAGATTCCTCCAGATCTCCTGAACCTCTTGTGAATATTACAAACTTTGAAGGATAAACTCTGAGGAACATTTTTCTGAAGTTGTCGAGTTGGTGAACCGTCAGAGACTCTCTGCTGCACCATCTTCATCCCCAGTCATGTCACTAACCTGTTGCAAATGAATGTAATCATCAGTTCGGAGATACTCCTCTGTTCTTCAAAATGAGCAAATATATTTTATAAAAACAAAACAAATCTGTTTTAACTTCTTATTCGTCATCTTTGCTTTATTTCCAATTATATCTAAGGTGTAAAAAATCCAAACCATCATTAAACATTTTATTAAATGACACTTTAAACAAACACCTGAAGCTGATTTACAGCCGTACAGATTTAGCGCTGTGATTCACGGCCCTGTAGAAATCAAAGTAATGACGAGAAATCGAAGGAGAGATTTTCCAACGTCATTTTGCGCTTAAATAGCCACTCGTATTTGATCACGGATACCTGTGATAGTCCATCTTCAGGGCCGTAACAGGCTCCTTCTCTGTTTAACAAGATGGTTTGGCCCGCCGCCCACAGGTCACAGCGAGTGAATGCGGCCGAAGAAAAGGGAAAGTGGGCAAACAATCAGATGGGAAAAGTCAAGCAAGAGAGACAAAGAGCGTGGATCCCTTTATTCTTTTGTGTGAACCCTGTCCCCCCTCTCCTCGCTCCTTTTCTCTGTCACACACACCCATTTAAAGACCCCTGGCTGCTATTGTGGCCATAGACACCAAGACGCTATAGACAGGCAAGACATCCTATTTACCACACAAAGTAGCAGGGGGTGAGTCTGGGGTTCGGGGTCATGCAGGAGGCAGCGGTCATCCCCCGGTCAACTACAGTAGGTCATTATTCAGCCCAAGCCAATAGCCCAGAACCGCGTCCGAGCAACCCACCCCCCAATCCATTCTGCTTAATTATTATAAATGAGGGGCGGCGTAAACAGCCATCATTACAGACACTCAGTGGCATACACAAATCCACTTTAAATTGCTATTAAGTTAAGGAGCTATCTGTAATCCCAGGCGTGCATTAGAACGGAGCAGAGTAGGTTTTCTTTTTATTAAATCTCATCGTCCCTGAGATATTCTCAAACCTTCTCATGCTCTGTCATGTTTCCAATTTGAAGCCAATTCTCTGATTTAATTAAAAGCCCACTTGGAAAAACGGACACTAAGTAGCCATTTCCATCTCTGGTCGTGGAGGACGATCATCCGTGTTTCTGGACGGAGCTGGACAAGGTTTTTTTTTTTTTTTGGCAGCGAATCCCCAAAACAACCCTTAAAATAAGCACCTCCCTCGCTCCTCGGATTCAGGTGTTAATTCATTAACGGCGAGGAGAGGTCACAGATCACGACAGAGGGATCCATGTTTCTTTGTTAGCGGGACCACTTGTGATCTAAAAAACCTGCGAGGAGAGCTGCAGCGTACCTGATGAGAGGAGAAGGAGGAACAGGGAGAAAAAAAAGAAAACAAGAGGGGATGCAAGTGGAGAGGAAAAGGAGGAAAGGAAGGAGGGGGTTAGAGATGGGGAAGGAGGGAAGGAGGGAAGGAGGGAGGGAGGGGGAGATTGTAACACCCAGGCGGCGGGTTCAGCGGCAGGGCAATGAGAGACTTCCTGCGCTCCATCACGCCCAAGGCCTGCCTCAGTCAGCTGGTGGCCGAGGAAAGATGCCTCATGTGTCAGGCTTATTAGCACTCCCCCTAGTTTGTATGCATTTGGGATTGTGGGTGAGTGTGTGTGCTACATCTGTGTGCGAGAGTGTGTGTGTGTGTGTGTGTGTGTTTGGGAACAGGATGAGAAAGCAGAAAGGGAACACGTTCAAGAGTCCTCCTGAATTTTCCTCCAGAATTATTCATCGTTCTGTTAAAGCTGTGTTTTGTTTGCACGGCACACGATGGCGGCGATGGCGGTGTGTGTGTGCGTCCTCCAGCCTGCCTCCTCACCTCGTTGTCTTCCTCTCCGCGCCAAACCAACCTCGACTCACCTTCTCCTCGCTTCAGGCTCGGGTAGCTGTCAATCCGTCCTCCGGTCGGGGAGCATGAGCGATGGGCCTATCAGAATGCCACCATTAGCCAGCCCCCTGAGTGGTAAATAAACGATCGCGCCGGTACACTGCAGGTGTTGTCATGGCAACCCACTCTCAGTGCCAGCCCCGCCCACGCTCGTTCCCCCCTCGTTCTCTCAGCGGAGGAGTCACCGGGAGGTCAGCGAGTCACCGTGCCGCAGCCGCCACGACACGGCGCTGTTCGCACCGCCTCCCTCACACACACACACACACACACACACACTCCTCTCTGATGCTGCAGCGAACACACACACTCTGATATCTTGTCACTGATCACACCGCAGGTTGTGGTGCATCTTGTTAATGAGACAAATCTACACATTTCCCAGAAGTCTGCACAGTTTCTGTCCCCGGAGTGTCTTGTGGGGGGGGGAACATTTCCAACTTCACATGAATACTAAACAACTCGCCCTCGCGTTCAAGGCGCCACCGTGAGCCCAAACGCTCCTGCGCTGAGCTCCAAACTCCGATTTGATGACAGAACAAGCTAAAGACAAAAAGGGGGAAACAAACAGAAGGAAGAGGACATGGAGGAGTGAGCGTAGTTTTTGTCATTTGGATAATTTACTCTCTCTCTCTCTCTCTCTCTCTACCCGCCTCTTGGAATGTCCCTATTACAGCAGGTGTACTCTGGATGAACCCGTTTCAAGTATGAGGAAGATGGACTCTGCACGCCTGACAGACTTCCACCGCCATTGGCGCCCACTCTGTGATGTAGCAGTTGTATTAAAATGGCGGCGCTGATAATCCAAAAGACCTTTCTCGGGGAGAATTTGAGACCGACTGCACAGATGGGCCGCGGAGATAAATAAAACTCTCTGTCACTACGGTTGGTGGAATAGTGCTGCGACGCCCCCAAGGGAGAGAAAAACTGTTTCGCTCCCTCTCTCCCGATGCCTCCCCCCCGTCCGTCTGTCTCCCCTCTCCTCCTCCTCCTCGGTTCACGATCCCACAAATTGGGGAACCGGAGCCAGCTCGCCGCAACTGGGCTTTTCCCTCCACGGCCTTATGGGGAGCATAAAAAGGCAGTTTCGGACCAAACTCTCCTCAAACACACACTGAATGGCCGGGCCGAGTCTGTGCGAGAGCCAAGCACACTGAGACATCGCAGTCTGAAAACGATGAGGCCTGGACGGACAATCGGCTTATTGTGGGTAACCTGTTTGTGCTGTAAGAACACTTGAGCCCCGTGGTTTATCACTTTCTAAGCGTTTCATTCATCCTGGCTGTCCAAACGCTGCTCATTAGCTGCAGGCCTCATTCCTCCAGATTGAGAGGGATGTCAGGTCGAGATGATAAGGGGAACCTTTGACAAAATCTAATTCATCAAGTCAGAGCGTGTGAGCGGTTCCACAACAAAGTCTGACCTCTATCTTCGAGATGTTGGACAATCAGAGGAGAAAGCAGCAAACACAGATGCACAGAGAGTTTGTCGTGTGCTCTCTCATGTATGTTTGTATGTATGTAAGCAGTATGTGCCGGAGTTCAGAGGGTGTTTCATCTTCTCCTCCTCAGAGCAGAGATAAAACATCCACACAGACGCTCTCATTCTGCCAGAGCAGAGCGGAGAGGTGAGCTCCATCAGGGCAGAAAAATGACGGCCGGCTGGCTTCAACGCCCCTCTGGTCTCCGGCCAAATATTGATCTACTACAGATCTAGTTAGAGTCCGGCTGCTGTGATCGGATCATCATCCTTTTGTTCAAAAATACTCTGAAATACACCAAAAAGAAAGGCTCTGATTGGAGCAGGATCAGAGCTTCAGATCAGAATCATTTGAGAAAATATTATCACACCATCATTTCACCGACATACAGAAATGTGTTTAGCTTTCAGGTTCTGATTTAAAATCTCTCCCTGCAGTTAATTTTTATTATTTCAGATGATTTAACTCGCGTTTAATTTTGGCAAAGCAATTTTAAAGAACGTGATCGGACAGTTTGAAATCTTCATTTCAAAGGGTTGCAGCGACTTGATTTTATTTCCAGCGTCCTCGTTTTATGTGAAATACTTTACGTCTTTTTACCTTTCAGATCATTTTATTTTCACTTTCTGTGACACACTTGGGACTCTTACCAGCACATATAACAAATTCTCCGTCCATTTAGAGCCGTGATCCGACTTTGTTCATAAATATTACTGTTTTTATTTTTTCAACCCTCTCCTCTTCCTCTGTTTTGCTCGTCTTCTGTTGTTTTCTTTTCTGCAATTTAGTAAAACTTAATTTTTGATTTATTCCATACAGCACTAATTCAAAGAAACAGAACACACCGTATAAAACAATAAAAATGAATAATTTTATATTTTTTTCACAAGTTTGTAAATACTAAACCTGATGGAAATGTTTTATTTCTATTTATTAACTTTCTTCTTAAAATGAACAGATGAATGAATTTTCACTGCCATCATTTAATCTAGTGGCGTTCAAATCAGGGGTCGTGACCTCTGGAGGAGTTGTGAGACACTAACTAAGGGGTCAAAAATGCTGTTTTTTAATATTTAAAACAGCACATTTAGTGTAAAAAAAAATCTACAAAAGCAGTTGTTGAATTTTAAATCATACAATTAAAAATAAAAATGTGTTTCTCTGTTGCTGTATGACCTCTGAGCCGATCAAATGTCAGCTTTAGCACAGGAAACACGACAGCACGTGCGCTCAGGTCGACTTATTTTCTGCAGACCAGCATCACAATATTACGGCAGTTTTGATTGTTTTCGATTGGTCTGTTGCTGAACGTTTACACGCTGCTGTGATTCACATTTGACCTCCGAGGGACCAAAAACTTTTTTAAAAACCCTCCAGAACTTAGAAAACACTTTTTTTTATGTTTATCAGGCTTCTAGCAAATAAAAGAAAACATGAAACGAAGAAAATGAACATTTGAAACTTGGATTTGTCTTTAAGATCTCTTGCTCGGGTTATTATCGGTACTGAAAGACACCGCTGTCATGTTGTACTGAAGCCTCAGTTTAAAAAAAAAAAAGACATTTTAATTTCCACGTCGTCTCGATAGTCTTGTTTACCGGTTTGAAAATCCTCGAGGCTACAGCACCCCGACATCCATGGGAAAACTGCACAGTGCCGTTCTGTGGGTGGGACTCTCCTGGATTTCTTGACTCCGCAGCACAGAGTGTTTTTTAACCGTATTATTTTAGTGGCCACTGAAAAGGATCAGGGCCACATGTAACTGCAGCTCAAATCATTGGAATGGCTGTTTTAAGAGACAAACGGTACACTCCGATGGAGTAAAAACGTCCGATTGGTGCTTAATTCGGCTTGGTTTACTTGTACTTGAAACCCCCGGAGACTCACTGTTGTTTATTTGTTCATTTTGGGTCCAGGAGTACAACATTCACGGCTGGTGGGTCGGCGAGCTGAACGGCACCGTGGGTATTGTCCCCAAGGACTTCCTGCACCCTGCCTACATCCTGTGAGCTCCAACAGGTACCGAGGCACTCTCTTATCATCAGCATTATGGACCATTACTGTGGCCTAATACACAGAAACGGTCCCCCTGGTACTCATCCAGAGTGCCATTGAGGTAGGATTCAGTCGTTGACCTGCCATTTATGGCATCTGCTGGCTGGAAGAAGTACTGCATTAGGCAATCTGAACGCCGCAATGGGCAATGGGTGAGGATAAATATGTGCAACAAAAGCATGATTACAGCGTCAGTTGTCCTATTTAAGAAAATGATTCCCTAATACACTTAGATAGGCAGAGCTTAAAATGAATACTGAATTATTAATGCCGGTTTCCCTGACTGTGTTTGTTTCTCCTACAGAGCTGCTGCCAACACACCCAGCCATGAATTTCACACACACAGGCCTGTCAGAGGCTTTCGTACTCTCTGAAAATGACTATTTAAATTATGTTATTTAAATCCACTTATTCCTCTACACTTATTAAGGAGAATACTGATGTTCAGATCTGAGTTTAAGAGCAACAGCGCTGATGATTAAAAGCTTAAATGAGTCTCTAAATCCAGAAAAAACCTCTCATGTGGTCAGGAATATTTTTGTCTTTCACTCTGAACAGGACTAACAATGTTGGCATTCATTGTTTAAAAAGACTGAATTAATTGCTGACATGAACAGGACAATTTAGGATGTAAAATCTGGCTTAAAAATAAGCATTTCAACACTGACAATTACTGACATGATTTACCGTAATGACCGGAATAGAAGTTTCTGAAATTAAGGCTAATTAATATTTTAAATCATGATTAACTTCAGAATTGCTGCAGCGAATCAGGATCAGTCTCATTAATCTCGGATGTTTAAAGTTTTACTAATTTGCATTTAAAATATTTTTTTATGTCCGTGAAAAAAATAATCTTGATTTTTGATTTAAATGAATGAGTGACGGTGACTTTTTTTGGTTTAGAGTGAAGAGACTCCTTCAAATACAGTGTGTATTTACTGATTTAAAGGAGAACACTGTTACACATTAAAATGCAGGAGTGAACGTTCAAACTTTACAATCAGTGTGCAGTTATTCTGAGATGACTCGGATCACCTGGTTAATGCAGCAGCGTCTGCACTCATCAGGAGCTCCAGTTTGCTCGCCCTCTCTCCTCGGTGTAATTCTTACCTGCAGGTTTGTGGTGGTTTACTCTCTCTAAAGTAGATCTCTGCCCGCTGATTTCAGTCTGATCAGCTGCACCTGTTTGCAAACTCAAACTCAGCGTACTTCAGTGATATTTTAACTGTATTTAATTCAATTGCAAAGGGGGGTCAGTTTAAAATCTGAGGTCATCCTATATTCAGAACAATACGGTATTTGAGACCAACCAACTTTTTGTATTATATGTATAATATTTTTTACTACTTTGTGTTTGGAGTGAAACAAATAAATTTAAAAAGTAGCGGATGTTTTTTCTTCTTGTCTTTTCCCGTTCAATTGTCACGTGTGGTTATTGAAGTCATGATCTTTTCAGCCACTAGGTGGCAGGATTTCTTTAGGTTTTTTTGTGTTTGATTAAATATGTCCTGTTTGGTACATCTAAAAAAATTGACATGATAAAGAAAGTTTTAAATTTTTAACCAACTATTAAAGAGAGTGAAATTTAATTTATTAAAGATTTTATATATTTAACAGAATAAAATCAAATGTTTCTAATTTTATTATGATAATGGAATTACATATAATCCAGCATAAGTAATTTAAAGAACATGTCAAAATAGTTACTGAACTTTTTCACAATATTCTTTTTTGTTTTTAAGAAAATGGTTTTTAAAGCTATTTTTGAAGCTTATAAGATTAATTATCTGTTGTTTTGGTTTCTTTGCTTTTCTGGAGGTAAGTAGACTAAAAAGTTGACAACACAGGATAGACTTTTATCAGCAGTCTGCTTCTGCCTTTTCAGTCAATATTCAACACATCATTCTTGATTTTGTGTGAAATGTCAATATTGTGAACAATAATTGGTGTTGTAATGACCGAATAAAAAACTACTACTACTACTATTGGTATAACAGCTCCATAGAAATAAGCAGTCAGGTGTGTAACGAGAAAAAGCTTTTATTTTGAAATAAAAATTACTTTACAGTCTGTGTATTTACATGGACACAGTCACTCAGGTTGTTATTTTTGCCCTTGTAAATCTGTGTTATAAAATAGAGACGAGGCCTCACATCTGAAAATAAAACAAACAAACAAAACGACTCATTTACAGCCGAGTACGAACTCAAACCTCTAAAACTCGACAATCAAACATCTACATCCCACGACACGGAGGTGACGCAGGACGACTGACGAAACTCTGTCTGCAGACGCTCGCTAAACTCTGGGTCCCTTTTTAAAAAGCCTGAAATGACTGAAACTCAAAGCGGCTGCTGCAGTTTGATGTGAAAACAAAATGGCAGACCTAAAGTGTGCTTTAAAAATCTGTGGATGAAAAGAGGAGCATCAGAGTGAGGAAGAAATGCAACACCAAACATGAGATAAATAAAAACCATCATCGTTGTTTTATCAGTCTGACTCCACAGTGATTCAGCTTGTGTTTGTAAACCATGAAAATCTGTTTCCAGGTAGTTTTGTTCACTAAAAAAAGAGCCGAACATGTAACAGAAATAAAAACAACACTTAAAATGCTCCAAAGTGACTTAATGAGTATTTCAAGTGAACGACAGCTTCATTTCTTTGTTGCTTCTGCTTTAAAAACACAAACATGTCATTTTGACCCTAAATTCTTATTCCAGGTTTGTCCTTTTTTTCTTGTTTAATTCACTTTTAATAACGAACTTAATATCGATATAGCAGTGCTGCTAACCACCTTCAGGAAATCTTTGTCATCTGTATGAATATTTTAATTCAGAGACTTTTACCAGCTTTAAAATGTGACCATCAGGATTTAGTGAGTCAGAGGTTAACAGTGAATTTTGTAGATTTTACAATTAGGAAAACAAGAGCAGAAAAACAATGACACCTGTGTACAGTTTTTTAAGATCATGAATGTGAAGATTTGGACGAACATCTTTTATTATTTTGTTTTATTCTGTCAATTAAATCCACCAATATTTATCTGCTTTAATAATTTTAAATTTAAAACTGAGATTTTACTGAAAATGGTGCAAAGACAACAAATCAATGTTGAAATAAAGTGAATAATTCTGTTTTTGCTCATTTTGATTTATATGTTACAAGAAAAAATGTTGAGGTGGGGACAAGCGAACACTGAAGAGTCATGAAATGCTAAAAAGAAAACACCTGGAGGAACAGTTCAGAGAAATCTTAATTAATGCATTAATTAACTGCATTAAAACAGACGTGACTCTATAGTGGGAATCACTGCATAGGCTTCAATAACTTCATTGAACCACAAATGAAGGTTAAAACTGCACTGTGCAAGAAATGCCAGAAACGTCTCTGAGCACGAACACATTTCAGATGTACTGAAGCGACGTGGAAAAGTCCTGTGGTCGAATTAGACAAACTAGAGTGTGACCGCCTGACAGGTTTTATGTAACGCCATTTCAGCAAACCACATTTTACAGGTTAAACAACAACAACAACGTGGCTCTGAAGTAGAAGAGTCCAGGTGCTAAACTGACCTCCCTGCAGTTCCACTGAAAATATTCAGAAACAATAGTTCACACGCCTCCGTCTCTGCATTTTTATCATGATTCTGGCATCAATTTTTAAATAAGTATAGATATTTTGATAAAACACTCAAATAAGTCAGTTTTCATATTTGATTTGTTGTCTTTGCACAATCCTCAATTAAAAATAATTAACTTAAACCAAACGTTTGGGAGTCAGAGGTTTTGTGAGAGTAACCTGAACCTCTAGAGAGAATGATCGGATCAAATCTCAAACTTCTTCTTTAAGTCCCGCTGAGAGTGAATTCAAGTGTGTGTTTCTGTCACAGTCCCTCCAGTGTTTTGATATTTTCATATTTCATTTATGAAAACAAACATTTGACCCTTTGCACACCTTTAGCTCTCTAAAATGCATAAATGAACCTCCGATGCAGGACTCCTTGTGTGTACTTGAGCGCCCTCTGCTGTTCAATAAAAGCCGACACAGTTGTGCGCAGCAGGAGGAAACTGCACCAAATTTCCTTTTAGTGTTCCTGAGTGTAAAAAAATAAAATAGAGAAATAAAAAGTCAGACCTGTAACGTGTTTGTTAGCACAGTGTGGGAGTAACGTGAAGTTTTCTAATCTTCTGTAGAGTCGAGTGGATGTTTAATATTAGGATGTAGTTTCTGTAGTTTCTGCCATGTCTAACTGATGCACCTCCACCTCCTGAGCCTCCTCTGACACATCCAGAGCCGCCTCCTCCTCCTCCTCCTCCTCCTCCTCCTCGGCACATTTACTCTCCGCTAACACAGGAGAGCAGCTGGTCTCTATCACACTGAAGTCACTGTTTTCAGTCAGATCTCCTCCAGTCACCGCTGAGTGAAGATCCACTGATTTACTAAAGTCACTAACGTCTGTGGCGGTGATGTCCTCTTTCTCCACAGGACACCCGTTAATGTGGAGATCCAGAATGCGTCCGCTCGAAGGCTCCACTTCAGACCAGTTCTCAGGTAACGTCTTCATGTAGCCGTTCGCCTCCTCGGCTTCATCGCAGACACTTTCTTCATCGCTGACTTTGATGATGCTGCCGTTGGAGGATGGCAGCGAGCGGCTCTCCTCGTCGCTCTCGTCCCTGGTCCCGATCAGATCCCCTCGTTGTTCGTCTTGCTCTTGGTCCGTTTGTTGACACTCGTCAGGAGTTCCTTCCTGGATCTCTCCCCCCTGTGGCGTCTCCTCCTCGCTCTCTGATTTGTCACATTTATGGAAGTCTTGTTCTGTCTGCTCACCGGGAGCGTCTTCGTGGGTTTCCGGCTCGAGTGGTGTCTCCTCTTGGATCTCTGTTTGTCCACTTTTTTCCTTGTCAGAGCGCTCCAACACCTCTGGACAGCTAACATTAGTAACTGGACCCTCAGTCCCACCAGAAAGCTCCAGATTGTCCTCAGGGGTCACATGATTTTCTAAAACAACCTCCACGTCTTCGTCCTTCAGACCTAAAACTCCTTCAGGATTCACTAAGCTGACCTCCTCTGTGTCTCCCTCAGACTGATCCTCCTTCTCCTCCGTGACGGTGTTTTCTTCTGTATGTAAAGTCTCAACGCTCTCCTCCTCAAAGCCAGTCCCCATGGTCGAGTGCACCTCCACCGGTGTCTGAATCAGACAGCTTCTCGACTCTGACAGGCTGAGGCGCTCATGCGGGCTGTCTCCCACAAAAAAGCTCGCCTCTCCCGGACCGCAGTCCTCAACCAAAGCCTCCAGATGGTTGTCCTTCTGGAGCACCGTTATGGAGGGCTTGTTTTTGGGCCGTAGCTCGACTCTGTCCTCCAGTAATCCTTCGAGAGGGTTGGGCTCGCTGCAGGAGAGGAGCTCAGGGCTGAAGGTGTCTTTAGTTTGAGTGAGAGGCTGATGAGGCGCCGGGCTGAAACGAAGAAAAGAGAGAAAAATCACTCGTTTATTCGTTTGTATGGTTTTCTTGGTTTGAGCGACCACACTGTAGAAGATCGTTTCAGAAAAAACGTGTAGAGCAGCAGAGAGGAAGTGGTTGGTGTATAAAAAGAAGGAATCAGGTTTTATCCACCTCTGAGGAAATATTTAACAGGTCGTATCTTGTTTGTTCAGTCTGTACAAATAAGGAAGACAACAGGTGGTGGGTTTGCAGGGTCATGTGTCGGACAAGCTTGTTGTTTCCTCTTTGTTTACATTCTTTAGGCCAAGCTAAGCTAAACTGAGCTAGGCTTAGGCTAATCACATTTACATTGAAACTCATTTGGATCTTCTTTCTTCAGTTCAGTAAATGAAGTGAATGAATTTACTGAATCTTATAGATCTATACTGAGACAGGGTTGGGAGTTCAGCTGAGCCTCAGAGTTTCAGAGTCAATATCCAGCTCTACAGCAAACTTTGGATCTTCTCCTGCCTTGGCTGGCAGCCTGCCAGACGCTAAATGACTAACTTTAGAGTCAGCCTAAATTCAAACAGAGATAATCCGGGGAAAAGGTCGCTTCCACATCACTACGTCTGCTCACCTCTCCATGGACTCGTAGGAAACGGTCAAACTCGGCTCCTTGATGGAGTCGTCCTCCTGAGCCTGAGCTAAACCCCGGTTGGACGAAGCGTAGGTGAGGATGGCGTCCGTCACAGAGTACGGGGTGTGTCCCTGCACGCAGTCCTGGATGTGACCGACGGGGAGCTGGGTCTGCAGGAAGAGGTGGAGCTGGCTGTCCGACAGACATACCGTCATGTGCACCACCCTGAGCCAGGACAAAAGCATAAAAAATGACAGATGTATATTTACCATCAGGGTTTTCAGCATTTCAGAGACTGAAAAAAGAAACTGACTTGTCCAAGAAAACCTGGAGTCCTTTCCGTCTCCCTTCCAGGAAGTCCTCGTTACTGAAGGAGAAGAAAGACTTTCCTGGAAGTTCTGGGACGGGCCTACAAAGATAAAGACAAACGAGTAAATATATGCTTCAATAAAAGATACAGACGTGCCAAATACAGAGGAGTGAACTGTGTGTGGAGAGTCTCAGGTATAATACGTTGATTTTACTGAACTAAACAAATCAGCTTTTGAGCTTTATAATTACTTTTTGGCGGCTCTGGGGAATAATCTGCTAACACTGATTAATACACTTGATACAGGAAAGCCATTAGCAAACAGTTCCCTATTTATACACCCAACAGTTAGAGGTTCAGTCATGTTAACAGCTACTTAATGAATGCGCATCTATTCCTGCCTCAGGTTCGGCCCTCTCCTTAGGGAAACATGTGGATTTAAAGCTAAATGCAGAGCGTACAGTAGTTTCCTCTCATATGTTTTTATAGTAAACAGCTGAGGAAAGAGGGAAAGTACAGAGTTACGGTAAAACTTTTCACTTTAGGAGAACTTACACCAAACCGGCGTTCTTCTGGAGTTTCTTCCTGAGCCAAGCAAACTCGCTGTAGCGCCGCCGCACGCACGACGTCTTGGCTGTGAAGGCTTTACTGTTGGTCTGGAGGTGAAACGGAAAAAGTGTGTTTAAGTCACAATATTTATTTTTATGTAAAGGTATTTTTAATGTTCTTTTGTCTTGATAAAAGGACCAAAACCAAAAGAGATTAAATCCTTTTAAACAGTTTTAAGTACGTTCTTCTACTCTGCCATGAGCTTCACTGTTATCTCAAAAGTATGAAACACTGATGAGCCACAGTGTCACATCCATGATTTCCAAAGAAAACGTCAAACTCTGATTGGTCAGAGCAGTTTTCCATTTGACCTCAGGTACTGAGAAGTTCCCCGTGTTTCTGGATCAAGTCCCCCTCGTTTTTCTTTAGTACAGTTTGATCCTGCGTTTGTGGAAACTGTGATTACCATGATTTCCAAAAAGAATGTCAAATCTGGCCCAGAGAGGCAGCCAGTGGTCTCAGAGATCATCTACTGCATGGTTTGCAAGCACACGTGGTGATTTCCACTACAGAGTCATGGCTGTTTGCACATTTTTGAACATAGATTTCTTTTTTGTTTCACCCTGAAGACAAAAAATAAATAAAATATTTTTGATCTAATTTTTAAGACTTCTTCTTACACGCTGTAGAAACAAATCCAGACTCATTCTCTGAATTTTAAGACTTTTTACACCTTTTTATAAGAAATAAAGTCTGTTTAAGAGACCGGTGTTGTTACGAGTTTGACTCACGCTCCAGCTGTGTAACTGTTAATGAGCTCACGGCGAAACTAAAGCACTATCACATGTCAGATTTGTCACGGCGACGTGTGACACGGATGTCTGTTTAACAAGCCTTCCTCTTACAGGCTTGAATCGATTACAGGCGGCGTTGGTGAGTTCCCAGAGAAGTCAAGCAGAGGAACGAATTCCATCAGAGGGTAACAGCCACACACAACCACAACATGACGAGTAAAAACCCACAAAAGGCCACATATGTGACTCAGTCAGACTCAGTCGAAAACACTCATTAAAGGCTTTAAAGGTCAGTTTTAGGTGATTCCCCTTTACACATGTGTTGATCTTTGTTTTTCATGTGCACAAAGGTAACGTCATAATGAAACCATGAGTACATTTCTTTGTTTAGGGTTTTATTATGAATATATGCTGAGGCACGTTCAGGTGTCTATTTCAGGGGATTTAATCTACAATTAATGTCCCGAGTCAGGTGAAACATTTCGTTCAGCAGTTGACACGGCTGTCAAACATTGTTCTAGTTTGTAGTTTCTGCACTTTGTCTGTGTTTAACGAGGGGAAACATCTGCTTGTTTGAACTCTCTGGATTTCCCACTTTCAAACCTTGCGTAAGCGTGCCAACGACAAAGAAAGGGATGTGTGACCACGTGAGATCACATGACCTCAAGTCAATTTCATGAGTCAACATTCACACAACACATCACCAGGCAGGAGCCACGCTGCTGAGACAGCATTCCCCGACACAGACCGCCGCCTGGACAACATCACATCCTGTCTAAACACGACGTAAGGAGTACGTGCCGAACACCTCGACGACCTTTAGAGATTTCTGCTGGTCTGAGCTGAAACTGTCGACACTTGAAAATCATTTTTAGACTGTTTGACCCTCTAAATACTAAAAATATAGTCGAGTATGACTCAGATTTTTTAAAAGAATCTACTTTAGGTGAGCAGAAAACAAGAGACAAATAATGATATTATTAAGGATAGGAACTACAAGTAATTTTACGCTATAGTAACACAGACACTCTCCCAGAATTTGATGGTTTGCAAATCAAGGACAGTATTTCCAGGGATGTACAGTTAAGTAAGCTTAAAAAGTTCTTTTAAGCTCATCTATCAATAATGCTCGGCACTGACAGGGTTATGCATGCCAAAAATAAGCTGACGGAAGTATTTTGAACAGAAAATAATCAATCTAAATAACAGCTATCCTGACCGGCGCCTAAAGACTGAAAAGTAAGACAAGTGTCAGCAGCTTCTATTTCAGTCATTCAGCAAAGCTAAGAAATACAACAGGGGGGAAAAGCTAACCAAGAACAATTTTGAATCACCGCTCTCAATCACCAGACTTTCAGCTGAGATATCATTCGATCAGTTTCAGTATCAGTATTGATAAAATCAGCAAAAATCTACTATTCTGCATCCGAAGCCCTTTTGAATCAAACTTTCATGTTTGGCATCACAAATCTGATAATTATACATCCTAAATCAACACGTCAATATTCTGTCCTATCCCTTATACTGGCTATATACTGACGATAACTGACCCATATTTTTGAGCTGTTTTTGTGTGTTTTTCTGCCTTTTATCAGACAGGACAGCTCGACACGTGAGGAGTAGAGAGTTGGAGACGACATGCAGCAAATGGTCTCGTTTGGTGATATTTGTTGGTGTTGGTTATTTCATCATCGACAACATCATCACCTGTTACTCCACACTGTGCCATAACAGAAAAGTAAGTGATTTAGGTTTCAGTACTCACATGTAGGAATATTTTATAATCCACGTATGAATTCCAGGAGCCTTCATTCTGAATGCGGGGATCTTGAACCCGCACTGCCACAAACTCCTGAAGGACAGAGACAAATTCAGAGTTTCATTCAATTTAAAAGCTGCTGTTTTATTTCTCACGACTCTGTTTCCCGGAGTCATTGTGAAACAGATTAAGATACACAGCAGATTACTGGCAGAAACTACCATCCTTATACGCAGATTAAGTTCCTCAAACACTCTTGATCACATAATTAGAAGCTCTGTTCTTTGGTTATGAGGTGGAAGTTGAAACAAAAAGAGGATGTTTCCCGATCAAAAACAGATCAGACACAGACAGGAGGCTTTTAGAGGAGAGGTAAATGAAGGTTACTCACATCTTCTTCTTGATTCCTCATCATCCTGTCGGGTAATGCACTGTAACGACAGGAGAAACGAATGAGGGGGAATTTAATAAAAAGACAATAAGAAGCTCAGAGAGAGTTCGTCTCTTATGATGACTCATCCTACAATAGAGAAGCTGGTCAGCGAAATAAACTGAGTCACTCTCTTTGTCATTTCTCTTTACCGGGCGAGAGAGGGGAGAATTAAAACAGAAGAACAGTTAAAAGAAGAGAGACTTTCAAACATCTTTGGGTCTGATACACCGGATTTCTTTGGGTCTGTGTGAGGCTACAGAGGAGTATGTTCTTCTCAAAATAAAATAAATGATTAACAGAACAAATACGAAGAATTAAAGCTCCTGTAAGTTCATTTTATATCTTTGCTGATCTTACCCTGTACATGTTGGTTGCATCTTTAACTAAAAGAGTCTCATCCTGGCTTCTGGGACTTTTTAATCAGGGATGTTTATCGCTCTTTTTGAACACATGTTGAGTATAAAGTCGCGTTAGCCCTTACAAGCTTCAAAACATTCATTAAATAAACACTCCTGTTGCTTGTCCTCTCACTTGTAGGTCATAAAAAGGCGTCACCATCAATTTTTGTCTGATTCATTACAGGTTAAAAAGTCCTCACAGGAGCTTTAAGGTGTGTCTTTGGCCTTTTTTAGGAATCATGGCTCACTATTATATCCACAATCTTAATTAACTTGACTAAAAATCGATCAACCAATATGATCTTCTCTGCTTGACATGTGCCCAACAGATAATTAACTTACTCTTTTAGGATGAAAACATGTAAAGAAATTTTCATCTTGATAGCCAGTAGGGCTGGGACAATATGCTTTTCTCCCGATTTTCTCCCGATTCGATTCTTCTACCATTTTTCGGTACGATACCGTCTACCATATTTCTACAATATTGTCGATATTCTAGGGACCATAGTTCCCCCCAAAATACACATCAAATGTTAGTCGGTTTTTAAAATCTATTCTTAGATTGAAGGGGGGAAAAATCGATTTTTGAACATAAAAATCGAATTAAAATTGTAAAACAAAAAATCCCGATACCTATGTGAACCGATTTTTTCTCCGATCCCTAATACGCAGAGTTACCATGTTGTGCTCATAAGTTAGATCTGTTATCTTTCGGGCACGGTATACTCCATTATTGGCACTTAATTGAATAATAGAATGTAATAGAAATTAACGGCAGGCATAAAGTTGACACTTTTGACAAACTAGAATTGTTTCTTGTCTCCATAAATAACTAATTTAGAAATGATTTTCAGTTTTATCTCGACCCAAACAGATATATCCTGGCTCTGGTGGGTGTTGCCCCCTCTAGCGCAGACAGTCTCTGAATGAGAGACACTAAACTAAAGGGGATCAGCCCACACAGTAGAGTAAAAACACCTTAGTAATTCTCAGGTATCATTAAAGAGGAGCTAACAGCTGTTTTAATGTTGTGGCCTGATCGGTTCAGACTAAACTCTCAACAATCAGACTGACTCCAGGAGACACCAGCGATGAGCTCCGAGCTCTTCCTCCTCCTTCATTTCTTACTTTCATTAGTTGTAGCTTCACTCCTCCTATAGTATAAGTCCGGCTGCTGTCCTCGGAGTGCTTCTTGTCGAGGTTTCTGCTGAATTAAAGTCCCAAATCTCCAAACACAGACGCTTGTTTTCTTCACCGCCTCCTATCTCCATTTCGCAAGTCACAAGCGCCGCTCATACGTCACGCGGTGACGTGACTACTTCCGGGGGTAAGGACGCGGTTCGAAGTGAAACACGGAGCGGAAACGGAAAGTGAAATGTTTATATAAATTCACTTAAAAAAAATTCCAGTCAAAAATTGACTCAAAAAGTTTCTCTTGAAATGTGTATCAGGGAATTTCACACATTTACAAGATAAATAAACAAATTTAGGGGAAACACACAAACACAGTTACGGTACTGTACGATTTTTTTTTTAAATTGTATTGTTGAGTATTATTCATAATAAAATATAATGTAATATAATGTTATTTTTCCATCTTAAACATTATATCACAGTTTACATTATCCTAGGGTGTATTTATTTATCACCATGTACTATGTCTCTATATATTCACAGTATCATGCCTGGTCATTTTATCCCAGCCTTTCATCAGCAAAAATTGTAAAACAACAATAATAGTTGAATATACCACATATTTCTATTTTTTTCTACTTTAACTCTTTTTGTATTCTCACTCGCTTATTATGTCTGTGTTGTTGCAACTACTGAATGTTCTGGAAGGTCATGATCTTGAGACCTACAGGTGGTACTGTAGACATAACTCTGTATTCAGAATTACTGCAGGGGCTGCCAATCCAAATTCTGTTCAGACAGCCACTGCATCCATGAATGTAGGTTAAAACTGTGACTGTCAAAGAGTTATATAAATTGCAATGAATCACTCTATACTCTGTAATTCTAGGGAAACTTCACTCTACCAAAAGACCCTAAATCAATTTAGAAAACTCCTCAAACTTACATCTATGGAGTCTGTTTTGACCTGTTTTAAACCATCTTATCTATAAATATGTTAGGAAGGTATTTAAACTGTTTCGAATTGTCTATATAACTAAAAGAAAGTGTAATCCCAAAACTTGAATCCCTACCACCGTAAAATAATAATGGATGAATAATAGATTAAATATACGACAATAAATGTACAAGTCTTAGGGGCACATTAAGAAAAAAAAATTAGACTTCCAGAAATTTAGGACTTCAAGAATAAAGTCATCAATCTACCAAATAAGTCATCACTTACGAGAATGAAGTCGTACTAAAATCATTACTTCTTAAAGTTGTAATAAAGTAATTACTTTCGGAAATAAAGTTGTAATAAAATCATCACTATGATTTTATTACGACTTTATTCTCGAAAGTAATTCTGAGGTCTAAAATTTTTCTTTTCTTAATGTGGCCCTAATACTCCATCGTAGGTTAGAATATTATCGTGCGTTTGCGTTACTTCGGAAGTCAGATGTCGGAGTTGAAAATGACGTCATAACTGAGTTCCCAGTTTTTCAATTACCTAGTCGGAAAAAAGCAAAATCGGAGACCTGAAACAAGATGACTACATCTACGAAAGATATTCTAGCACTTGCCTCGGCCGAAAATAAGGCAAGCGTTAAAATTACTTTTGTAGATGTAGCCATCTTGTTTCCGCCTCCAATTTTGCTTTTTTCCGACTTGGTAGCTGAAACGCAGGTAACTCAGGTGTGACGTCATTTTTAACTCGGATTTCTGACTTCCAAGGTAACTCGAACACAGAATTAGGACTTTATTCTGACTTTACTCTCGTGAGTTATTACTTTAGTTCGACTTTATTCTCGTAGGTAATTACTTTATTACGACTTTATTCTCATTAGTTATTTTTTACGACTGTATTCTCATAAGTTATTACTTTATTTTGACTTAGTTCTCGTCAGTAATGACTTTAATCTCGAAGTCTTAAACTTTTTTTTTCTTAGTGTGGCCCTAATACTCCGTCTAGTCTGTCTGTCTGTATTTATGTACTTTATGTGACGTTCACTGAGGTCCGTTCCAGTCATCCAGTCCACCGTTTACTCCACCTCCTTGATAATAGATCTACAAATGACACGCACACTTCACGCCCCACGCCCGTGACGCTCGCGGGTAATTCCAGATGAGTGCAGAGTCAGTGAAGCGGCCCCGTCCTCGCGCTCTCTGGGACTTTTTCTTCTTCTTCCCTCCTCGCGCAGACGAACGAACGAACGAAGGGGCGGAAACGATTCCTGTGTAGCAGCCAGGCTCGAGGACCTGCATTTTGACAACAAATCAATAAAAATCGGAGACTCGATCGCCGCGCGGGTTGGAAGCAGAGGCTGTCGCGGTGTTTGAACTCGGCTCGGCTCGGAACTTTCACACATTTATCGTGAGTCATCGGTGAGTTTTGATTTTTGTCTCCCCCTCCTCCATCCTAACGTGTTGTTTCTCTAACGTTTGATTGTGCACGAGCCTGTCGATAGCTAGGTGTAAATGCGCGTATTATCAATGAAAACTAACACCGCGCTGAATGGAAACCCCTTATACATCTCTGTTTTGAGTCTATGTGTGTTTAGAAAATAATAATTATCCTTATGGACAAACATATTGGAGTGGCTTTCATTAGTTGCTAACGAGAAAGCAATATGGAGGAGGTGGAGGAGGAGGTAACGGCTAGCTGCAAACTGAGGGTCCCTGAGAGGCTTTGTCGTGAGCTGATTCTCCTATATCTGCTTCATGTTTACAACAAAAACCACACATTAAAGATGCAAAGTGTGTTTGAATGAACGTCAAATCCAACTGTTAAACAACCTGGATTGTTAACCATCAGTCTGGATTTTCCACATCGGTGTTACATACTGCTAAACCGCCGCCAGGTGTTGCAAACCTCCCGTGTTCCTCCTGTTGTTGTTGATGCTGGCTGTAACAGGCAGGTCCATCTCCGGTACAACACAGCTGGATTATTAGTTATCTTGTTAAAGGTTATTTTTAAACCTGCAGACCCTTCCCCTTAAGAAATCTAATGAGTTAACAGTGTCTCTTAAAGTCATGGTACATGTGTAACTTCAGGTTTTGCAGTTAAGACAGTAGAAGTCAGACAAACAAACAAAAAGGCAGTTTATCATCATCATCCTTATTTGACTAATATCAATATCAATAATTTCTTCCTAGAATAAAGCCTTTTTAATATATTTTGCTCACCACATCACCTCTTCATTATACCTTACAGTATAGCCATAACATCTGCATTTTATCTTTAGGTGAAAATTTATTTCAAACCAAGATCACTATCGCTAAAATTAGTAACACCATCACTATCGCCGGGTGATTTTTACCCGAAATAATATACCCAAGAAAAAGTACTTGCCATGAAAATATGACAATACACAACAAATTAAATTTTTTTTTTTTTTTTTTTTTTAAACTGTGCAATGACCAAAGGGAGGGAAAAAAGGTGCCACGAGGGGACCATATAAATATGCAAGAAAATAACTGAAATTAGACATTCATGAACAAAAAAAGTCCTTAAAAAAATAGATTTACAGTACAGGCCAAAAGGTTGGACACACCTTCTCATTCAATGTCTTTTCTTTATTTTTTATATGACTATTTACATTGTAGATTATCACTGAAGGCATCAAAACTATGAATGAACACATTTGGAATTTTGTACTTATAAAAAAAAGTGTGAAATAACTGAAAACATCACCCTGTGAACACGTGCCCGTAGGAAAAAGCAGGTTTTGCATCAGGGAAACAAACATGCCTTCAAAGATGTCAAACGAAATGCTGAGGTACTAGCCACCAAACATCTTTTTAACCTTGCCTAATTTCTTTAGCAAAGAGACTAAACACAACTCACCTACTCTCTTCCAGCAGCTGCTGGTTTGTAGTGAGACCTCGGGCCAGTTCATCACGGACTACAGCGGGGTGACACAGCTCAAGGAAGAACATTTATGATCATTTCTTCATCATTTCCTTGAAGTAATAATCACCATAGGATTTTTTTTGCACCGCAGACGTGTTAGGTCCTCTGCCTTAGCGTCTTGGTCTAAATGCATTTCCATGAAGAAATGATCATAAATGTTCTTCCTTGAGCTGCGTCACCCCGCTGTAGTCTGTAAAGGACTGGCCCGAGGTCTCACTACAAACAAGCAGCTGCTGGAAGAGAGTAGGTGAGTTGTGTTTAGTCTCTTTGCTAAAGAAATTAGGCAAAGTTAAAAAGATGTTTGGTGTCTAGTACTATGTCTGGGACCCTATATGTACTGTTGATGAAGTTAGGTGCTGTTCTGAGCATTATTTGTGGCTATAGAGTGGCGTTTTGGTTGAGGTTTGTTTATGGCTCCTCAGACAGCTGTGTTTGCTATCCTGCGGTCGTTACTAAACTTGGTATAACTAGAGAAGCAAGCGGTCGGCAACATTCATCTCTAGAGGGGATGTCTAACTCGGTGTGTTTGACCCTAAATTAATTTTACGCTGGAATATCCCTTTAAGTTAAAACTCCTTTATGCTGTCGTTTGTGCAGAATGTGTTGCGACATTTTTTCCAATTAGGATTTTCTTGCAGTTTATAAATTCCTGCAGAATCAGAGTGTTGTTGATTTTCTTGTTACATATGTTATCCCATCATAAGCTGACACATCTTGATACTGGGATCTTGTGGTCAAAATAAAACACTCATAAATGACACTGTTTTAACTGGAGAAAGTAACAGCTTTGTTCTACCATGAGGATAAGTAAAATTGAGATCTCAACGAAACAACCGAAATGAGCATGTCCTCTCAGGGCTTCTGTAGTTTGTGGAAAAGTTTGTTGTTCCCAGTAAAAACAGACTAGTATGTCTTGCTCATCAAATCGATAAAACATGAGAAAAGGTTTAAATTTCTCTGCTGTAACTGAAGTTAATAGATCGAGAAAAAGATTCACATAAAAGATGATCATTAATCAGTAATCATTTGATGGTTTTGTGTTTTATTTCCCCTCTTTTTACACGTCAGTAACAGACAAAAACCTGTCTTAATGTTTGAACTCGAGGACGTAAAAACCACGTCTTCTCCTGTTGATCTGTATTTCCTCGGGTTTGTACCCGTGTATCTGTTTGTAAATGAACCCCGTTCTCCAATGCTGTTCTCTCCTCTCCACCACGTTGATCCTGACTCTCTTCCATCACGCAACAATCTCCATGTTGACCAGGAACCTGCTGGTCCCCAGGTCTACCTGATGAGTATGAGCCTGACTACAGAACCCCCTAACGATGGCCCCACTGTCACAGAAGGTTTAAAATATCATTATTTTCTCACATCAATATCTCTGTATCACTTGTCCTTGTTCGGTAACGGTGTTTGTCGAGCTCCAAGGAATGAATCGTTATCTCTGTGGCTTTATGAATGTTTGTGTGACCCATTGAAACCTGAGATCAATATTCACATCTCAAAGTCTGCGACAGTTTTTAAACACCTGCAGGAAATCTAAGTTTACTGCCTCACATCTCAGCGATGGCTGCAGGAAGTGTCCGCTCACTGCACCTGTTTCCTACCTGTCAGAGAACAAAATGACCACTCCTGAGAAGAAGGAGAAGAAGCCCGATGAGGTGGCTGAGGAGGAGGAAGAAGAGGAAGAATACGTGGTGGAAAAGGTCCTGAATCGGCGGGTGGTGAAGGGGAGAGTAGAGTATCTTCTCAAGTGGAAAGGCTTCTCTAAGTGGGTGTTTTTCTCATTATCATGTTTCTGAACGTTACATTTTGAATTCATGGATAACATGTTTGAATACGTTTGTTTCTGCAGTGAAGATAACACGTGGGAGCCAGAGGACAACCTCGACTGTCCGGATCTGATCGCCGAGTTTCTGCAGTCTCAGAAATCAGCGCACGAGGGGAAGAGGAAGGCAGAAGGAGAGGGAGACGAAAGCAAATCGAAGAAGAAAAAAGACGATGTAAGTCCTGAATCTTTTGTTTTGAACCTCACAGGAAGAGGAGGGAAAACCCCCCCGAACCAGCCATCAGCAGAGTGGTAAGAGGAGACGTTTCGGGCGGCAGGTGTTCCCTGAAACCTCATCGCCATCAGCAGCTTTTCTGTTCATGACGGACCACATCAAAAGCTCTGATCGCAGCTGCTCTTGATAAGAGAGGGTGTTGATTCAGGTTTCAACACAGATTTCAATAACAGGCTCCTGTCCTCGGCAACACGTTCAGGCTGCCGTCTAATCGAAAGGCGACTCAGGCCGTGATTTGAATGCTGCAAAATCTGTAATATTTAAATCAGTCGTTCATGCCGCGGTAAATACAACTTTGAAGTCTTTGTTTTGTCAGTCGTTTGTCGGCTTCTTCATGATCTAAATTTGAGATTTTAGTGGTCATTTAGAGAGCTGGAAAGTTCATCTCTGCATATGATATTTTTTCTCGTCCTCAGACAGAGAAGTTAAGGGGCTTCGCTCGAGGACTGGATCCAGAACGGATTATCGGTGCCACAGATTCCACAGGAGAACTCATGTTCCTCATGAAATGGTTTGTATCCTCTCGACTGATGGGAGCCGTTTGATCTGGAACACCGCTGACTGTGTTTTAATAACTGGACTGATCTGAATGAAACAAGAGACTAATTTAAGGTGTGTCCCAAATTGCATACTTCCATACTACATACTTAGATTTTTGAAATTGAGTATTCTAAGTATACTATGTACTCGATCGCCTAGTGCTTGAATTTCGAGGGTGCAGTGTTGTACCAAATTGCTTGTCGTCGCGTGGCGCACTCACCGGAAATAACGACGCGATTTTTTCTTCTACGCCAATTTGTCACCGGCCAGCTCTGCATCAGCTAATTACCGCCACCTTTTGCCTGCGCTCGTTCATCCATTTTTTAAGGTAAAATCAGCAACAAAACTAACGTTCATCGCTCATTTTTACGCCACGGGTAACGCTTCAGAACCTGGCAGGTACTAGCTAACTAGCTAACGAGCTAACTAGCATTCATGATAACGTTCACGGTAAAAGACAAACAGGTTACACCACAAATATACTCAAAACGATAAACGCTGGCGGTGCTTGGTGGAAAGAACGTGACAAAGGCAACGTATTACTTACATCTGTGCAAAGCTCACAGGTCGACCGCCGCCGACCCTTTGGCGCCACAGCCGTCCGCAGCCATTCTTACTGATGAAATGAGTGCGGCGAGTGTCCACAGTCGGATACTCAAAATCTTGACTGATTTGAGTATGTCATCTGGGTCCTTTTGCCTACTTAATTTTCACATACTATCCATACTTTTTTCCATTTTGCGTTGAGTATACTCAAAATTTGAAGTATTTAGTATGGAAGTATGTGATTTGGGACACACCAATAGTCTGTTTGGAGAGAAAATTCATTCTGATCAGAGTGTTGGTTTATGCCGTTTGATGTCTTGGTTGTTCGCCAAGTCATTAGAATAAAATTCAGATTAAAGACGAACTTTTATTACCTTTTTTTTTTTTCATCTAAAAACTAAGCTGCAGATCAAAACAGCCGATCAACCACGACTGTCTAATGCTTTTAGTCTTTTTTTTTAAGTGCACTTACGCAGACATCTGGATCTGATCACTCCTCTGCCCTGTTATTCAAAGGGAAAATATGTCAATATTGTGAGTTAACCAAATTCTAATCAGTCACATTTGTTTTTGGTGTTTTCCTCGCAGGAAAAACTCCGACGAAGCAGACCTAGTGCCAGCAAAGGAGGCCAACATCAAGTGTCCGCAGGTGGTCATCTCCTTCTACGAGGAGAGACTCACCTGGCACTCGTACCCGACTGAAGACGAGAAGAAAGACGACAAAAACTAACCGAGGGAAAAGGGGCCAATGGGGGGACAAAAAAGAGAGAAGCTGTAGTTTTGAACTTCATTGTACTTTGGAAAGGGGCGGGAGGGTTGGGAGGGGGACAGAGACAAGCAAGACACCATTTGACCCCTTTGTCTTTTGGTGTAGTTCCACCCATTTGATTCTACTTTTATCTGGATATAATCAAACTGTAAATATGCTTCAGGTTTGCTCGACAAATCCCAGCCTGACTTAAATGTAAAAAAAAAAACAAAGGCAGTGTTAATTTCCAGCATCCAGTCCAGTTTTACGGCTGCGTCAGTATCGGTTTATAAACAGTGCTGTCATTTTGCTCTTAAATTGTATCGGTGAGCCTTTTTTATTTTAAAATTTCAATAGTGTGCCATTTCTCCCTTTTTTTTTTTTTTCAACTCGGTACTTTTGACAGCAAGTTTCTGTCCATCTTAGCTGTTTTTCGTAGGACTTGTTTGATGTACGGTTATGAACCCTTTTCAGTGATTGATTCGGTCATTGGTAATCTTTGTAGTGTTTTTCATTATACTGTCTTGCTTGTCGGTTTTTGGAGAATAAACCACTTTTTGTTACCGTGCTGTTTCATGATAGCGTCACTCTTAATACAACAAACTTACTGGTCGTCAGTCAGTCAGAGATACTACCGTCATTTTCTCTATTGACTTGTAAGTGAAAAACTAAAGGAGAAAAAACTAAAACGTGGGGTCGGCAGGAATCTGTTAAAGAAGCATCATTTTTGTGGTGTATATATACAACATTTGGGAATATCACGATATCGCTGTGTTCTCTTATACGATGGAGTATTTGAGCCACATTTAGAAAAAAAAAGCAAGACTAAAATAAAGTCGTAGGTACATCATTACTTATTCTCATAAGTAATGATTTTACAACGACTTTATTCTCGTAGGTAATTACGAAGTCTTACATTTTTTGTTTTAATGTGGCCCTAATACTCCGTCGTACTCTTATGTCTGTGTCGTCAACATTTCAAAATTTTTGGGCAGCCCGCTCTTTCTGACTGTAAACAAACCCGTTCTCCACCTCCTCTAACCTGATTGGTTGTGAGGCAGACGCTGCTCCCCCGTGTCGTTCAGGAGCCCAAACAAAGTTAGCGTGCTACAATATCGGACAGTAGAAACCAACCAGAAAGTTCGGAAAATTGTCTGAATCCTCCTTTGGCCACGACTGCCGACACAAGCAAGAAAACAAAGTAAATACCGGAGACTCTGGAGGAATAACGGGCGCTTAAAACGGAGGTAGACCGGACAAGAGCTAAAAAGCCGGGTCAACATAAACCATGGGGGACGCTTGGGGATCTTGGTGACCCTGTAACCTTTCTGCTGGACAGGTAAACCGCTTTAACAAAGTAAGACAAGTGTCTGTAACAGAAGTGTTTCTTGTCAAACGGACCTGCTGTAGCGTGTTGTAGCGCCATCGCTAAACTGTCCTCCCTCGGGTCCTGGACTATGTCACTTTATCCTCGTTGTAGAAGTCCTGCAAACATTGTGTTTGCTGGTAGTCTGTTGGCATCTACAGTAGCACCAATGCTTTTGACTTTCACCTTGACTGGGTCCCATTTGTAATGATCTGAAGTATTTATCTGCATTATATCTGAATTAAATTGGAACGATACGAGCGAGCAGGAGCGTCTGTTTGTGGGCGGGGCTTGCTGGAGCAGAGAGGGAGAGGAGGAGCTGAGGGGAAAACTGGTTGGGAGGGGTAGAGTTTACAGTCAAGATTTCTCCCAAAAACTGGAACTTCCTCAGGTCCCGACTACCCCACCTTTAATTGGAAGGACTTGACCAATCAGAATCAAGTATTTAATACCACATAGCTTTTAGGAAGAAATGGTGCTTTTGAGTTACCTCGCAAGTCAGATGTCGGAGCTGAAAATCACACCAAGTTCCTAGCGTTTCAGTTACCAAGTTGGAAAAAAGCTAAATAAGAGGCGGAGACATGATGACTAGATCCAAGAAAGTTATTTTCGCGCTTGTCTTGTCCGAAAATAAGGCAAGCACTGAAATAACTTCCGTAGATGTAGCCATCTTGTTCTAGGCTTTCGATTTTGCTTTTTTCCGACTTAGTAACTGAAACGCTGGACGTCATTTTCAGCTCCGACATCTGACTTTTGAGGTAACTGGAACACAGCAGAAAGCCTGTTAGCATTTGCATTAATGGTCATATGATAACAGAGAAAACCTCTTTCACAGTTACTTTGCAAAGGAAATTATTTCACAATTCTTAAATAGTAAACATTTCCTGAAATACCTGAAAGCTCAAACGAAAGCAGATCAATTAAAATGTGTTTTCTATCAGTTCAATTTGGTCATTAAACTTCATTATAAGAAAATTTCACAAAAAAAGCTCTTATCTGAATAATGAATCCACAAACTCCTCCTCAGGGTGAATTTGTGAATTAAAAACTCATTTCCATAGAAACATCGTAGAGTATGAGCGTGGGTCTAAACCATTCACGACAACTAGAACACAAGAGTCACAGGTGAAAATAAAAACACTTTATTAATCAATAAAAACAATTCTTGATTGCCAGCAAATATCTCAAAACAGAGGGAACTACATCCAAACTCAAAGCAGAGGGTGAGACCGTCATGGAGACATTTGACAAAGTACAGAAATCATGACGAACACAAACATGAAAATATTTACAGAACGAGACAGACAAAAAAAAAAAAAGAAGAAAGAAAGTGCACTAAGTAGTAGCAGTACTAAATAGTTGGTGTCGCACTGGGTTACACTGAAGTGAATGTTAACCGGAGTTTCATGCCTGAATAACACATTTAATGACGACATTTCTCCTCTCGACGACTATTTTTTTGGACATCATCTTAATGACGCTGCGACTTCTGTTCAGCCTCTTGTAGATATTCTAGCCTAACTTCTATCTCAGCTGCAACAATTGATCTATTTTTTGTAGATTTTCATAAAGAGGGCGATGCAACATGTACTGACAAACCATTCAAAAAGACGAATAATAGCACTTCTACTTTGAGAACGTTTTCCTTCTCGGTTCTCAAAACACTTAAAGTGAAGATAATGAGTTTGTGAAATAAAGGCATTCAAAGAAAAGCGGCCGCGACACGTCTTCAGTTCACGCATTCGGAGACCTTTTTACTTTTTTGAACTCATTCGACAACTCGGCTCACTTCGTAATCAACGCAAAAACCTACAAACAAGAGGACTCGTCGTGTTCAGGCCAACAGCTCGGCTTGGTTTACAGCAGTTAAAAAGTTACCTCCAGTGGCTTTTCTGTCGGGGAACGTCGGAGAGACGTCGCTACGCTACAGCGACGACTACAGCGACGACTTCGCCTGGTTTCGTGAGGAACTGAAGTGTCAAGGGAAATAAACAATAATCATAATTCAAGTTGTTCTGAAACCATTTTCCCTCTTTTTCTGATACTTAAAGCCGATAAACTGAAGATCTTCTGAGTACGCCTCCAACATCAGAGCAAAACAACCGAATGAACAGGAGGTAGAAATATAAATATGTTAGAGATTATTGCACAATTAATGCAAAAACTGTCCAAATCAAGAGTTTAGAGATGGATGATCTGAATACAGAAAAAGTGACATAGTTCTATGATTTGAATAGACCTCACCACGCCACTATTTTTAACAACCAATCAAGTCGACATGAAAAATGACATTATAAAGATTTGTTTGTCCAGGGGAGCACAATACTGGATTTCTGCGGATATGCCGATACTTTCAGACTCATTTTGGCTGATACTGATATCGCTACAGACAACAACACAAAAATATCGACAATATATATCCATCTCTCGGCTTTTAGAAAACTGATATCGGTCGAGCACTAATGTCTAATTTCTGTTTATAACAACAAAAAACCTCCATAAAGTCATGTACTGAATAGTTGATGCAACACTTTACTCTATTATTTTTAATTTTTGCATTTATGTATTTTTGCTCGTTTTATTTGTTTTTATGTCTCAGTGTACGGCACTTTGGCTATCCCTGTGGTTCTTTTTAAATGTGCCATAGAAATAGAGTTAATTGATTGATTGATTGATAATATTGTGCATCTCTATTCTTGTCACTTATAGTCTGATAGCGGACACATTTGAACCAATTTTAACTTTAGAAAATCCGCCTTTAACTGTTTTTCACTCTCAGTTTTTAAACTTTTTTTTCTGTAAATGTAAAATCTTAATAAAATAAATAGATTTTTGGGGGCTAAATAATAATAATATGGTGGGGCGTACTCTCTACCATCTCTAATTTCTCATTTGGACCTTGTGGATTCTCTGGTATCAGAACGACTTGAATCTGCCCCTCAGAACTTCAGTTTGTGACGGCCTGGAGCCGGACATCCGTCTGTATCCTCCGGAGCTCCTGGCCTTAAACTCCTCCGATGGTCACAGGCTCTGCTAACTCAAGTTTTGAAATAAATAAATAAAGTGTATGTGAGTGTGGACTGTTACATAAAGCCGATGTGGATTGACCTCTAACCTTGCTTATACTACAGATTATGAACAGTTAATAAGAAGAGCCTCCCTTAACGCAGCTCCAGTTATTTAAAACCTGCAGCGAAGGAATAGCGACAGACACAGCAAAATGCATATAGCCAAGCCTTTTAAAGACAAATTACAGTGCTATGTATAATTTATAAGTTGATACGTTTAGCAATGCAGTGTGCCTCCTCCATAAAACATCCATCCGCCCTTCTCGCAGGACTTCACCTCCAGGCCTCCTGAAATCGGCGGCGGCCAGCCCGGGAACACTCAAACCTCTGACTCTCTCTCTCTCTCTTGCATCAACATCCTCCGGCCACACAACAAACCCGATCTCCTCAAGGCTTTTCCCAAACTGAGATGCAACCGGCTCAAAAACTGGAATCTGTAAGTACAAACCTACAGGATTAAGAGCGCAGTTATTGAGCGTTTAAGATCGGATCAGGTGATGTGCACCGTACAACCTTTGGTTAGTATCGGTGTCAAAAAAAGCTTCCTAAAATGATGGACTTTCTTTCGCCTTTGGTATCTTAACTCTCACACCCATGGATGATGTTCCTATCTTTAAGATTTGCAACTTAAAAGCCTCGGTGACCATGAAAACTCACTAAAAGTCTCCAGGGTGGGATGTGATCTGATAGTCCTTTAAAACCTTCCGTGCATAGGTAATCCAACCATCCTCGTCGACAGTGTTCGTACTCCGACTTCCCCTCGCTTCCTTGGTTTCACCCTACAAATCTCCTCCATCCTCAACGGTTGGTGCAAAAGGATCAAGAGCAGCTAAAATATTCCTAATAGCTCATTTTATGTCCTTTTATATCCCTCCTCCTCTTCCTCGTCTTCTTCTTCTTGCTTATTGTTTCCCCCCGACTAAATCATGAAATATCAGTACTGAAACGGAGAGCTACTTCAGCTTCAAAGTTGTTTCCAGGAAATAAATGTAGGAACAGACTGAAAAGGGAGAAACTTATGCAGGGAGAGTAGTCAACAACGCCGTTTCTCTACTCACCAGAATCTTCGTAAAGGAAAAAAGGACATCTCTCTTGCATCTGCAGAAATCTTTCTTATTGACTGAGCAAAGTTATTGAAGACACAGCGCTTTTCCCCCTTCACTTCTTTTTGTCTTTTTGTTTTTTCTCGGGCTTACGGCTCTGCTCGGCAGATGTCACGCAGCGAGGCATGATCAGCACGCTGCCGTCGGCGCTGTACTGGAGCGAGTACTCGCTGGGAGGATAGGGCCGGCCCTCCTCGTCCCTCAGCTGACTGAACACCTCCTGGTACAGACTCTGCACCTTCTGCTTCATCTGTCGGATGGAGCGGATGAACTCCATCTTCTCCTTCAGCAGGCGGGCCTTGTCGCGTCGCAGGTCTTGGACGCCCTGCTCCAGGTTGATGATGGTGTCGAGTTTGCGCTTGCGGCAGTTCTGGGCGGCTAATTTGTTCTTCCCGCGCCTGCGGATGTCGCGGATGAGGGCGAGCTGGGCTTCGCTCAGGTGGTGCTTGGCGAGCAGCTCGTTGAACTCTTCCACGGGCAGGTTGATGATCTTCTCGTTGGAGAAGGGGATTTTCATCGCCCGGGCCCGGCGTTCGTCCCGACTCGAGTGTTTGTCGAGCAAGTCCTGATGAGTCTGGAGCTTTGAGTTGTGTTTGTCGCGGACGGTCTTTTTCCCGGTGGGGACGGGGAGCTCTGGGTGCTCGGCGAAGGCAGAAGAAAGCGGCAGGTTGTAGGTGTGATTGTGGCTGATGCTGTCGAGGTGGGGGAGGCTGTGGAACTGCGAGGGGTCCTGATAGCTCATTCGGCAGAGCTTACTGTACCCGGGCTGATAACCTCCAACAGCACCTTCCTCTGGCTCCACAGTGGCGACCTCTGAGTCAGTGCTGTATCCTACGGCTCCCTCCTCTGAGAAGGTGGCAGACGTGGAGGAGGAAGATGCTGCGGAGGAGCAGGAAGTCTCTGAGCTGCTCGGTGAGGCTGGGCTGTGGCTGGAGTCCAGGGAAAGACCAGAGTCTGAATCAAGCTCGTCCTCCAGCTGGGAAGCCTGGGCCTGGCTGAAGCCCTCCTCCATGGCGAGGTCCAGCAGGCTGATCTCATCCAGCATGGACTCCTCCAGGAGGGTGCTGAAGGGATCAGGCAGAATAGGTGTGGACGTGACGTTGTTGCTGGAACTGTTGATGTGAGGAGGGAGGAAGATCCCCGTCAGGTTAGTGGTTCCAAACGTGGAGTTGATGTTGCTCGAGTTGCTTGAAGAAAGTCTGGGTAAGGCGGTTCTCGGGGCGATAGAGTCCAACTGGGGATTGAAAATCTGGGGAAAGTCTTGGCTGCAGCTGGGCAGGGAGGCCTGGTGAAGGCTGACATCCTGGTTCACTGGTGTGGAGCCAGCAGAAAGTTCAAAGTTCCCAACAGTGTTGGACTCGGTCGTCGCGCTCGTGCCTCCGACACTGCTGGAGTTTGAGTGAACCGAAGTGTTCACCTCCATCGCCTTGAAAAGAAGAAGATTCAGTCAGTGAAAGTATCTCAGAAATATCAGGACAAACAAACACGTTTTAGTGAGAGAGGAGGACGTACTTGTAGCTCCATGATGGCCATGATGTCCTGCCACTGCTGCTCCAGGTCTAACTGCGGTTCTGCTGCGGGCAGCTGCGGCGCCAGAGGAAGGCCCTGAGATGTAGACGGAGCTTCATTGGAAACTATTTCTCTGTTGACAGCCGGGGCTGGAAACTGATCAAAAACATCACATTTGTGGATGACAGAAAAAAAACACCGTAAAGGCGTTCAGTGTCGTTCATTCATATGAACGTTTCACGGTCTCACCTCGGATTCTTCTCCAAAAGGAAAAGTGGCCTCCAGGAGTCTCAAACATTCCTGTAGAGACAGTGAAGTCTGGGAGCCGATGCCTGGGAGCTGAGGATCACAAAGACGAGGAAAAACACCGTCAGAGACGTGAATCATTTTTAACAAGCTCAGAGCTGATCACTGTGAGGGTGACACCTGACCTTCTGATCACTCCTAATAAAGAGCAGACACCAACTACAGGAGGTTAACTTTATAGAGTAAAACGCCAAATTTCACTCTCCTTTATGGGGGAATTTTTGAAAAGTGTGCAGTCTAACACGAACCCGACACTAGGACTGGGCGATTTGGCCAAAAAGATGATCACGATATACTTTGTCGTATCGTCCGATCTCGATTATTATCATATTATCAGTTTTAAAGCATCTGTACTTCAAACTCAAAAATAAATACATAAATACTAAACAAAACGTTATATAACTTTTCTTCTCAACAATAACATCTTCGGAGGATGACTCAAAGTCACGGCCGACATCTATTTTCCTGTCCTCAGCTCCACGTTCGGTTACTCTGTTTACGTCTCCGGTGACTTACAGGAGTGAGCAGGAAAAGCTCGACTCTGATTGGCTGTTGTGATGCACATTTTCGCCAAGTTTGATGGAGTAAATAAGCTCACAGCTGATCACCCCAGTCCTTCCCTACACCCCTCTTTTCCTGCTTAGTCAATTCCCCGTTGATTGAGTAAATATCCCGGCTCATGCGGGGTGAAGAGCCCTACCCTCTTCATGCAGATTGAATGTTCGCTTTCCCCCCCATCAGCAGATGGATCTCACAGCTGCAGTACACTGAATTCAAACCAAACTCATAAATAAAGTGTCCCACTGTTCTGTTTTTGGCTGCTTCGCCTTCACACCAAAATAAACGGTGGTACATCAGCCGCCGTACCTGCGAACACTCCGCTTTTTCACGGGTTTCCCCTCTACTTCATCTTCTGCCCCCCTGCTGGTTTGCTCTCCCCCCCTGGGAAACTCCCAAGATTTCCACGGGGGCCGACAGCCTCATTAAAAATAGTCCTTAAAGCCTCCACAGATACTTTCACTTTGCATGTCAGCCGGTCTTATACGCATTCACATTTGAATGCCTCTCCAACCCACATTGTGATTCCAGGGGTGTGTGTCAGCTGCACCCTGCAAACAGGGATTTTATTGATTTATTAGATTAAGGCAACCTGTATCATCCCCTACAACCTCCTCCTCCTCCTCCTTCTGTGTTTTGAAACTGAAAAGTTGGCAAGTGTGGTCTCAACCCCACAGCTGCTCACTGTAGTTATGTAGTTATGCAGGATGCACCGGGCCAGCTCGATAAAAACTCTCAGAAATAAGCCAACAGCGTCTAAACTCATCCTCCTGCACCTCAGCGTTAGATCTGATTTCTTGAGGAGCGCGGAGGAGACCACATCCTTAATTTCATTGTGTAACCCTGTGTTACGTAATGAGGAATAAATGAACCTTGAAATGCAGGGTTCAGATTTAACAAACAGGTTAAGTGTGAAGGCATCAATCACTCGGGCGCTGCTGCTAAATCCAACTATCCTCACTGCGGCGCTGCACCGTGGATCGCTCTGGATTTAAAACCTATTCAAATCAGAGTCCTGCTCACACACGCACATTTTCATAATCTCACTTTTCTTTCCGGCGAGTCCAGAGTTGGTATATATTCTTTGTGTTTTTCTTCTTAATGCTAAGCTACTGCGGCTGAGTCAGACGATTCTGTCTTTAAAAAACAAGCACATATAAAAGGAAACGAAAGCAACAGAAAGGATCAGTTAAGGTTCATTTATAAAAGTGGCAGGGTAGCCACAATCTCAGCTTCAGTAGTTTTACAAGGACTATATTTATACGCCACAGGGGGGCTGCTGGGTTTGTGCTGAAGAGGACTGTTAGACCCGCCGCAAAACCAGCTGAAAACGTCTTTACATGAATATCTACATCATCTTTTATCACCCGTGTGCAGATCCCAACCGTTAGATGTACCGCCCTCCTCGCTCAGAGATCAATTTGGTCCACGAACCTGCTCTGGGATGCTCTCTCCAGTCTCCCCGTCCACCGGCTGAGCACCTTGCAGGTTCACCCCGTTCCTCCAGCTCTCCTGCTCCTCGTTCCCGTCTTTGTTTTCCTGCGGGCTGGGCTTCTGCTCCTCCTCGCTCTCCTTCTGTCTGTTGCTGTAGTTGAACACTTCTCTCCCCGCGCCGAGGTCGATGTCCTGTCGCCATAGGATGTCAATCAAGTCAATGTCCTGGGAAAACATATAGCAACCATTGAAAAATGGCCCTGTGCAGAGAAGAGTTATTTTAATAAGATTAAAAACACGTCAAATCAGATATTTCAGATAAATGATAAAAAGACTGCCCAGTTCATCTTCGTTAAAAAAGGTCAAAAGTGGTGAAAAAAGATCATATAACAGACGACGAGATGATACAACCATGAGAAAACCACTTTGACATGGTGGTTAACATGTGATCGGAGACAAGTCTTGCTTCATTACAGCCCAACAGTGACTTTATGTCACCCCAAACTCCACGGCATCAATATGTCCATTATGTGCACGCTCTCTCACACAACTAAAATGAGACACGACACGAAATCATCACTAAACTGCCTCACAAAGAGCCGTTATGATCGGATTTCAGGTAAAACTCACCAAAAACAGACTGTCTTTGTTGCTTTTGTAAACAGAGTCGGCTTGTTGTTTTTTTTTTTGTGTTTCGTCCAAGACAAACCCGCATGGGTGACATTAAAATGTGACCACAATCACAGCTGTAACAAATGTGACTCAACTGGTTTGACTAAAAATATCCGACACTAATAAAAGACCAAGGCCGAGGCGCAGGAATGAACAACCTTAACTTGGTATATAACTATATTTCGTAGCTTGAAAGTGTAACCCTGGAAAAACACAAATAAATCATCATTGTACTCTTAAACTGTTGAGTTTCTAAGACATAAACATGTTGATCTCTAAAAATAGTGTAGGCCCCCCTCCTTCTGAGACATGCTCCTCAAGTATTATCAAAGACGGGACAGAGACCAGCTGCTGTACCTCTTTGGTGAGGTCGTCGTTGCCATCCCTGCTCCCCTGCTCCTGGTTTCCCTCCGGGGCCACAGCTCCCAGGCTGCTGTCCGCTGCGTTCAGGTTGTATGTGGATTCAGGCGCTCCGCTTCCTCCCCTCATGGCCGGGGTAGCGTCAGGGTTGTTAACGTCCTCTAGGCCGGCCCCATTGTCCAGGGTGATGCTGGGGCTGGACTGGCTGCTGGGAGACACCACAGTCTCAGAGTCACGATGCACTAGCCAGGTGCTGAGCTCGGTACTGGGTACGGAGAGGCGATCCAGCTGGCGCACCTGGTTCAGCAGCCGTCGAGTGGTGAAGAAATGGTCCAGGTCCACACTCTTTGGATGGATGCCATAGCCGTCCAGCGTGTTGCGCAGGTTGTGAAACTGTGTCTGGGTGTAGGCTGAGCTAGGGCCCAGGATGATCTCTCTCAATGGGGGCAGCTGATTGTTTAGATAGCTGTCAACGTCCACCCGCACCCCAATGAGACTCAGAAGGATGGTGAACTGAATCAGGCCCTCTGTGAAGTACTTTTTCAGGTAAAGCATTTCTTTACAACGGAACAAAAGGTGAAAGTAAAAAATAAAAACAAAAACGGGACTCGCTGCCTTGGAACAATACTTCTGTCGCTGCACTAGAGGACGGGGGTCGAGACATTAAAAAAAACATAAAAGTAGTGAAAGATTGTGAGAGGGGGGGAGAGGGTTTTCAAGCTGTTTGTTCAGAAGGCATATGACATCCAGGATGAGGGTTCCCAGTGTGAGAGAGAGTCCGGCGTTCTTCTTCAGAAGGTTCTCATCTTCTCAATCCTGGTGATAAAAGTGAGAAACAACATTTTGAAGCTCTGCAGACGGTTTCAGCTCAACATCACATCCACATGCAAGCCGTACCCACCTCCTACATTTGCATTATGTAGCACATGTTAATGGAAAAAAAGAGAGAAAAGCAGGACTTCCAAACCCCTCTGCCACCATGACTCCATCCTCCTCCAGCTTCTCTGTCCCGCTATAACTTGATGAAATCTCTCGGTATCACCCCACCCTGGACAGGACAACTACTTCTCGTGGGTGCTGCTGCTGCTGAAGGTGAATGAGGGAGTCCACAGAGCTGGCACGGCTGACTAGCACGCGCACCAACGCCAGGGTCCCTCCCTCTCTCTCCCCTCCCCTCCTTCCTCGCGCACAGCTGCGCCTATCTTCGTCCTTACGACGTTTAGCCGTTAGCTAACCTCGTGTTTTTACATGTTACGTGACATTTTCTCGTCAAACTACTTCGCCGTAACGTGACGGAGGCGAGTTATCGCCCGTCTCTGTTTACCTCTCAAACTGACAGGTACCTCTACTTCCGCTGTAGCTAGCATCAAACAATCTCCCTAGCAACAAGTGGTGAAAAGATGACTGACAGGCGGCGCGTCCAATCATACGCGCCGAGGAAGGTGACGACAAATGAAACCAGCCACCCCCGACCAATCAAAATAAGGCATGGGTGGGGCATAAAGAAAATGCTAAAGTACTAACAGTGTTGTGTTAGCCCGGTGGGCTAGTTTACCGTTAACTGTGTGATCATTGAACTACAGCGAAAACTAACTTTTATATTTATCTAAACACTCCCACGATACTCCTCACTAATGATTCTGGTTCACATACGTGTCTCCTGGTGTAAGCTTGTACCGTAAATCACTGCTGTTCGTGTATCGGCTTGCGCATTAAATTGTAAATGTCTTGATTTTATACTCACGCGTGGAGATTTGGCAACTTTATCTTCGCGCCCGTAAATCCACTCACGTCTCAGTGCAGCGGAAAGTCCCGTTTCAGTAAAAGTCCCGGTGTATCTTTCTCCAGCCTTTCCTCATTGAATGGCCCACCATGACTTGCAGAATCGCTAGCTGGCCCGGCTAGCCTAGCAGCGCCGCTTGACACCAAAACACGCTTTCCTACTGAGCATGCGTAGAACATTCTAGTGGCCAGCTTTCATCAGCCGACTGAAATCCCCCCCACACCCCCCCCAACAAACACTTAAAAGACAATCTGAGGCATAAACAGGGTTATTTTCACACAAATGAGAGTTTAAAATTAATTTCAGAGTAAATTCTGAAATTACAGACACTTTAAATCTATAGTGAGATTATTTTATTATTTAATATTTAATTAATTCACAGACTGTACAGACCCCCATACTTTTAAATCACCCCTTAAAACACACCTTTTTAAATAGGCTTTTAACCTGTGAACTTTTATTATCTTCTCAGTCTTTTTTCAACCTTTTACATTCGTTGGTTTTATATCTCAAAATTATCTGTATTTCAAATTGAGTTTTTTATTTTATTTTCTTCTTTGTAAGCTGTCTTTGAGCACCTGTAAAAGTGCGTTATGAAGTTTATTATTACTATTGTTATTATTACTATTATTATTATTATTATTAATATTAATAATAATTTTATTTATTTATATCAATAATATAATTTAGTTATAAGCTCATGTAAGTTACTGAGTATTTTTTTTTTTTTTTTGTGGTCAAAGCCATTATTTGAAGTTTTGTTCTAATTTCTATTTTGAAAGAATTATTAATTGATTAAAAATTATGTAAGCCCCCTTCTTGGATGTGCATCCATACATTTATTTACCGTATTTTCCCTTTTTTGCCAGATCTTGACTATCATCCCATTTAGAACAAGTTCATTCCAGGCGCTTTCAGCTTTTTTCCCCAAATGTCTAAAGATATCACAGCAGTTCTTTAATCAATCTCATTAAAGTAATTAAACTGATTTCTTTGTTTTGTGGTTTTTCCACTGTAGAGATAATAGTTTCAATCCAAAATTTGAGAGAAAAATGCAAATCTTGCTGAATGAAGCAGAATATTCTTTGTAGAAAATGAAAAAAACATAACCACATGTTTAAATGAGTCACAGTCACCTGTATATAAAATTGTTTTGATAATATAATTTAGTAATATGCTCATGATGCCACTTAAACTCGACCAAGTTATTGAGTATTTTCTTTGGTGGTTTAAGCCATTATTGGAATTTTTGTTTTAAATTATATTATGAACAAATCATAAATTGATTTTAAAAAATATGTAAGCCCTCTGTTGACATACAGCCATACATTTATTTACCTTATTTTCAGGCTCTTGTTTTTGCAAGATCTTGACTCATTATCCTGTTTAGATCAAGTTCATTTGAGTCGCTTTCAGCTTGTTTTTTCCAAGTATCTAAAGATATCACAGCAGTTTTTTAATCAATCTCATTAAAGTAATCAAGCTGATTTCTTTGTTTTGTTATTTTTCCACTGTGGAGATAATAGTTTTGATCCAAAAGTTGAGAGAAAAATGCAAATTTTGCCGCATGAAGCAGAACAGACTTTGTAGAAAATGAAAATAATATTACCCTGCCTGTTGAAATGAGTGTAAAATCACTTGTAGCTATATCAAATTGTTTTGATTTTAACTTAAATTAGTCTTTTATATCTACAAAAGGAACAGGTCCTCTTCCTTGGAGGCTGCTAAGTTTCTACAGAAAGGTCAAAATAGTAACAACTGTGTTATTGTATCTAGTGAGTGTCCATAAAATATGCACTGCTGGGAAGAAGAAAGCGTATTGAAAGAGGGTTTTGATGGTGAAAACTTGACAAAACGACAATCATACTTGTACATCTCAGGAGCTTCTTGTCCTCGAAGGCCACTGTCTTTACACTAACAGGAAGAGTGAGCAAAGGGGCCCGACAATCAAGAATCTGAGTGCCAGATATTTTTATTTTTACACACTGTTACTTTAAATTAGTTACTAGGAGGCTTTTATATGTAATGAAATCTGGAACACCATTACCCTTGTGTGCTGTATGTGACATGAACAAACAAAAATTATAAGGTATGTAAAATAAAGTAATTCATGCAGTTTTAAGCCAAGACAAACCACCCTCTCGTAACAATAATACTCCAAAACTTCAACTAATCTTTAATATTTCAAATTACATTAATTTACACCGGCTTTTAACAACCATGTCTAAAATGTCCAGAGTTTCTTACCTCGTCTGTAGGGTGTAAAATTGAACACATCAAACCTTATAATTAAATACCACTTTTATTTCTTGTTGTTGATCATGAAAATATTGAGACTATACGTTCACTCCCATTAGGTTGACGGGTCTTTTGTTGTACTTCTTTGAAATATCAGCTTGAATCTGCAAAAAAGGAAAATTACAAACAAGGATCAGAGGCAATAACACTCATTTAAAGTGGAAACACTCATTCCTTTAATTCAATATTTGACTGTATAATTCCCGCTTTGTTATAATATCCAATAACTTGTGTTAAGAAAAGCTTGTCTGCTTCATGTTTACTTTAAAATCGAATAGTAATCATTGCAGTACCAGTTTCTGGAGTTCCCGGGTGCATCCTGCCAGCAGGTCGACACGAGGCTCTAGTCTGGCCTGCTCCTCCAGAGCCTCCTGCCTTTTCTCGACCATTGAGGTTCCTTTCAGGACCAGAATGTCTGCCTGCTTCATCTTCTGTCTGAGCATCTCGGAGACACGTTCAACATACCTGAAAAAAAAGGAAAAATAGTTCTCACAATTTCTGCAAAAAGTGACACTTCTTCAGCCTAAAATTAATATCGCGATGAAGCACCGTGGTGACGCCTGGATCATGAACAGGTGCTGCATCCGAAGAGTGGTGAGCCGGCCCAGGAGGTCCTGCACCTGTGACAGCATCTCCCTGACGCGTTCCCGGGTTTGGCTTTGGATGACAGAAGGGGCGAGCTGGAATTGGCTCATGGCGACCACGTCTGCCTCCTCTCCCATCTCAGTGACCCGCTGTGTTAGAAACACTTCCAGCTGCACAGACGGATGAAATCATGACATTTGTTTGAGGTCATGTGACAAATAATCATCATCAAATAAAAATAAAGCAGTAAATTAAACTCAATTGCAAAAACACTTTCATTTAGTTGACCCTGTATGCTTCCAGTTACCTTCACTTTAGTCTATATTTTCTCTGAGACGGTCATAAACCAGCTAATTTTACAGCTTTAACTCTTTTGAAAAACTGGTTTTAAAATCATGCAATCACTCCTTTTGGCCACTTGGAGGCAGTGCAAACAAGCTGTAAGAACTATACTTGAAAATCAGTGAGAGGTGGATAGATAGATAGATAGATAGATAGATAGATATACTTTATTGATCCCAAACTGAGGAATTCTCTAAAGTGATGGCAGCAATGGGATTCGAACCCACGCCCCCAAAGGGACTGGAGCCTTAATCCAGCGCCTTAGACCGCTCATGATCGATTCTAGCTTTGTGAATTAGATAATCCTCCTTTTTTCTGTGCCTTCAAATCAAAATATCTCTGAGGTTTGATCAGATCATCTTCACATTTGAAAAGGAAAATATCTAAAACTCCCAAATAAAAAGGCTTTTAAGAGTTGCTGCCACGTCCTCCCTGTTTTTTACTGCCATGTTTCAACGTTACTCCAGACACAGAGATTAAATGGATGACCAGGTTTTTAAAAGGGGTAATATGACGCCATATGACTGCAGTTTTTACCTCCATTAGCTCATCAATGAACTGGCTGCGTGACTGAGAGTTCTCCAGGATACTTAAAGCATCCTCCCCCCTCGCCACACCCTCAGGACCTGCAGGATGACACGTAATGTCTTCAGAGAAATTTCGACATCTGTGCGGCGCTGGTTTGATGAGCCATATTAGTGATTAAAAAAAAAAAAAAAAACACTCACAGTCTGTGCCTGCATCCACAATGTCAATCTGTACGGGAGCTGCTTCACCGTCGCCCCAGTCGATGCCATCAGCAGCAGCGGCGTCCTGACAGGAGGAGACCGACAGATGTTCATAATCAGGAGAGAGTGCTCTTTGTATCAATGCTGCCTTCCTTTCCAGTTTGACAGAGAGTTTAAATGTTCAGCAGAATCTTCCAACTTTTTGAACAAACCAATAGTTAATAAAAATATGATCAACACAAACAATATTTCGATTTGTTACCTCAGAGCCCGGCTCCAGGCTGATGCCCCAGTCGATTCCACCCTCAACCGTGATACCAGAGCTCACAGCCTGCGTGTCTGATCCAAAGTCCCCCCAGTCAATCTGAAGCAGAAAAATATATTAGGAAAAAACTGCAGTGTCTAAAACACTTTGTGACCAAGACCTGGATATTTGATTAATATGTATTTCAGACTCAGTGAAACTCACTGTATCCTCTGTGACTGTCTCAGGAGGAGCGTCCTCCACGACCGGCCTCTCGACAACATCAGGAACCTTCCCTGTTCTCCACTCGTAAAACGTCACGTTTCCACTCTTCTGGACAAACGTGATCATGGGCAGGACCGGTTCAGACCTACAAAAACAAACAAAAAAAACATGTGTGCTTACATAACAAAGCAACATCCAGCTGTTTTCATGCTGAAATCTTAACTCAGATCAAAGCAACCGTCAATCCTGTCGTCAAACACAGAGTTTAGAGCCAGATCAAAAGTACACCGACAGAATTAGGAGAGAAAAGGATGAAGATGAATGAAAGACACTCAATATGAAGTGAACACTCACCATTCACACACAAAGTTTGTGAAGGCGGTATAAAGTTGGATTGTTTGCTCTAACTTTGCTGCATCTCTGCCGACCTGATCAAGAACTGCTGGTAATTCTTTGACCAGAGCCTGAAGCTCTCGAGGAACGTTATCTCCCTGTTAGACAAGAGCAGATGTTCACCTTCAGAGCAAAAGTCTGGTTAACACATAACACATATTAATTTATCTGTTTATTTACATCAGACATTATTCCTCTCATGTGTCCATGCTTCCACACTCACTTTAATGCCGTACTGTTTACACGCAGCGTAATAGCGTCCTCGCAGGTCTGCAGCCGAGCTCTGACACTCCACCTCCCGCCTGCTCAGCTCCTGCTGCAGCTGCTGAGCTTTAGCTAGCTGCCTCCGCAGGGCCGGACCTTCATAGCTCACGTTTCGACTCAGCAGGCTGGCCAACTCCACTGGGACACAAAAACAGATCTTTTTTTATACATGCAATCATCAAGTTTCTATAGCTGGATGCTTTTCTCCCTTATTCTATGATAACGGTGCAGGAATAACCTAAACAGCAGCAAAATAAACGACTGATTTAACCTTTCTCAAAGTCACAGCCTTCAACCTTCTGGCTTCCAACAAATAAACACGAGCGTTTGAAGCACAATCAGCTATAAATAGTAAAAGTGACTGTTTGTGTGATAGTTCCTGGTTTCTACATCCCTTACCCAAATAGACATTATCAGCCTCATAGAGGGTCACGATCTCCTGCCAGTCCTGTCGAAACAAAAATAGAAAAAAAGTTCAAACTCTCAGTTTGGGATATTTTAGTCGTTTTAAAGGTGAAGAACATGACAAGAAGAAATCCTATGATACTGAATCACTGATCCAAACTGTCCAAACTGATCCGAGTGTTTGAATCCTCTCACCTTCATCCTCTGAGATGAATAACGTCCAAAGATGTTCTTGGAGGAAGCTTCAGTTCCCTTCAGAATCTCGACGATCCTCAAACAGTGGAAGTAGTGAATGTCTGCAGCGTGAAAACAAACACACACAATTAAGTTACACGCATTTAAACCTAGGAATCATTAGAAGATAAAAAACGGTGTGTTTGCACTAAATTAATTTTACACCAGAATATCCCTTTAATATGGGGAAATAAAAAAAACATTTTTGGTGTGCTTTATTGTAAAGAACCTTGTCCCAAAATGTGCAAAAACAAAACAGAACATGTGCTCATCTTGGAGCCTTGAATACAAAGATAAAATATGAGTATTGAGCTTTAAGGGACCTACAGGAGCCGGAGAGAAGCTGCTTGATCTCCTCGTTCTCAGGCATGTCCTGGATGGCAGCGTTAATCTTCTCCCTGATAACTTGGACTTCATTCTGCCATTTCAGGTTACAGTGACGACGATCCACCAGCCAGTCTGAAGAAACACGACAGCACAGAAACAACAATAACAACAATAAACTTGATTTATTTGGATTGTGTCTTAACAGGGTAGCAATGTAAAAACACAGCAGGTCAAAGCCAGCATCCCTGATCAGACTGGGATGCATAAGTATCTATAAACATTGGTATCTTAAACAGAAAGGATTTTAGAGGCATATCAGCTGAAAAACTGCAACAGCTGGTCAAAAACTGTGGTGGAAATGAAACATAGCTCACACATTTAGGAATAAAACAGCTTATTTTGTACTTACCTAAGAGTTTACTGGTCTGTATGTCGATAGGAAGGCTCTGGATATTCTGCTTTAATGAAATAACAATAAAAATATCTGCATTTTTTACTTTTTTACTTCATTGTCGAGTCAGTATCGTGCACAACAAAACCACAGACAACACTGTATCTTTACTCTTTTATAAATACGAAGATAAAAACAGAGAAACAGTAAAATTATTACATTTAGTTTGTTTAATTGAGGTTATTTTTCAGTATTTTGGACTTTGACAGTCAGCTAACAGCTCGCTAACATTAGCTTACAGCCTCTTAAAGTCGAAGCAGAGAGACTTTCTTCATCTTACCTCCATTTTCTTCCCTTTTTATGAACAAAAAGATGCTTCAGAGATAATTAAATCCTCATTTTAATGAATATTTGAGGTAAATATACAGGATAGTTTCTACCATCCGTGTTTCACTGTTTATGACACGTTACGAGACGAACAACCAATAGAAAGAGAGTGTGTTACATTAGCTGGACAGACTGACCAATGAAAGCGTTTGATGCTGAGGGCGGCATCTTATTGGTGGATGTGAAGGCGTAATGTTAGAATCAGCCAATAGAGGGCGGTGTTGTTGTTTTTTTGAGGAAGTGGTTCACAGCAAAACAGCGTCAAAAAGGGCAAATTTTCTGTTTTTACGTAAAAAATGTTAGGTGTGAACGACTAAATAATAATTAAACTAGTCAACGAATCTCTAACTTGTCAACGAATCTTCATAATAAAAACATAATAACCGGTGACATACGAGAAGCACAATATATTTACCTCAAAGTTGAACTGGAACCCAGTGAGGAGTGTTGACGACCAAACAGTCTGAAATTAATATTGATGCCTCATAAAGACAATTAAAGAGAAAGTGACCTGTTTTTATATGTTCTGACGCACACCAGGTTACTGTTATGAAGGCAGGCAGTAAACAAAATCTCAACAGAAGGTTAAAAAAAAAGACTTTCCAAACATATCTGGCACCAATCCACCAAAGTGACATAAAGTTGGCCTCTTGCAAATATGTTCTGCCGGCTGCTATGATACGTAGTTTTATATAATTTTCGTTGCCTGTTACAGTGTAGCTAAGTGCTATGACAGTAAAACTGTGACAGAACTTGCTCAAACGTATCAGGAAAAATACATGATCAATCCATCAATCAATCAAAAATATATTTCTGAATTCACATAGTATTAATCTATTTCTGAATGGTTGTATTTTTAAATTTAATTTGAACATTTTTTTAAATCCAAATTAGAAAAATGTATATACTTTACTTGTCCTTTGAGTTTGGCTAGAAATGTGATTGAACTATCAGTAAAAACAAACGTTTTCAGGCTTGTAGTAATGCTGTGCTCCAGTTACCCCAGAAGTCGGATGTCGGAGCTGGGAATGACGTTACACCCCAGTTGACGGCGTTTTAGTTAACAAGTCAGAAAACCAAGATGGACGCCTACAGTTACCTGATGTTAGCTGTTGTTTACAATTGTCAGCTGTAGTTAGCCGTTGTCAGCAATTCTTAGTTTTGTAAAAACCAGTTGTAAAAACGCATAACACAGTATTTTACTCTTACAAACACCATAGCACCGTCTTCACAGTTAGACGTTGGGCGGCACAACGTATACCACTTCTTTAATTTCACAAAAACAAAACAGAAGCGCTTATAAATAATACATTACGAGAGCTCTCACTGTAACTCTTAACTGTTGATGCACTGCGCTGCCATCTTGAGTTATGACGTTGTCGTCAAGTTCAGGTTGGCGAGGATCGTCCGAGTTTCCGAGTCAGAAATCCAACTTCAGGGGGGCGTTCCAGATGATAATCCGACCTGGAGCTCAGAAAAATACGGATTTCCAAGTACAACTGGAATGCAGCATAACTTGACAGACATATAATGATCGTTTGCGATTTTTAGACAAAAATACATCCTTTAATTTGAAAAGTTTACCCAAATTAACATGAAAAAAAGGAAACTTGATGTCGGTATTTTCCTGTTTCGTTTTCATCAAATGTTTATTTTTCCTTTGCCGGATATCTGCTTGTCATATGACTCAGAGCCACGTGCACGGCACACCCAGGGCATACCTTCGAGTTACCTCGGAAGTCAGAAGTCCGAGCCGAAAATGAGTTACTAGCGTTTCCGTTACCAAGTCAGAAAAAAAGCAATATTGGAGGTCTGAAACAAGATGGCCACATCTACAAAAGTCATTTGTTTCAGCACTTGCCTTGTCCGAATATTAGGCAAGCGCTAAAACAACTTTCGTAGATGTAGCCATCTTGTTTCAGGCCTGCTTTTTTCCGACTTGGTAATGGAAACGCTGGTAACTCCTATTCAGCTTTAATCAAATGTTAATCTTCCTTTGCCGCATATCTGCTTGTCACGTGACTCAGAGCCATGTCCACGGCCCACCCAGAGCATACCTTCGAGTTACTGCGGAAGTCAGAAGTCAGAGCTGAAAATGACGTCACACCAGAGTTCCCAGCGTTTCCGTTACAAAGTCGGAGGCCCGAAACAAGATGGCTACATCTACGAAAGAAATTTTAGCACTTGCCTTGTCCGCATATAAGGCAAGCGCTAAAATAACTTTAATAGTTGTAGCCATCTTGTTTCAGGCCTGCTTTTTTCCGACTTGGTATCGGAAACGCTGGTAACTAAGGTGTGACATCATTTTCAGCTCGGACCTCTGACTTCCAAGGTAACTTGAAGGCACCATAAGTAACCCACCCTGCTAAGTGCCCCCAGGTGGTGATGGCCAAATGAAGCTTTCTGAAGCATTAAGGCTTTCCAGCCCATTGCTTTGCCTGAAGGTTCACTACTCGAAGCTTCATTCAGCGCGCACTAGCCCCATCTGTTACCAGAGTTAAAATATGACAGCCGAGTCATTCAGAGAGATTTGAAATGTTTTCACAGTGCGGATTAAGTGGTGATAGAAAATGAATGGATGGATATTATCACAATATAGAAAAGTATTTAATCCCGGTACAATAACAATAAAGTCTATAGTGTTTGATATAACTCTGTTCTCCCTTTTTATTCCTAATAAATATTTTCCGTTTGATTGTTTTTTTTTGGTTTGTGCTTTTCATGGCTATCAGTGTTCATTATTTATTAAACGCATTAGGTGGTGTTGTGTGTTGGAAGTGCAGTGTTTGGGTGACAGTACTGTATGTTGGGAGGGGGGGCAGTTTTTCAGTTTTTCTCTTTTTTGCTTGTCCCATTAAACTACTCCTACAACTTCTACTGCTAACTACTACTACTACTACTAATTCAACAACTACTTCTACTGCAACTGACTAACCCTATGCTTCCAACGACTACCACTGCTGATTATAATCCAAACTCTGCTACGAACGTGCTTTTATTTTGAAAAACGACGTTACCTGTGTAATGCGAGGCCTCGTTCGTCATTGGTCATTTTCAGCAAACGGACGTAAGCCTCCGTCAGACACGCCCAGGGCCCTCAGGTGTGCAGAAGTTAACTACGCCAGAGAACAACATGTCAACATTTTTAATCAAAATACTGTAAACTAGAAGAAAACTAGAAAATACTGTAAACTAGAAGAAAGGAGAGGGTTAAAAACGAGGACAACATATTCTGAATCACAGCGCATCGTGATTTTTTGAGGTGAGTAAAAGAGAAGCGAACAGAAGCAGGAAGAGGCTGAGTGGATAATGCTAACAGGCTAACCGCTGTCACGTTTAAGCCTAACATGCTAATGAACAGGTACAGCTAACTGTTGTAATACTTTATCGTTTATGTAATTAAAATTATTGGGGTGGAGTTGAAGTTAGCAGATTTTAAAAACTCTTTACTTAAATGTGGTCGAGTTAAACCCAAAATAAACCGAAATTCTGACGGTTAATTTGTTGTATGTTGTGGGACAGGTATCCGCAGTTGGACCATCAAACAGAGCAGCGGATACTCTCAGGTGGTGTTATAATTTGTGTTGTGAAAATTCATAAGTGTTTTAATCTCTGGAAATTTATTTCCGGCTTTGTAGATGAGACACGACTGAAAGAAAACGCAAAAGTCGAAACATCAGGGCTACGATTTAATGAACCTATTCACCAAAAATCCCAAATCAGTTGACCTTGAAACTAATTAGTTTAGTAGTACAAAAAACCCAGTAACATTACAACAACAATATTATGATTCTTTAAAACTCTTTAAATCTTAAATTCTAGCTGTAAACTGCGGTGGTTTCTAAAAAATACTCAATCAATTATGACTGTCCACCAGAGGGCGCCATTTCAAGATAAACCTGCCCTGCTTTAAATAAAGACAGTATGATTCCACTTATTTTAATATTCTCATCAGAACTAAAGATAGCTGCCTTTACTAAAAAGTTGCTGCTATATGACATTTCAATTAATGTTGAACTAAAATTTTATTTTCAAGCAACTCTGAGTGCTCAGTTGTACGGGACATCGTAAAAAGTTACTCACAGTTTTTTTAAATGAAAATTTTATGGTAGTTTGTTGCTGGTTGATGATAGTTAATTCGTTTTCTCTGACAGTCAAGTTAGCCAAAGAAACGAGTCAAACAGGAAATCGACCAAAGAAATTGTTATTAAAATCTTGTAACTTGTCAGGAAAGCTCCTGCATCTTGCAAAGTATTGGTGATTTCTTTTCTTGTTTCATCTGTGAAAAATTCGTAGGAGATGGTAAAAGACCTCTTGCTTTAAGTTTGCATGGTCTTATCAAAATTAGCTGCTGTTCTGCGCTTTTTAACTTATTTTAGTTTTTTCTAGGATTATAATTAATTAAATGTGTGGTCATGTTAAATGAGCATCATGAAGAGAGAGCGACATTGACAACATTAAAATTATAAGACAGAGCTGGAGGTAGAGAAGCGCTCATCTGGTAGTTTGTTGGTTTGACCAGCAGGTGGAGCTGCTGTATAAACGATAAACTGAGACTCAACCAAACAAGTTCCTATTTGACTGAACTTGTTTAATTTTGACACAGGAGAGGAAGATGATTGTCAAGGAACTTAAAAGATGATCAAAAACTGTCAGTAAATGTGAGAAGAAGAATCTGTGATCTGGTGGTTTAGGTTTCAGTGGAAAGAGTCCCTGTGAAAGTGAAAGTAAACTCAAGAGCAGACTCCATTTTGAGAAAAGAACAGAAAGAGTGGAGAGGACGAGGAGACAGGGTGAGTGTTTACTCTTTGTAATGTCAAAGTCTTTATCTGTATCATCTGTTAATGAAAAATGATTTACTGACTAATACACTTAAAAACTGTAAAACAAAGAAACCTGACCAGACAAAGAGCTGGATCAGTTCTTGATACAGGAAACTGCGTACGTGCAGTTCTTCCTCCTTCTTGTTTAGACTTGTCTTTTTAGTAAAAACAAAAATGAGTTTCTTTTCATTCAGCCTCTCATTTCAAATTTAATCCAGTCCCTTTAATTTTTATGAGACTTCAGGGACCTCACAGCTGTTGTTGTTTTGACCATGAATCAGAGAGAGGCCCTGTAGCGGGGAGACAGAAGTACTTGGATACGGACTAAACCCTGTATAACTCTTAAAGAGGGGTAGTAAGCTTATTTCAGACTGTATACTTTCTTTTTGATTCCTCTTTAATATCTTTACATGATTTTCAGTTTAGTCTCCTGTTTCTCACCCTGGTGTATTAAAATATCTTTATTTCAGCCTCTTCCTAAAACACTTCATTTTAGCTGCTGTCTCTTTAAGGCCTCCTGTCCACGAGTCTACTTTTATTTCTGAACACTGTCCTCCTGTTTGTATCTCACCTGTTTGTCTACTTTGTCCTCAGGTTGTATAACTCGGTTTCATCTTCCAAAAAGTTGCTCAACATCAGATGGAGAAGATGAGTGTTTGTGTCGAGGAAGAGGAGGACAGAGCAATGTCTGTCATGTCCGACTGTCTGTCTATGAAGAGTGACCGGTCTAAAGATATTATCCTGGAGTTCAGGAAAGAACCAGGACCCTCAGAGGAGTGCAGAGCAAAGTCTATTCCGTCCAGCTGTCTGTCTATGAAGAGTGACGTATCTAAAAGAATTCCTCTAAACTTCAGGAAAGAACCAGGACCCTCAGAGGAGTACAGAGCAATGTCTGTTATGTCCGACTGTCTGTCTATGAAGAGTGACTGGTCTAAAGATTTTATCCTGGAGTTCAGGAAAGAACCAGGACCCTCAGATTCACAGTAAGAGAAACATTTTTCAACCACCAAACTCTCAAACAACAACAATTGATGTTTCAAAAACAAAACTTTAAATTCTGACCCCTCTGTTTTCTACCATGGTGAGAAAAATGATCTCCTCTGCTCTCAAAACGCTGATTTTCCTCTGTAACCTGCCAACCTGGATAAAGGGCTGGTGAAGAAAAAGTCACTGAGCACAGATTTACTTATTATTCATCATGTTTATAAAAATGAAGGGCGTATAAAACAGCATTTGAACAGGATTCTGACCTCTGTATTTTCTAAGGCTGCAACAACGAATTGATTAAGTAGATTCGTTGTGACGAAAAAAATCGTTGCCAACTAATTCTGTAATCGATTCGTCGGGTCTTTATATATGTCCATGGACACCGGCGTGTAAACATCAGCAGGACGCACAGAAAAGAAACAGCCATGGCCGAGGCAGCGGCTGAGAAAAACATGGACACAACCCAACCCAAATCCCGACCTAAAACATCAGTGATGTGGGAAAACTTCACCAAGACTGAAAAGGAAGGCGTTCAGTGCAACATTTGCAAAGACCGTTTTGCATGGCTCGGGAGTACATCGATGATGCGTGAGCACAGGGCTCTCAAGTCTCACGCATTCAGCGTATGACACACGCATTCCCACCCGTTCACACGCTCACACACCACACATTGTATTTCTCACGCATTTAAATGAACACGGTGATGTCCACCAAGTTGCACTTCTTCAACTATGGAACTGGGGGAAATCAACGGAGTTTCTCTGAGAGTTCAGAAGCTGCGTGCCACGCACAAGCCAATCAAATAAAGTATATCTACTGAACAGCCAATCAAAAAGCAGCATTGCTGTATCCGGGTAGATTTTGATATCTTGCGGTTTGACTACAGAAGAAGACAGACACTCGCCGAAATAGAGCAGGTTTTTATAAGGACGAGATAGACCCGATGATTACAGTAAGTCAGTAACCTACACATGCAGAGACCTCAACACCTCATGGCAGATAAACTCATATGATAAACTAAAGCCCTATGATATTGCTATTAACAGCTGCATTGATGAATTTAGTCTGTTTATCCGATTAATCGATTAGTTATTAAAATAGTCGGCAGATTAATCAATTATCAAAATAATCGTTAGTTGCAGCCCTAGTATTTTCTGATTTGGTTCCTGTGTTTGAGACGTTTTGAGTCTGTAAGTCTTTGGACTGTGGTGTATAGACCCCAGAAAACAGTCTGTGGGTCACAAAATACCAGAAGACCGATGAAGAAATCATTCCTGTTTGATCTTTTGATCAAAAAACTGTAGAATTGGTGGAGAAAATCTCTCCACCCTCAAAAATCTCAGTTTAGTTTTTCTCCTGTCTCCACACTTTCAGGCAGCAGCAGCTGAATATTTTACAGGAGATTGTTTTATGTTAGAGAAAAGAGTGAGGTCAGAAACTCTGGTTTAATAAATGCTTCTTATTCTGTATCTTTCAAACATGAAATGATAAAGAAAATAAATGTTCTTTATTTCCACAGAGAGACACAGAGATGTGACTCTGTGGAGGAGCAGCTGTCCAGATGTTCATCATGTCAGGACGTCCTGAAGGATCCAGTCTCTTACCGCTGTGGACACCTGTCCTGCAGACAGTGCCTGGCCTCATGCAGGGACCAGTCTACTTCTTTAGGACACACCTCCTGTCCCCAGTGTGGAAAAAGAACCAGAACAGTTCTTGTCTCTCAGACAGACAGTCAGTCCAGCTCTGATGGAAGTAAGTCTGAACATCTGTCCTCTAAAGTCTCTGTGGATGAAAACTCAGCTGACTGATTTTCACAAAGACGTTTTCGTGTTGAGCAGTTTGGTTCATTTGATTTTTCTTCTCTTTCAGCAGATGGTGGTCTGCAGGAGGTTTTAGATGAACATAAGATCAGTCTGAAGAGGAGATGTGAACGTGTGAATGAAGGAAGTGATGGAACAGGAAGTAGTCAAACCCTCCTCAACAGGATCTTCACTGAGCTCTACATCACAGAGGGACTGAGTGAAGAGGTGAACACCCAACATGAGGTGAGACAGCTGGAGACAGCTTCAAAGATGGAGACCCTCCATGACACGCCCATCAAGTGTCATGAGATCTTTCAAACCTTACCTGACCAACAGAAGAAGGTCATCAGAGTGGTTCTGACCAACGGCGTGGCTGGTGTTGGAAAAACCTTCTCAGTGCAGAAGTTCACTCTGGACTGGGCAGAGGGTTTGGAGAACCAAGACCTCCATCTGGTGGTCCTGCTTTCATTCAGGGAGCTGAACCTGATCAGAGATGAGCGCTTCAGTCTTCTGAGTCTGCTCCATGTTTTCCATCCAACACTAGAGAAGGTCACAGCAGAGACGCTGGCTGTCTGTAAACTTCTGTTCATCTTTGACGGTCTGGATGAAAGCAGACTGTCTCTGGATTTCACAGACTCTGAGGTCCTGTCTGACGTCACACAGAAGTCTTCACTCAACGTTCTGATAACAAACCTGATCAAGGGGAACCTGCTCCCCTCAGCTCTCATCTGGATAACTTCTCGACCTGCAGCAGCCAATCAGATCTCTCCTTCACGTGTGGACAGGGTAACAGAAGTACGAGGCTTCACTGACGCCCAGAAGGACGAGTACTTCAGGAAGAGGTTCAGAGATGAAGATCTGTCCAGAAGAATCATCTCACACATCAAGTCCTCCAGGAGCCTCCACATCATGTGTCAGATCCCGGTCTTCTGCTGGATCACTGCTACAGTTCTGGAGGACATGATGATCAGAGAGCAGAGAGGAGAGCTGCCCAAGACCCTGACGGACATGTACTCACACTTCCTGCTGGTCCAGACTAAGAGGAAGAAGCAGAAGTATGAAGGAGGACATGAGACAAGTCCTCAGGAGCTGACGGAGGCTGACAGTGAAGTCCTCCTGAAGCTGGGGAGGCTGGCCTTTGAACATCTGGAGAAAGGAGACATCATGTTCTACCAAGAAGACCTGGAGCGGTGTGGTCTGGATGTCTCAGAGGCCTCGGTGTTCTCAGGAGTTTGTACAGAGATCTTCAGAAGAGAGAGTGTGATCTTCAAGAAAACTGTTTACTGTTTCGTTCATCTGAGCGTTCAGGAGTTTCTGGCTGCAGTCTACATGATCCACAGTTTCACAAACAGGAACACAGAAGTTCTGAAGACTTTCCTAAGAGGCAACAATGACGAAGACAAAATGTTTTCTTTAAAGACGGTTTCCAGTTGTTTTCAAAACCTGGATGACTTCCTGAAGAATGCCATGAAGAAATCCCTTCTCAGTAAAAATGGTCACCTGGACCTGTTTGTTCGCTTCCTTCATGGACTCTCTCTGGAGTCAAACCAGAGACTCTTAGGAGGTCTGCTGGGTCACACAGACAACAGTCCAATAATGATCCAAAGAGTCATCAACAACCTGAAGGAGATGAACAGTAGAGATATCTCTCCTGACAGAAGCATCAACATCTTCCACTGTCTGATGGAGATGAACGATCTGTCAGTTCATCAGGAGATTCAAGAGTTCCTGAAGTCAGAGAACAGATCAGAGAGGAGACTCTCAGAGATCCACTGCTCTGCTCTGGCCTACATGCTGCAGATGTCAGAGGAGGTTCTGGATGAGTTGGACTTAAAGAAGTATAAAACATCAGACCAGGGACGACTGAGACTGATGCCAGCTGTGAGGAACTGCAGAAAAGCTCGGTAAGTCCAGGTTTTATTCTCAGAATAGTGTAAATGAACCCTGTAGTTCTTCTAATGTCCACGTTACTGATGATGTTCTTCTTCAAATAGAAATCCACTCAAATATCAGGGAGGGGGTTTCTTTAGCAAAAACATGATCCTGGTGTCTAAAGTCCTGTTAGCCCAGGATGAGGTCTACCTGTGGACCCCTGAGAACTTGTCCTGATTGTGGAGGACCTCTTTGTTTTGAATTGTGTCTGTAATGAATAAAGTGGAACTTTCAGGACAAATCAGCGACCATATCTGAGGACACACAGAGGTCTTCTGATGATGGTATCAGTCCAGATCAACATCTCAGTCAGTTGTGGTGAACTTGAGTTTGAAGAAGGTGTCTGCAGCTTCTTCCTGCTGGTTTTCAGGTTGGAAATGATGAATCTGTTGTAAATGAGGGTGTTGACAGCATTGATGGTGAAAATAGAACTGGATCATTTTCTCCACAGTGGCAGAACTGTCTCTGTACCATCATGTTCATCATTCAATATTCATCATCAATACAACCATGAAAACTAACATCATTTTCCACCACTTCAAAGATGAATCTGTTTTTCCTTTTTTTTCTCCTGACTCCAAATGTTTCTTTCTGAATGAAAAACACAAACGAGCAAAATTCAATCTGTTATTTTTATAGGAGTCATGAGAACGTACGCCCCCTAGAGTTCATATGAGAGAGAGAGAGAGAGAGAGAGAGAGAGAGAGAGAGAGAGAGAGAGGTTCAGTGGGTCTTTGTATCTGTCTCTTAAAGGTCTCTCTGGATCCATCAGGTTTTATAAACTTGTTTCTGCTGCTGAAGGGAATGTTACATGGAGAAAAAACTTTGACTGTGAAAACAAAGAAATCTTCAACTCTTCAAATGTTCAGAGTCAAACCAGCTCTAACCTGCTAAAAAACGATTTGATCTGAACCAATCAGAGAAGACGGAGCTGCTGTGATTTAGTGAGTCGTCCTCTGATTGGTCAACAGTCAGTGTCTATGGAAAGACTTACATTACAGCAGGATGTCAACATTAAACACTGAGAGGAGCACTGATTCTCCAAGAGGTACTTTGGATACTAACCAATCACATACCAGGACCAAAAACCTGGTTCTCAGTCCCCTTCTCCAACCAGAACTCAAGAATTCACACAGTCATAATGATCCAGCTGCACTAACATGAAGACAACACTGTTAGAGAACAGAAGGACTAAAATAAGTCATGGAGTCATTTGTCTTGAACATCTGAACAGTTTTATTTTTCTTCTAAACTTTGACTTCCTGTCTTCTCTCATGGCTGTGGTCCTGATATTAGTATCTGTCTGGTTAAAAACAGACCGTCTGTCAAACCAAAGATCATGTTTAAGTTGTTTTTGGTGAAGAGAAACATCAAATTACCCTTCAATGAAATATTGTTTGATGTTTATGGTGTTACAGATTTTCATACTGTGGACTCTCAGAGACTCACTGTGAAGTTGTGGCCTCAGCTCTGAAGTCCAACCCCTCCCATCTGAGACATCTGGACCTGACCTTAAACAAACTGCAGGATTCAGGAGTGAAGCTTCTCTCTGCAGGACTGGAGAGTCCAAACTGCAGACTGGAGACTCTGAAGTGAGACACCATTTCCTTCTGATCTAACAATAAGATGTGACAGCTGCTGCCTTAGATTTTTCTCTGTGGTTTTTCCATCAACTTTGGTCGAGCAGTTTGAATTTGTCGTTGTAAAACTTCAACACAGGAAGAAAAATCTGACATTTCAGAGTTGACTTTGAGGAGAACGATGGATGTAGAAAGGAAGCAGGAGAAAATCAGTCCCACAAATATTACACATGCTTGTAGAGGGCAGGAGCAGCACAGACTAAAGGCTGATATTGAACTGATCCACAGTTAATGTGATCACTAATGAATGAATGAAGTGTCAGAGAAATGATGAGCTGCAGATTGAAACCTGAAGAACAAAGTTAATCCAACTCTGAAGATTTCATTTGGAAACTCTTGAAAACTTGAATTTCTTCTTTGCTCAGTCGTGTTCAAATGTAAAAACCAGATCCAGATTTTTCTGCAGTTTTCACTTCAGTTTGTTGAACATGAACATCATCTTGTCCAGTTGGTCCATAAAAACCTCTCTGATCAATGATCTGTTGGTTTATTTGAGAGTAGTTTGTCAGTTGTTGACAGCAGACGGACAGACCCCTGAATAAACTCCTGACTATTTTAATCTTCATGAAGAATTCAGGACGACAAAAAAACCTTTGAGATTTCTCACATTAGTTTCTCAGACTCTGATGTAAGTTTATTCTTTGTCTGTTTCTGGTGTAGATTTTAATGTTTAATCATTTTTTTTAACCCAATTCAAATGTTCACAGACTTGCTGAATATTTCCAGAACTTTCCTCTTATTTACATAAATTCATAGTTTTTATTGAATCAGCAGTCAGATACAGATAGAGGAAAATGAGCACTGTGAGTTATTTTGTTGATTGAATGTTGATGATTTTTTATCAATGGTTCAGATGATCACTGCAGTGATGTTGACGGGTTTACTTCCTCGGTCTCTAAAACATTCAAATGTTCAAGGATGCAGTGAACTCAGTATCCATGCAGCTCAGGAACACAGCTCATCTTTTTCATACAGGAAACTTTGTCAACAACAAAGGTGTGTTAAAGTCCCATCAGTCAGCAGCTTTAGTCAGAAACCTTGCTGTCAGAGCTCCGTCATTTCAACCCTCTGTATAACTCCTCAGCACAGACCAGACCCTGTGAGCACATCCTCACAACATGCTGCTTTAGTTACAACAACAACAACAATCAGCTGACAGCAGAGATTTCATCCAAACAGTCCAGGATACAAACTTTGAAGTGGTTGGAAAATTCAGGTGTCCACCGCTCATGCAGAGTTGACTCATGTTGATGATGTTTTCATGTCTAGAGGACATGCTGGAGTGAATTCAACCAAACCTCCTGAGAAAAAGACAGCAGTGGCAGCCATTAGATCAGGCTTCATGACGTCTGTGCGTCCCTTTAATCAACCAAATCAGCAGTCCGAGAGTTTTCCCTCATCTCTTTAGATTTGATGGTTTTTGTGAGTGAGAGGAAGAGTGGATCTGTCCACTGTCTGACCTTGTTGATCCTGATGAAGGTGAGGGAGATGAGTAAAGCAGTAAAGGTGATGTGACAAAGGTGACAAAGATCCTCCTGTTTCCTCCATGTCACAGTTCAAGTTCATTTTGAAGAGTTCTCTAAGCTCGACATTTTAAACCTGAACATATGAAGTTTGATTATTAATTATTTTTCATCTACATTCTCTTTCCTTTTTTCAGACTGAGTGGCTGCAGTTTGTCAGAGATCAGCTGTTCTTCTCTGGCCTCAGCTCTGAAGTCCAACCCTTCCCATCTGAGTGAGCTAAACTTGGGTAACAACGATCTGCAGGACTCAGGAGTGAAGCTGCTGTGTGACTTTCTGCAGAGTCCAAACTGTAAACTGGACATTCTGGGGTAAGTTTGTTGATGATGTTTTCATGTCTAGAGGACATGCTGGAGTGAATTCAACCAAACCTCCTGAAAAAAAGACAGTAGTGGCAGACATTAGATCAGGCTTCATGACGTCTGTGCGTCCCTTTATTCAACCAGATCAGCAGTCCCAGAGTTTTCCCTCATCTCTTTAGATTTGATGGTTTTTGTTATTTTAATGTTTCCACACAAACTTTAAATTATTGAAACTGAATTTTGTTTGTCATGATAATGTGACAGCTGTTTTTATAAAAAAACTTTTAGATTTGGAGTTAAAGTGTTTCAATTTCAGACATTTTGAACATATTTATGAGTTTTTATTCATTAATTACAACCATATCATAGTGATATCAGACAGGAGTGTGACAGGTGTTTATTAGTCTTTTTGACACGTTACAATAATGAGGATAAAGTCATGGACTAAACCCAGTTTCCTTGTTGTTGTTGTTGCTTCAGCTAGCATCATTGTTTTCATCACAGTTATTAAAGTAATAATGATGCTTCATGAATTCAGAGTCACAAAAAAACACCAAACAAACCAAATCTGAAAAAAATCCACTTTTTCATCAGATGAGTTTAATCTGTCAGAACATGAGGTTTGAGTTTTCATGAGGAGGAATAGAGAAAGATCTGCAGTGACAGAAACACAAACACAGACAGAGAGACACAAACAGGGATTTCCACTTTGTCACTTTGCTCTGATGACTGAAGTCACAAAACGAAAGTTACGCATGTAACTACGGTTCTATGAATCCCGAATGACCGCCAGAGGCGGTGCTTTAAGCACTGAATGACTCCCTTCGCGCATGCGCAGTTCGAGTGTTTATACCAACAACGTCACTTGTGACCCCGTGGTGACCTGGAAGAGGTTATTTCTTCCATCGGTCAACGAGGGTTCAGTCCCTGCAGAACTTTCTCGCGAAGACGCGAGGATTCTGAGTGACAGAGTGCTCTGGCGGTCATTCGGGATTCATAGAACCGTAGTTACATGCGTAACTTTCGTTCTATTTCATCCCTTCTGACCGCCAGAGGCGGTGCTTTAAGCACTGAATGACTTATACCAGCAAAGTCACGAGGAATCCTGATTGCAAACCTTGAATCAAGGGGACTCCGGGAAGAGGACCACACCCAACGGATGGGGAGTGGCAACGTTCACCCTGTAGAACTTCGAGAACGTGCTTGATGACGCCCACGAGGCAGCCGAGCAGATGTCCTCCAGGGGTACTCCTCTTAGGGCTGCCCATGAGGTGGAGACACTCCTGGTCGAGTGACACCGGACCCCGGGTGGCATGGGGCGGTTATTTGCCTTATAGGCGTGGTTGATTGTGTCCACCACCCAGTGGGACAACCTCTGCTTTGACAGGGCAAGGCCTATACTAGGGCCGCTGTGACACACAAAGAGCTGTTCAGCTCGTCTTACACGTGTGGTGGCTCGAATGTAGGCTCTCAAGGCCCGCACCGGGCACAACAGCCTCAGTTGGTCAGCCCTGTCTCCTGGCGGAGGATCGAACCGGGCCAGTGTGATAGGCCGGTTGATGTTTGCTGCCGATGGCACTTTTGGCAGGAAGTCCATATTGGGCCATAGGGTCATGCCTGACTGGTCTGGGTTCCACCGTAGGCAGGATTCGTTGATTGAGAGGGCGTGTAGCTCCCCTACCCGCTTGGCCGATGTAATGGCCAGGAGGAGGGCTGTCTTATAGGACAGCCATTTGAGCTCTGCCCGCTCCAGGGGCTCAAAGGGAGCCTTGCATAGGGTGTCTAAGACTAGATTTAGGTCCCATACTGGAGCTCTCGGGGCTCTCGGGGGTGCAGCCTCTGGGCCCCCTTCAGAAAGCTGGAGATCAAGCGGTGGCTCCCTATCGTGCTGTTCTCAACCCTCACGTGGTTACAAGATATAGCTGCCACATACACTTTAAGTGTAGAAGGGGACAGGCCTTTAGTTACCAGGCTTTGGAGGAATTCAAGGACTACAGTCACTGGGCAGTGTACTGGGTCCTCAGCTCTGCTTTTGCACCAGCTGGAAAACAGCTTCCACCTGTTGGCGTACTGGAGCCTGGTGGACGGCGCCCTTGCGTTCAAGATCGTATGTTGTACTGCGTCCGAGCAGCTGCCTAGCAGTGGGTCGGGCCCTTCAGCAGCCAAACACACAGCTGAAGGCGTTGTGGGTTGGGATGCCAGATTCGTCCCCTCAGCTGTGAGAGCAGGTCCCTCCTGTCGGGGAGGCGCCACGGCGTCCCTTGACATAGTTGGTGGAGCAGTGGGAACCACACCCTGCCTGGCCAGAAAGGGGCCACGAGGAGAATGGTGTGACCCTCCTGAGCCACTCTCTGGAGCACCAGGGGAATCAGAGGAAGTGGGGGAAAGGCGTATAGGAGAACCCCTGGCCAGGGGTGGGACAGCGCGTCCTGGCCTAGGGGGCTGGTTGGCTCCGCTAGGGAGAACCACTTCGGGCAGTGGGTCGACACTGCCGAAGCGAACAGATCCACTTCTGCCCTGCCAAAGCGGTTCCAGATCATGGTGACCACGTCTGGGTGGAGGCGCCACTCTCCTGACGGAGGCTTCCGCCGGGAGAGAAAGTCCGCGATGTAATTCGTCTCCCCTGGTATATATACTGCCCGCAGGCTCATCAGGCGGGGGGCGGCCCATGTCAGCAGGTTTGCGGAGACCTGCAGCAGCTGTGCTGACTTGGTCCCTCCCTGGTGGTTTATATGGTAGATTGTTGAGGTATTGTCTGACCTGACCAACACATGCTTGCCTCTCAGGTGAGGCATGAAATGGATAAGAGCCATGTGCACCGCTTTTATTTCGAGCACATTGATATGATTTGCGCGGTCTGCTGGAGACCACTGCCCGCGAGCTGTCCTGCCCTGCCACACCGCACCCCAGCCCGAGAGGGAGGCGTCGGTGGTAACAGTTTCTCTGCGGAATGGAATACACCCCATCGGGACACCCCTCAGGATGTAAGTCCTGTCCCTCCACGGGACTAGGGTGAGGAGGCACTGTCTTGACACGGCAATCTGCCTGTGCCTGTGTCGCTCGGCATCTAGATGGAGGCCGTTTAGCCACCTCTGCAGGGGGCGTAGGGACAGCAAGCCCAGCGGCACAACAGCCGCAACAGACGTTAGCGTGCCCATGAGGCGGAGGAACCTCATGTATGGCAGGAGGCTTCCTCTCCTGAAATCGAACAGAAGCTTCATAATACCATCCACCCGACGGGTGGAAGGACGGGCCGTCATTGAAACCGTGTCTAGGGCTAGACCAATGAATGTTATGCTCTGAGATGGCGTCAGGCAGCTTTTGTCTGTATTTACTTTGATACCCAGGCGGGCCACGTGGGCTAGAAGCTGTGATGTGTCGTCCGCTGACTGTGCCCGGGATGGTGCGCAAATCAGCCAATCGTCCAGGTAGGGAAGCACCTTCATGCCCTGGGCCTGGAGAGGTTGGAGCGCTGCAGCGGCAAACCTCGTGAAGACCCTCGGGGACAGGGAGAGCCCAAATGGGAGCACCCGGAACTGCCAGTGGCGGTCCTTGTAGGCAAACCGGAGGAACTGCCGGTGTTGCCTGGCAATGGGGACATGGAAATAGGCATCTCTCAAATCCACTGTCGTGAACCACTCGTTTGGGGCCACGGACTGGAGTACAGCTGCCGTGGTCAACATACGGAAGGGTAGGGTCTTTAAGTACCTGTTTAAGCCTCTCAGGTCCAAGATGGGGCGGAATCCGCCGGTCTTTTTCTCTACCAGAAAGTAGGTCGAGTAGAACCCCCTGGGGTGCTGCAGAGGGTCTACTGGTTCGATGGCACCCTTGGCCAGGAGGGTAGACAGCTCCTGGTCCAGGGCGAAGGCCTTTGCCGGGTCGCCAATGATGGTAGTTTTGACCCGGCTGGTTGCAGGGGGCCGGCGTCGGAACTGGAGTTTGTACCCGTGGGTCAAGGTGGTAAGCACCCACGGGTCCACAGCTCGAGCAGCCCAGTAGCTGAGCTGCTGGTGTGTGAAAGTTCCGACGGCCGGCCCCATTGTCTCAGTGTTTGGCCCCTCTGCCCCTAGGGGCCCTGTTGGGGGGTCCAACGGGGTCCGGGGGCCGAAATGGCCTAGACTGCGCACGACCAAAGCCCCGTCCACGGGCTTGCCCCTGCGCAAAGCGTGGGTCTCTAAAGTGGGCTGGTGGGGGGTTGCTTCCAGGGGCAGCTGAGTGGGCTCTGCCCCTGGCCCTGCCCCTGCTATGGGGAGGAGCGCGGTGCAGGCTCATCAGCTGCTGTCTAGTCTGTCCAGCCTGGATGGTTTGGTCAAGTGCCTCCTGGGCAGCTGGACCAAAGACCGTTCCTGGCACCACCGGGAGGCCCTGGAGGGTCTTCCTCGCCTTGTCCGTCAGCCGTGACTGGGACAGCCAAACCTGGCGGCGGGCCTGGATTATGATGGACATCATCCTCCCTAACTCCCGAGCCATGAGGCCAAACGCCTCCAGTGACGCGTCACAGAGGGTGGTAGCATCTGCGATTGCATTGTCCTCCTGCAGGGATGATGAAAGCGCCAGCAGGAGGTGCGACAGGGAGTTGCCAATTCTCCCAGCTTTTGCTCCTGTGTTATAGCCCCTAATCAGCAGGTCGTCGGTCAGCCTGCACTGGGGGCGAGGGCACCTGGTGTCCCGGCTCAAGGCCTCATCTGGGGGAACCACCAGAGATGCGACGACTGGCTCAATTGATGGCATGCAGTCCAAGCCAACGTCTGCCGAACCATGCATCGCTGCCAGCGCACGACCGTCGCTGGTTAGACGGGAGCAGGCCTTCGAGTCTGCCCAGCAGACCTGTAGCTCCCTCAAATAGTCCTCTGCATGAGGGACAGAGAATGCATTGGAGGCTGGCTTCCGCCGGAAGAATCTGCTTGTTGGGGCCTGCCCTGCTTGGTCTGGTAAGGCCACCCTTAACTTCTCCAGGGCCATTCTCAGGATGGCCTGCATCGAGTTATCCCCGCTCTCGGACAGCTCAGTCTGGGCTGAGGAGTGGGAGCCTTGATCTGAGGCCTGAGAGGCCCCCTCATAGACCTCCCCTTCCTCGTACTCATGAAAATGGGAGGCTGATGCAGCTAAAGACAGCGCATCCTCCTCTGGCTCTTGGGACTCCTGGGTCAAGTGTGGCATTTCAGGAGTAGGCACCCGAGCTTCCTCTGAAGGACACTCCAGAGGTTGATGGACGAGGAGCATAGCCCTCATACGACCAAGCTCCGCAGACAACTGATCCACCCTAGACGACAGTCGAGAGCGGTTGGTCTTGGGCCTAGCCCTAGGCTTCTTTTTAGCAGGTGGGGCGCCTGCACTGGCAGGTGCGTCAGTGCCCCGCTTCGAGCGACCAGGTTTCACTGTGGGCGCCTGGCCTGATGGGGGAAGGTTGTCCTGCAGCGGATTCACCTCAGCTAGCCTGGCCAGCTTAGCTGCCATCGGCATGTAGCTGCAGTCCATACAGTGGCTGTTCACCAGGGCCTCCTTGAGGTGCTCAAGGCCCAGACATGATGGACACAAATCGTGTCCATCATCAGGTTGGAGGGGGCCTGACAGGAAGTACAGCAGTGAGAGACATCCATTGTGACCCCGCCACTAGATGGAGAATTGATCGCTCTTGCTGGAGGGAGGAAGCAGAAACGCTCCTTTATCCGAAAATTAAGACAGCAAGAGTGACTGCCGCTTATGCTGGAGGAAGGAAGCGGAAACGCTCCTTTGCCAGCAATCAGAAATAGAAAGAATAAATCAAATAATAATCACAATGATAGGCTTGAAGCAACTCAGGTCACTGGCAGCGCGAGCTGGGGGAGGGGGCGTGAGCACCGCCTGCACCAGCGTAGGCTATCGCCAACTATATAATAAAAAGAGATAAAGCCCCTCAGGCAACCAGAGCGTTAATGCTACTGTTAGTGTTAACTAAACTAAAGACAAGGCTATGCAACAAAAACGGGTTAGCCAAGCCCAACCAAACGTCGCTAGGAAACTAGCCAAAAAACGAAAGAGCTATCCTTAAAACTTTTCTGCCCGCTTGGCCGCCGCTGAGTGCTTTAGCCGCCGTCGGGGGGCCGTGGCCGCTGCGGCGTTAACAAAAAACGGGCTACCGTAGTCGTTTATTAACTGAAAATGCCGACGCGGAACGCGAGCGTTACCGTTCGTTGTATACAGCCGTTATGTCGGAGGGAGGCGGCGAGAGCGCAGCCTTTCACAACAGGTTAAGGTAAATATCTATATATATGTACACTAAATCAATAACCTACCTGTTCCGAAGGAGAGGGGAACGAGTCCCATCCTCACCGGTGAATGACGGACGCCGCGGCGTCCGATGAGATGAGAACTCCGCTCAGTAGGAGATCCCAATTAATATGGATTAGACAAGTTACAGCTCCTGGAGGGCGAGCATTCGCTACTCCGACCGAAACGGCCGCGGAACTACTGGTAACTTACTCATTTAAAAGTGAGGTAGGTTTTGAAATATTGTAGCTCGCTCTTTTGCATCCTGCGCGAGCGAGAAAGAATAAGGGACTGAACCCTCGTTGACCGATGGAAGAAATAACCTCTTCCAGGTCACCACGGGGTCACAAGTGACGTTGTTGGTATAAACACTCGAACTGCGCATGCGCGAAGGGAGTCATTCAGTGCTTAAAGCACCGCCTCTGGCGGTCAGAAGGGATGAAATAGAAACAAAGTTTTCTTCGTCACTTTTATGACTGAACCAAATAAGTTCAAGAACCAAACTCTCAGATTTTGTTCTTCCCAATATTATTTGAACCATTTTGATTTTTCTTCTGATCAATATTCAATGATCAGATTGATCAGGTTCCTGTTTTGGCTCCACTGCCTCTTTTCTGCGAGCTCAATAACTGCTCATATGGTTTGAAAGGTTCCTGCAGCAAAACCCGATTAGAGAGTGGACTAAATGAAATGTGAGTGAACTCAGCCATCAGTGAATCAATGACAAAGTGAGAGGAAGAGTGGATCTGTCTGCTGTCTGACCTTGTTGATCCTGATGAAGGTGAGGGAGAAGAGTAAAGCAGTAAAGGTGATGTTGTTGCAGACAGAGTCAGCTGACCTGTCTCATCAGAGTCTCATCCATTCTCTGTTTGGCAGAGCGCTGATGTTACAGTCTGAGAGCACATTCAGGTTCAGCTTCACATGGGCTGGATCTGCTCAATACAAACTCTTGAGACCAGCCTGGTTGAGGGAGGTCCGCTCAGTGTCCTGGGTGACTCTCTCTGAGCTCTTCTTGGTTGAGAGTATTTCTGGTTTGTCTCTGACTTCCATGAACTCAGATCTGGAGGATTGCTGGCTGGTCCGGTCCAGTTCTGACAGTAGAGACAACACAGTCTGTTATTCTGGGTTGAGTGTTCTTGTTGAAGATCAGTGTACAGTGAGGGATGAAGGCAGACAAAGATCCTCCTGTTTCCTCCATGTCACAGTTCAAGTTCATTTTGAAGACTTTGATTGATCCGAGCGCTGAAGAGGAACAGGAAACGAGGAGTAGAGAGTGAGGGAGGACTTACAGCAAAGGATCATGGGAGTCCAACCGGCAACTGCTGCAACAAGGACTCCACCATCTGAACACCTGAACCTCTAATCCAAACCAGTTCTCCATCACATCTGATGTCTTGTCTGTTATTTTACATGGAGGGTCAGAGTAGACCAGATCATGAGCTCTGACAGACTGGATCTGGTCCAAAGGTCTCCTGTTGGAGTTCTCTAAGCTCCATATTTTAAACCTGAACACGTGAAGTTTGATTATTAATTATTTTTATCTTCATTCTCTTTCCTTTTTTCAGACTGTATGAGTGCGGGTTGTCAGAGATCAGCTGTTCTTCTCTGGCCTCAGCTCTGAAGTCCAACCCCTCCCATCTGAGACATCTGGACCTGAGTGGAAACGATCTGAAGGATTCAGGAGTGGAGCTGCTGTGTGACTTTCTGCAGAGTCCAAACTGTAAACTGGAGACTCTGAAGTGAGACTTTTTTCCTCCGTTCAAACATTATCATGATTTGTTTGCGATGATGACACTAAACTGCTGACTCAGGACTGAAATACTGACCCAGACTGAACACCTTCAGTCCAGAGTAGATTTTCTGCATCAGTGGATTATTTGATTGACTCCAGTTCGATCACTGCTGAGCTCCAGTGAATTAAAACCTGAACCCAAGAAGAAACTCTTTGTAGAGTTCACAGTGAGAAGAACATTCAGACAGAAAACAGAAGCAGGGGGAGATTTGTCAGATGAGAACCATTCAAACTTTAGTTCAGGACAAGATCAGGGAATAGGAAAAACTCAGAGTTTAGTTTCTGACTCTGATGAAAGTCCAGCTCTGTTACTTTGAATTTTGATTGTTTTTGAATCTTTGTGTGAAAATCTGAATTTTCTGGTTTATCTGCACTTTTCTGCAGCCTTGCTGTGTTTAGACTGAAATATTTACCTCTCAAAGACGTGATATTTTTGGTTCAGCAAAGTGAAAATATTCTGAACATCCTTTATTTCCCATCCGTCCTGAAGTCGCTGACATTTTCTGAAAATATTGAGCTGCATCTACAATCAGTAAAAAAGTCTCTGAGTTTTTTATTTCTCTATTTAATGTGTTTTTGAATTCACTGTTTCAAACTGACTTCCTGTTTGGTTCAGCTCTTTGGAGCGTCACTTTTCTCTGATTCATACTTTCCAAACCATTCCCCTGAACTCTACAGATTTAAGACATCAGGTTTCAAACTGGATCATTTTTCTCTAAAATCTCATTATTTCCTCTTTATTTAGGTTGTGGAGCTGCAGTTTGACAAAGATCAGCTGTTCTTCTCTGGCCTCAGCTCTGAAGTCCAACCCCTCCCATCTGAAAACTCTGGAGCTGTTTGGAAACAAGCTGCAGGATTCAGACATGGAGCTGCTGCGTGATCTTCAGAAGAGTCCAGACTACAGACTGGAGGATCTGAGGTCAGTATAGAGTTGGAGTTAGTCTGTGCTGATCTCTCCTGTTCCTCTCCACACAGTATCACAGCAGATATTCAGTATTTCCTGCTGACTCTTCGACCCTCTCAGAGGATTCTTTCTTTAGTGAACCTGTGAGAACAGAAATCATCAAACCAGGAGTGTAAGAGTGTCAGTGATGAAAAAAGTGTCTCCTCGTCTCTATATTTCAGATCAAATGTAGAAATGAGACATAATGAAACAGAAATGTTCAGTTTCTGCTCTGAAGTCCAGTTTATAGTTCTCTGTATTCAACACAGACTTTATTTCTCTGCTAACTTGTTGATTTTGAGCTCTAAGTCTGAAAACAGACAGCTGTTCTTTATACTTGTTCTTTTCACAGCAGGTTTGTTCGATCAGCTTTAACACATTTGACAGGAAGGATTTCTTTATTTTGATGATGTTGGTTTATTTGTGAGGAAACCTGCTGCTTTACACCATCACTTCTGGTCTGAGCAGGACTGAAACCTGCTGGTCTGTAAACTGGATGTTCTTCAGTCCAGCTGATGAAGTGAGTCTCAGAGTGGAAACACTGATCGTCTTTTTTTCTCTCCTCAGATGGAGGTTTTAGCTGTCAGAGTGATTAAGAAGAGGATCATCTGTTTCTAGACGATCAGAGAGGTGGAGGCAGCAGCAGTGAGGGTGAGTCTCTGACTTGGCCGTGTTCCTGAGAGACTGACTGACCAATCACAGCGGGCGGAGAGGACTCTGGGAGCTGCACTTTGACCTGCTCTGAGATCAGCTCAGGACCTGGACTCTGGATATTTGATATTTTCCCTCATATTCTGGGATCAAACAGTCTGAACAGGTTTGTTTTGTTTATGGAAACATGATCATTAATTCACACACTGATTGGATTACTTTTTTTTTTCGCATGATGCAGCGCCACCTAGTGGAAATATAAAGCGGTGGAGTTGATGTGTTCCCACAGACTTCTGCAGCAGAAGTTGATACCATGTGTGACGTGTTCTTAATTTTCTGAAATGATTGTAAATGTTGATTGGAGGTAGATTGGCCAAATCTCTGCAGGAGTAAAGCTTTAATGCATATTTTTGTTCCGTTTTAAAAGAAAAAATCAGCATAAATATTCGACCCTGATTCCAAAAATATTGACATACTGTTTAAAATGTTGATAAAAACAGAATTTGATGGTTTCTAAATTATTAAAACTGTATATTTTGATGATAAGAGTGCAAAGACAACTTGAGACTGGAGAAACTTTTCACTGGTGAGGTTTATTTGGAACAAGTTAGTGAGGTGAGTGGGTTTAAAAAGGACTCAGAGAGGCTGAGTCTCTCAGGAGTAAACATGAACAGGTTCATCACTCTGTGAGAGACTGCGTGAGCTAATAATGTGACAATTTCAAGATAATGTTCAGGAGTGTAAACTTACAAAGAACTGGTGGATTTTATCATCTAGAGTTCATAATATCATTAAAAGAGTCAGAGTGTAATTTTCAGGCCTTCAAGTAGAAAAACAGACAAGACTCTGTAGTGGAAGTCACCACATCCCTTCTAAAAACCACAGTCAGTGAACACAGTCTGTCTCTTTATTAAATCTAATATACGATTCAAAGAGATTCTGTCTTTATCAACATTTGACACAGCGTCCAAACTCTTGAGGAGTCGAGGTTGTAATCATGAAAGATCTTTATCCTACAAAGATTAAAAAATCATTCATTTATTTTACAGAATCTCTATTAAACTGATTTTCATGGTTCACTTTTTAAAACTGTATTTTTATCATCTTGGTCTTTACATCTTGGTCTTTATATTGTCATTAATTTTTATTAAGGAGATTTTTAAAATAAAAATCTGTACACACAGTTAAGCTTTGGATGATAAACAATAAAAATGTATAAATTAGTTTGTCTTTAATTAAAAACATGATTTATCCTCATCTGGTTTTAAATATATAGTTTGTGTCACTCTTTGTGAAATGTATCAGAGTATAGTTTGAGCTCATTAGATCAAAAGTTTGAGTTAAAAGAAGCAGACATTTTTAAGGTAAATAAAACACTGTGTCTGCGCTTTATCGGCAGGTTTGTGATCTGAAGTGTTTTCATTTGTAATTTAAATTGTCACACCTGGATTAATGAAGATGAAGTGGTTGTCCTGTTATTACACTTTAAATCAAACTTTTACTCAGCTAGATCCTCCAAAGTTAAACATGATTTAATCATAATTTGGCTTTAAAATCTAAACGATAAATGAATTTAAATCATCAGACCTCACGCTGTCCTATATCGTACTCTAATCCTCCGCACTGCTGGATTTAAAGAGCAGTTCAATGAAAACATCAGGGCAGTAACGCCACCTAGTGGTCAGCTGTAACACACCTCAGGTTAACGCTACAGCCTGATGTTTCAGCACAAGAACCTCAGGATAAATGCAGTTTCTCACCTGAACTTTCCAAGAAGGACAAGAACAAAGACGATGAAGAAGAAGACAAGAAACAGGAAATCCCTCTGATGTTCTGTCCCTCAGTCGGCCCTGAGAGGACAAATATCTCACAAACACTCTCTTACAAAGAAATGCAACATGAAGCACAAGTAAGATGAAAGTCTCTTACTGCGCCAGCCGTCCACAGGACTGCAAAGGTGCAAATGAAACCCTCTGAACTCTCCATCGTGGTCATGTCTTCTTCTGCTCGGACTGAAACCCAACAGAGTGAGTGTGTATGCACAGAGCTGGAAATGAGAAGAACCTCCTCAGGGTCTTCTCTGGTTTTGTATTCTCTGCACAGAGGGAGGAGGGAGAGTCCTGATTGGCTGATTCGGTGTGAAGACATAGCTGCTCTCAGTGCATTTGAGTGAGTAAATGATGTTAATCCATGAATCTAATTTTCAGGGAACTTCTCAGGCATGTGGAGGCAGATCAGACATACAGCTGTTTGTATGTTTATAATAACTAACTCTGGATTAAATGAGTCTGTGTGAATTATCAAGTGTTACAGTAAAACATGATCATCACGGTGAGCATTTCCTCCACCCACTGGTTGGATGACTAATGCAGACCTGCTCCTATAGAGACCATATGAGGAAGAAATCTCAGTCTTGAATGGAGTTGTCTTTAAGTTGGGGAGTCAGGGTCTGCTCTTACTTTAGCGTCCACATTAACCTGAACTAAATATAATGCAGGTATGTGTAACCCTTCTGAGTTTGTTTGCCCAGTAAAGCATCTGTGTCCCGCCATCAGGTGGCGCATGCGCTGTAAGAAACGCTCTCAACTGAGACGTATTTATTTTTTCCCTGGTTTTGTGATTTGAGTGTATTTTCTCTGTATTTCCCTCAGTGTTCCTGTTCCCCTGAACTCCTGTCTGGTGAGTTTTCAGTTTGTGTCTGACCCTGTTTCCCTCTTGTTCCCAGTGTTTTATTCTTTATATCTGTTTTCAGTGTTTCCTCTTTTATTTCGTAGTAGTTTATTCCCTGTGTTTCTGGTTCGGTTTTACTTCCTCTGGGATTGTCTGCACCTTTGTCTCATGGTGTGTCCCAAATCGCATACTTCCATACTACATACTTAGATTTTTCAAATTGAGTATACTCAGCATACTATGTACTCAGTCGCGCAGTGTGTGAGTTTCAAGGGTGCATACTGCCACGCTGCGCACACACCGGAAATGAGCAATGCGATTGCATGTATGCGTGATTTGGCAAAAAAAAAAAATAATAATAATTATGAGCTTAGTCCGATTAAGCTGTGCATGTGAACGCACTGACTGTTTACGGCATTAGGTAGAGGAGTGGGCAAGGGGGACACTTCCCCTCAAAAGTGATATTTTCACCACGAAACAAGCAAAAAACCATGTTACAAACAGTATATACAGTAATAAAGTTCACATTTATTCCACTGCAAAGAATCATAAATGATCAGAGAAAAGATGAGAGTTTTGTTGAGGAAAAAAGTCACAGATGTAAAGTAGCAAATCAGCAAAGCCGTCTTTGTCCACAGGAGGGCGCCAAGGCTAACACAAACCTCAAGGTCCTCACAGGAGCTTTAAGAAAATGAAATTCAACCTACATATCTGTGGTGTTTGAAACTTTAGGACACCCTTTCACAATAAAAAAAACAGGTTTGGAGGTTTAATCAATAACTGACAGAGTTTCTGTCTCTTTGCATATTAAACTGTTGAAGCTAAAATGGTTCGAACAAAAGCGATTCATCTCTGCGTGTCTGTTTGAAGTGGCCTAATTTCAGGTCGTTTGAATGTGAACCAAACTTGCAAAGCGAGCTCCCATTCAGTGACTGAGATTTTACGTAACTCATGCAAAACTTGAGGGGCGCTCACCTCCACAGATAAACTCTTCCTCTCTCCGTCTCTCCGCGTCTGTCTTTCTCCCGCTCAGAGTCGTTTATCAGGAATAAGACATACAGAGATGACTTTATTCTGCGTCCAAATTCCACATTAAAACAGGTCTGTGTTTTAAAGAGAGGCTGATAAAAGGGGATTTATTTGCAGTTTCAGGTTCACATTAACTCTGAGGTCAGTAATCTTGATGTAGACGGGGCCTCACTAAATCACATGGTTGCAACATTAACTCACTCATACAGAGAGCAGGGCAGGCTCCTGGTGTGTGTGTGTGTGTGTGTGTGTGTGTGTGTGTGTGTTTGAGGAGGGTGTGTGTTAAAGAGAGCCGAGGGACAAGGTGAGGCAGTGGGAGAGAGATGCTGCACCTGTTCACGATCACCTGAGCAGACTGAGAAGAGGAGGAAAAGAAGTGATAAGCGGAGAAGAAACAGGAGATAAAAAGGTTTTCAGCATGCCGGGACGGTTTTACATCTGAGTGAGTCTCCTTCATCGTCGTCGTCGTCCTCCTCCTCGTCTTCATCACGGTAAGAAAACACCTTAAAGCTTCTGTACATCTCAAAGACAGACTGCAGAAAGAAACGACTCTCTTTGTTTGTAATGTTTGACAACAAGAGCCTCAGGAAACATCCATTTACAGCGACAGGTTCAGTCTGTTCACGTCTTATGTCATTTATTTACTTTGGCGAGAAAAAATGAAGCAAATAGAACTTAAAACAACAAAAAGATACGATGGCTGGGACTTTTTAAAATTGTTTTCCTTTTTTTCATTCACAGTTTTAGTGCGAGTAAAAAAACAACGATCACCTAAAGAGAAACAAGCTTTTTTATGTAAAAACAGACACAGAGGCTGCAGGTTAAATGTTGAACCAAAAACAGAAAAAGAAAATCGAATATTAGATTTATTTAGTACTTTTAACCATTTGAGTTCTTATTCTAAGAGGGACAGGTTTGTAGAAGTCAAAATAGATCAAACTTTGTGGATTGAGGGCTTAAATTTTGAGACTTTTCTTCTATTATTCATCTGTGAGTTTAATATTTTTGAGTTTAAACATAAAGAACCAAAAATGACCTTTTATTATGTTTTTTTTTTCACTACATGACTAGTTTTAACTAGTTTTAACTAGTTTTAACTAGTTTTAACCTGTTTTTTAATCGCACAAACAAGTTTAATGAGTTCCTTCCTTTGAGCAATAACTAACAGAGATAGTTTTGTGGTATCTGATCATCACCCTAACCCAAAAATAAAACTCCTGAGTAAATAAAATTATTATGTTTGTGTGTTTTTGACAGAAAGTGTAGGTGAAGGCGGTTTAATCAACTTTATTTTAGCTGCAACTCCGACTTTGATGTTAATTTAGATCACGAGAGAATACAGAGGACAAATGGACAAACTATATCCTGTGCACAAAGATCTTTACAGCGGCTGATTGAGTTGATAAG